CTACGGCGATCGCGACACTCGATAGCAGCACTCAATTGACAGCACTGATATGTCCAGTCAATGTCACAAATTTTCTGTATTTAATGATATTTATTGTACATTTTTACGACTATATATAAGCAAGAAGTCGTGCTCGTCGTTGTTGCCGACGACGACGGGTCGGTGGACAGCGACAGAGGTGGGATGCGCCGACGAAACGCCGCGGCAGTGACATGGCGGGACACGTGGGGTCTATTACCAGACCCTTACGAGAGTTGGCCCGGGCAGCAGTGTGGTCGTCGGGGGAGACAGCAAGGACGGGGATGTGGGCGACAGAGGGCAGCGGTTATTATACACGCTGGGCAGTGCTACGTACACTAGATACAAGGGACTCTGGCTCGTAAGTTAGAGAGCACAGGTGGGGTAGGAAACAGGTGGGGCATTAACGTGGGGTGGGCAAATAAGGTTTCCGAGCCTAGCTAGGCTCGCGACTCCGTCTACAGTCGCAAGCCTAGTTAGGCTTGTTTCTGTCGTCACTCGGGTGTATCTTCATAGTTCTTGTATCTGGTTGGACCGACCCTGCAGTTGCGAGAAGTCGTTAACACAATGTCAACCCATCGAGGGCATGGGGGAAACCATCAGTTGCCGGCTAACCCTGCATGGATAGAGATCCCAAGGTCCGACGGTGATTCAAGTCAGTGGCCGACTAACACTACGCGGGTTGTCGACCACGAAGGTCATGTAAATTTTATGCGTCCCTGCGCACTTGACGAGAGTGCGAGTATCGGCTGGCGGAGGAACATAGGCACGAATTTAGCGAAGCGGTTGGGTCTGCCAGGTCGGTCAGAACAAAAATTCGTTGTCGGTGATACGAGGGCTTATATTTTGATCTGGCACTATCTTCCATGTAGACGGACGTGACTATGTTCTGAAAGCTTGGCCCGAAGGTTACCAGATGTTTGACCATAACAAAGGACCTCAAGATGCGCCGCGGCATGACCCCTACCTCATCGGTTCGTATCACCTATTGTCCTTGGAGATCTACGCACCCACTCCACTTCAGGCTCGGTGAACGTTAAGCGGTTTCGTTCGGTGCCCGAATTCCTCCCCCATGCGCTGTGGCTCATTCAAGATCCAACCATGAACCGAGCGAACTGCCAGTGCAAATACTGCGGTAAAACGCCTCAGCGCATTGTTTCGGAGTCGTTTGGCTTTTCACCAGGTCGGTCAGCTGGTTCGGTGGGTCCTTCACAATCCCCCGGTCCATCCACTAGGGTTCCGCGGCCGCCCAAACCGAAAGTACAGAGAGAGGGCGAAGCGGTGTCCCGTCCTGTCCCGTACACCGCTATTCGCAAGGCGCCTGCGCCGGCTAAACGGCCGAAAACTCACGAACCTAAGCAGTCGATGTCGAGCCACAGAGCGAACGATCTCGCCGCCGCGTACTCTGGCATAGAGCCGCGACGCCAGTTCAGGGTCGGTGAACTGGTCTGGTGTGCGCTAGACCCTCCCATCATGGGCAAAACGATATTGTCTTCTATATTCTACTGGCCCGGTATCATCAAGGAGACAAGTGTGAAGAGTGAAGCCATCATCGATCCTGCGGAGTGGCACCGCGTAAATGACCTCGGTGCTGAACACAACGCTCATCCGATTCCTTCGACGAGCGCTGAAGCTGGGCCGATCACGCCACAGAAACCTTTGTGGGATGTTCGACAGTGGTTTGAATTCAAGGTACACCTGCAAGGGATAAGTTCAGGCATGGTCACAGTGGAGTCCAAACTGCTACCTTACCAAGCGTACGCGGTTCCCTACGAGCTCATGCTAGCCTTGCACGAGGCGCCCATCCAGAATCTTGACACTTCCCCAGAAACGATCTCAGCGTTCAACCCGTGCCACCCGAAGAAGGACCAAACCCGAGTACTCTTTGATGACGCAGTTGCACCTTATTCGCTGGCTCTCCAGGTAGCGTCAAGTCTGGCGACCTATTGGACGCCTACCGACGAGTGGGATCTTACCATGGACGTCCGCCCGCCTCCATCCTCCGCTCTTCCAGCTCATTCTAGCGGATCTCCGTGGCCCACGTGGCCTCCCGAAGAGGTATCGGGCCCAAGCGACTTAACACCGGACGAACTGAAGTCCCTCAGCGTGCGTATGCTGGGCCAACCACCAGCCTCTCCGTCGAAATCGTACACTCAGACGCATTATCAAGGCTTGTGGTGGGGTCCCGAACGCATCTGGGTCGATGACCTCATCAGACTGAAACCTGCACGTCGACAGATTGCACCTCAAGGTACTGATAAGATCAAGCCGCCTTCGGGCCCCGGGCGAGCGACGCTGGAGTATTTGGCAGCTGTGGAAGCTAAAGCCCATGAAGACGGGATGGACGTGGATCGTGCGGTCTTGCCGCCGCAGGCTATGGGCGCTCAGAACCGGGGAGTATTTATGAAGCTGGAAGAGGTGTACTTGGCCGAGTACATGGAAGGGGGTAAGCCTAAGAAGGAGGCCAGGGCCTGTGGGATGCTCTACGAGCTTGCTGATGAAGACTGGGAAGATGACAGCGAAGGGAGCCCTCCCCCGCAGCACAGTAACGGTAAAGGAAAAGAAAAGGCGAGGGAGGATGGTCAGGGCTTCGGGCCTGTGCCACCTGGAGGGCAGGACGGACCTGCATATATGCCAGGGCCATCACCATTGAAACCTCCGCCGCTCCCCAATCCTTCGCCGTCTGTTGCGCTACAAGATACTGCTGCATCAGTCCTTAAAGAAGCTCTTCCGTCCACGCATGGCCACGTTACCTCCAAGTCTGCTAATGGATCTTCAGTTTCGACAATCGGTCAGGTGAAACCTCCTTTACTCAGTACCACATATCCTCTGCCGCTTGCTCCGCACAAGTACAAGTTCCGCCAAATTCTTCCGACAGGATATCAGGTGGTCGTGGTCCTGAGCCTTATCTCTGGACGATATTACCCTCGTATAGCTGAACATCCCGAGGCCTTCCTTGCTGGTAGTCGAATACGCAAGGAATCGAATGACGACGCCGTATTCGAATACCTGACGGAACTGACGAGTCTCGAAGGCGTCACTCCTGGGTACTACAACGCGGTGGAAGCGACCAAGTGGAAGCCGAACCGCATCACGATGTTCAAAGAGGCTGATGAGGAGGGCCGGACCGATACTTGGAACACCTGGCAGGCCAAGCGACGGCTACTTGAGGAGGAAATGGTAGTCGATATGTAGATTGTAACAATGTCTGTTCCCTTGTCGTGCTTGTGTATGGGATGATTATTACTGCATTTGTGCTCCCCTTCGCTACTATTCTGCCAGCATCGTATAGCACAGCGTCGCTGCCCCTTGCATATGAAAGCGTGTCGGATCCCTCACTCTGTCGTGCCGCTGAAATGTCTGAGCGAGGATCATGTCTGAGGTCGATAAACGGTATGTAGATACATGAAGGTGGTATAATCTATCATCATTGCGACGGTCCATTAGAGAATGTATGTGCGTCCTCACTCCCAGTCTCGACTCAGGAAATGGCAGCGAGGAAGTCGGTCGTTGAATTGGGATCCCAAAGCCAAGTCTCTGTTGCGTCCGACCGTGGTTCGGAACATCGGTCGTACGCGGAGTGCATCGAGTCCATCTCTGCCGATGGGGAAAGCTTCGCGGGGCAGTACATGAGCTCGATATCCGGAAGCCAAGCGTCAGGCGATGCGAGGAATCGAAGGCTTGGTACAGCTTCTGAAACTGAGTCGACGGGGACAAAGTCTTCCTTGGAAGCTCTGTAACGAGGGAGGACTATGCTGAAGAGAGGAACCTGACAGTGATCTTCGAAGCGGCACGAAAGGGGAGCGTAGAACTGGTCTCGTGACGCGTATGGACGTGCGGTAGCGTGCTGAGGTAGGGAGCTCTCTCGAGGACTGTCCCGGCTGTCTTCGGTGGTGCGAGGTTCACTGCGCTGCTTATGTGAGCTTTCGGGCTGGACTGATTCGCCCCATTTGCATTTGGGAGGACTTCTATGGATGGCTTTCCATGCTATGAGCAAGATGTAATCGCCCTTGAAGGAGTGGCGTGGGGCATCAGGCCCTTTGTGCTCCTGCTCCGCCAGGCACAGTGTGACGTTGCGACCGAAGTGCAGGTCAAAAAATCTTCGGTCTATTGCCTTGTAGTAAGCGGAGTTAATCCTCAAGCTCCACTGGGGCTTCACGGACTCGGTCAGACCTCTCTCGCGAATGAAGGAGGGATACCCACCTGTGCGTCGCTACGGAAGTGGTAGTATAGAGCGACTTCGGCTCTAACGCGAAGGGAGTGTCGGGACTCTGGAGCCTGGGTAGTCAGCGAACAAGTATAGCATCGGTGGACGTCGGCGAGAAGCTGATATGTTCCGATGGTTAACTCTGGGTTGGTATTGAATTGTAGGGATAACACGCACTTGATGGACGCCCACATAACGTCGGCATGTTCTACAATTTGTAAGCCTCCCAATAATACGCATTGGGAACGATTTAGCAAGTATCGTCAGCTCCTGAGGAGAGAGTGGTTTCAGATTATGTCACCGCACAACGCAGCAGACCCACATTTTTAGACCCGTCCACCATGCCGGAAACTCGTGGTCCTCGACTCTACGGACAATGGCATGCAAACCGCCTGCGGCAGGGTATCTAGTAAAGAATGTGGGTGTTCCTGCAGCGAAACAATGGAATAGGTCAAAGACTTCCCCCCGCACAAAATTCGACACGCGTCCGCGACGCGTGCGGACCGCGCGGTTAATGAGATCACGTGGCCATGCCGCACTGAACCGTTGAAAACAGGAAGAAATAGTCGTCATCGGCGTATATACAGTATGAAACTGTAGAGTATGTGACAGAGGAGAACAACTAGAAGACAACACACAGGAAGCTGCAGCAAAACCAACAGAAAGAACCAGTCCCACCCGCAAACTCGAAAGCAAAAGGAAGGAAATAAGCAGCGAGTAAGATGAATAATTTACATGAACCACCCAGAAGGCAGAGCACATGTTCAAGGTCTGCGCTCATTCATCCCCAGCCTCCCCGACACGGGCCTGCATGGCCCTCCAGCGGGACGGAGGGCCCATCCACCTCTGTCCTCCACCACCCGGCATCTCTATCCACGCATCCGCCGGCCAGTCGCTCTCCGCGCCGGTCCACGGTACGGTAGGGAAGTGCATAATCGCCCCCGTCGCAGGATCCGTCATCCGCAAGTAACTAGACCCGCTCGACCCAGTCCCGGTTGAGGTCACCGTACTCGAAACGACAGCAAGATCGTCGCTGGCGTGAGGCTGCGGGCTGGCCGTGGAACGGTAGAGCGGGCTGGCGGCGCCTCGCCCGGTCGCGCCTACGCTTATCCTCCCGTACGCAGGCGGGGGCGAGCTGATTTCGCTAGCGTCCCGCCTGCCCCTGCGGCGTCCGTCGGAGCTGATGGACCCTGAGTGGGCTAGGGACGCTCCGCCGCTGCTGCCGGAGAGGGCTTGGGAGTGCCCGGAGGGTCGAGATGAGCTTGATCCAGAACCGAAATGCAGATGTCTGGAAGAAGCGGGAGCCGAGCCAGTGGGACTCCTAGATGAGAACGGGCTCAAATGTGAACGCATAGAATGGAGCGAGCCTTGCTCCGAGCGCGTAATGTCTCGTGGATGGACGATAGTGGGCTGTAGTTATCCAGGAAATCAACCTCCGTAAGAAAACATGACAGCGGAGCGACCTACATTATTGGCCGAGCCAAACGTGGTTCTCCTATCGCCATTGCCACCCAAGGCTCCGCTGGCTAGAGTCCTCCACCCTTCACCAGCCCTAGGAGGCTCCTGTTCCAAGATGTCAATGGTAACCGGCGGGCTATGGTCATCCAGATTCACGACCGATTCGTCCGTCGGCGTCTGCGCATTGTCCCAATGGTTAGGCAGATGCCCAAGTCCGGGAGGGAAGGGCGTTTCCTTCCTTGCTCTGGTTGACGCGGTCGAGAACGGCGACACAGACGATGGCACCGGCATATCCAATACATCCACGCCCGGCGGAACGTCATGGTGCAAGCTCGAAGTCGCAGTGCTGGGATTGACCTGCGTCTCAGAGGCATCACTAGGCTCCTGTCCATGCACCTCGGTCTGTACATGCGTCTGCATCGGGAGAGGCGGTACCTCCTCCCGCTCGTACGCCGGCGGCATGGACGGCCTGCTGTTCTGGCTGCTCTGCGGATGCGTCTGCGCCGTGCGATAACTGCTTGGGAAGCTCCCCGCGGGCGCCTGGCCGGGCGTCGCCGGGCGCGACGCCGCATCGTGGTACACGCTGCCGCCCGACACCGCGCTCTTCCCGCTCACCGTCGAGATCGGCCGGCCATCCTTATCAGCACGGACGCCCATCTCCGCGCGCAGCAGCGCGCGCCCCGCCTCGACGTCCTCGTCGCTCAGCGGATTCGCGCTGTACGACACAGGGCGCGACTGGGACTTGGAGTGCTCGCTCATCGTCGCGCCCGAGCGCAGCGGCGACGACTCGCGCTTGAACCAGCTCAGGCGGCGCAGGCGCGCGAGCCCGCCGAGGCCCACCCAGCTGCTCGGCCCCGCGCTTATGTCCTCGCCGCCAGATGGACTGAGTGGCGGGCTGGGAAGATCAGTTACGCGCACGCGCCGCGCGGTGAGCAGCTGGGCACGCTCGTCGGGCTCGTCGCGCGCGGAGTCCATCGAGCCCACCGTCCGACTCGAGCTCTTGCGCGCGGGCATCGAGAGTCCGTCAGGGTTGAGTGGTGGCGGAGGGAGGAGCGGCGAGTCCTGCTTCGCCGGCTGGCGCTGGTGGTCGGACGAGTGCTCGCGGCTCCTATCCGACTCGCTCTCGATCTTGTACTGCTCCTCGGGGCTGAGGATCTGGCGGCCCATCGACGGCTTCGAGCTCCCGCTGTTGCTCGGCGTGTAGTCGCCCGTGTTGCCCCAGAACGCGTCGCCCGTCTCGGGGTCGAGGTAAAAGACGCTGCGGCGGCGGCCGAACTCGCCTGCCCCGTCCTCGTCCTCCTCGTCGCTGCGCATCCCCGCCTCGCGCCGCCGGGCGGTGGCAGTTGCCCGCGCTGCGGCGGGTGCGCCGGGGCGACTGACCAGCCGAACGCCGGGGCCCAGCTCTTTCATGATCTGCAGCATCTCGGGCGACATGGCCGTCGCCCCGCCATTCGTGGTGGGCGCGTCGCTACGCCGCGAGAGGAACGGGTCGTGCTCTTCGCCGCTGTGGCGCGGCGAGCCTTCGCCGGCGACGCGGTCGGGAACTTCGCGCGGCCTCCCTTGGGTGTTGGCTGCGGCGCCTCCGCCGACGACGGTGGATGGGTCGACGATCTCCCAGCCTGTCCAGATGGGCGTCGAGTGCCGGTATTGGGCGCGGCGGCGGGTTCGCCATCGGAGGCAGAGGAGTAAGAGAAGTAGGAGGAGCAGGGCACCCACGATCGAGCCGACGATGGCGCCTATCAAACCGCGAGGGAAGCGGTGTGATGCCGAACTTGGAGATGCTGATGCCGTGGGAATAGTGGTGCTGGAGGAGGAGGAGGAGGAGGAGGAGGAGGAGAATGAAGAGCTAGATGAGGAAGAAGTAGATGGTGAAGACGTTGTCGACGTCGCTGAGGATAGAGCGGATGAGGAGGTAGATATCGCAGATGAAGGTGTCGCAGTAGTAAGTGATGTTGCTGTTGACGCTGGGGGCGTTAGACCACCATACGTCCAGACGCCGTCAGTGCCCAGAGGAACCTACGGCATGCCATTAGTATGCGCCTACCGTATCTCACCAGTCTCGAGTATAGTAAATAGAGCAGAACTACTCACACTTGGACCATAATAAGTCAAGGGCAGAGTCAAGATTGTAACAGAAGTAGAGATAGGGTCTCCAACAGCGTCCGTGATGATCGAAGAGGAATAAGTGAGCCAAGAAGGTAGAGCTTGAGTTGGTGCAGCCATAGTAATGTATCTGCAAGAAAATCCTGGCGAAAAAGAATGCGTTAGTGAACGTGAGCGTCTGGCACGATAAGAATTCGAGAAGAAGTGAGCTTCCGCGCAGGCTGGTTAGCAACGCTGTCAGCGCACCGTTAATTCCCAAGTCGTTAGTAGTGTCGTGCAAGGCGTTAACGGATAGAGTATGGAGGGTATGTCTAGGGCGGAGGGAGGAGTCGCAGGAGACGCGATGAGGAGGGGCGCGGGCGACGAACTTCAATTCGACTTGAACAGAACGTGAAGACGCACGTGATCCGATATAATTCCGTAATTGGCAGGCGCTCTGGAGTAGTGACTCGTGAGAACGGCGTCGCGATCTGCCTTCCACTTCGTCTGATGGCTATGAATATGAGAAACAAGGCTCATAAGAAGGTTATTGGGCCAACGAACCCGGTGGGGTAGAAAGTGGTCAGCCTGGATTCAAAGCTCGTCGGGTTTTCATAGAAATCAAAGGTGCGAGTAAGTACTAGGACACCATGTAAAGTGGCCATAGGTGCCCGCTGGATACTGCATGTCAGAAGTATCGTGGCTTGTGAGTTGGTTACGCTACATATGCTCTGTTACCGCCGTAGCGGGCCGTAAAGCTCAATTCTTGCGATTCTTTTCGAAATCAGATTACTTCAAGCGGCTGTGATACCCCATGTCAGGCCTCCTCTGACGGTATGCTGAAGCTTCTGAAGAATGAATCTAACCATGTATTCGCTTCCTTTCTTCTTGACGACCCGTTCAACTCCGATGCCCGCAGTAAGCTCAAACCTTACGCATCGTTGAACAGAACTCCGGTTTCTTGCAATGAAAGAGAATACGAGCCGAGCCCGAGACTGAAAAGAAATATGTGATCGGCTAGCTGTTTCCCCAGGGCTTGTCGGCAAGCAGCCACGCTGTGTTGATAACAATATGACAGTGCATGCTTTCGCATGTCGCAGTACTGTACCGTCCGAGTCATCAGTTGGCGCGGGACAGGAGAGCAAACGGGCGGTTGCTTTCGGGTTTCGCGCTGCTACCTAGCGACCCGCTGTGGTCCCCTCGAAGTCGGTATGTCGCCTCAAATGGTGCATGCTTGGGTGGCACGGCTTCATTGTGCTCGCCCTTTTCACTTTCGAGAAAACAGGTGCTGGGTGACAGTGATGGATGCCCGCATGCGACTAAACTTCGCGTCTACACGGCCTGCCCAGAATCTGGTGAAAAAATCCAAGGGGCGTTCGTGCAAATGTCGGTAGTATAATTATCAGTACTTTTGCGTAACAGTTGCACTCATTTTGCGCGTGTGCCATTTGTGCAACGGTTGCAATACAGGTTGCAAAAGATTTGCGTCGTGGATTCCTTTGCGCAATATTCTGACTTAGACTTATCGGCACGGGGGCGTGCCGCTGGTCTCGTGACACGTCGCGTCGCTGCTTCATCATGCCGATGTGCCGGAGTTCAATCTCCGCTCGTAGCGGTTGGAGTTGGACTTCAACAAATTTCTCTCTCATCCTCTCTTGCCCTTCAACCACCACCATCTCTTGTCCGTGCCTGTGCTCCCCTCAGTTCCGCCCAGCATCTTGCAGCTGTTGTCTCTCTACTTGACATGGTACGTGTACCATATTTATACCTATGTTTCGCTGCTGTCCCGTTGCTGCACGGTAGGTCATTGAGCTTGACTGCACTCAATGGCCGGGTCTAGAGTCCCATATCTTCTTCAATCCTGATGCTCGATTAGCACGAGGTAAGTGCGCTACTTTTCCAGTCTCTCTGAACATACTGATGATGCAGAAGTTGTACAGGCCGACAAGTGTGCGGCATATCGCCTTATGTTCGCACTCGCACTTCCGTGTTTCTGTAACAGCAGATGCACCACAGGCAGTGCGTATATTGGGTCTTGTGATGTACAAGACATCATCAGATGCTCAGACATGTATGTAGTAGATATGTAGAATGATTATATTGTTTTCCATGCATCCATATAAGCTGCGCCGTCGAGCAACGGGGTGGGAAAGGGGATCAATCTAGGCATATGGTATGGGATGGCGTGATTGATGTTATCAGTCCCGTGCAGGTCATGTGACTTTATTTGTACAACATTTGCGCTATCCCGCGGCAAGAAACTCATGCAAATATTCGGTCTGATTCATTCGCGAGGGCGATTTTCTTGCTCCTGTTTGGCAATCTCAACGCAAACGTTTGATTCCGGATTTTGACGCAACATTTGTACAAATACTGCCGGGCTGTGTAGTCTTCCGGTCAAAATCTCAACCATCATCCATCACGCTGCAGGGCCGGATAGTCGCCAAACTCCAATGTCAGCCGCATTCTAGCGGTATATAAACCACTTCACCACCATCGTACGTCCTCACCACCTCTTTCCCTCTCGCCAAGTATCTACCCTTACTTGGGGTCTCTCCGGGGAATACTCAGGACTTCTCCTACTCTGCGAGGTGGACTGTGGCAACCCTCCAGATACGTTACCGGTTTCAGTTATCCCGGGCCTATCCCGACCCAAGGCAACCGGATGCTTCAGCGCCACACCCTTCCGTCGTCGTCGGTACGGACGGCTGGTACTAGTCATCGTGCCTAGCCAGCGGCTGACTCCCCTTGCGGCTGTTGGCAGGTTTCAAGGCTATTTGAACGGGCTAAATATGTCCCTTTTGCGAAGTCTGCATATCTTAAAGGTGAGTAAACGCCTGCACCTGCTTTAATCTAGGCTCCATCCCGCATGCGTCACGGCGGAGGCGTCACCCGCAAAACGCGAAAGGGAGCGCCTCCGCTCTCGGCCCATGTCCGAGTCGGACTCGAAATTCGGAATTCCTACGAGTACACCAGGTCTCGTCGCGATGCGACGCAGGCCATATACACACGAGATACATATTACCAGCGGCTGACCATCCGGCCTGATTTCCAATCACCACGCTCTTCACCCCTTTACTAGCGTCACCCTTCACGATGATGCTGTCGAACCGGACTGCGACGTCAGCCGCCGCCGCACGGTTTATAAATCATTGTCGAGCGTGGTACCGGGTACGTCGCCGCTGCTCTTCTTTCCTCTCCCACTGCCTCGTGGCGTCCATATCTGTGACTGTGACGCCTTTATCTCTACTTCGGCCTGTCCTGAGCGGATGATGCGCCTTTGCTGCGCAGTAGTTCGTCTGCGGCCATCCAAACCTTGGCAGGTCATCTGAAGTCTCGACGGTCGTCTGGCCGATTCTGACTGTGGACTCTAGGCCGGTTTATCAAAGTTTCATCCATCAAAGGGGGAAAACCGTGGCAGAGAGTGAGAAGGCGCGGGGGGGGGGGCAGACGGTAACGCGAGGGCGAAGGGAACGCACAAGCGAACCCAACCGTGAGGGCGACCGGCTGCCGTAGAGGATGCGGTAGCCATGGGAAAGCAGACGAACGGGGACAAGGGCGGACGTTCGACGCGGGGCGCACGGCACCCGTACGTGTACGCGAGGGCGGAACGCGAGCGCCCGGCGAAGCGGCGACGAAGGACGGGTGGGAAGGGGGTTGGTCGGCGGACGGTAACGCGAGGGCGAAGGGAACGCATGGCGAACCCAAACGCGAGGGCGACCGTCCCCGGAGGGCGAAGAGGGGAAAGACACTTCGAGGCGGGGAGGAACGTTCGACGTTCAACGCGAGGGCGCACGTCATTTGTACGTGACCGCGGGGGCGGAACGTGAGCGGGGGGTTTGGGGACCGCGGGAAATGGAGGCGTCGTGAACGCGAGGGCAGATATGGCACGTGAGGGCGCGCAGTTGCAGTGCACTGTGACGTGAGGGCGACCATTGACGCGAGGGCGCACGACAGTCGGGGGCTGAGGGGGGACCGGTGACCGAGGAGAGGCCCTAGCGTGAATGCGCGGGCTGAGGGACGTGAGCGCCAGGGCGAACGGCGGCTGACCATGCGCTCGAGGATGAACACGGACGTGAGGGCGAACGCGAAGGGCAATGCCAGTGCAGGGTAGGGAGTGGGCTAGCGGGAATTTTTTTTTGGGAGGGGAGGGGGCGCTACGCTTCACGTACGGTCTTTTCGTTCTTATCGGGTTAAAGTCTCGTCCTGACATCCCTGTGGAATATAGTCGATTGTCAGGTACGCCACCGTTCACGGTCGTGGCGAGCGGGAATTGGAGCATGGAAGAATCACCAGGGTAAGTACGGTCCTTTCATTTGTAAGTGACTGCCTCTCATGTGAGCGTAGACATGCAAGACGTTCTATGTGTATTATGCGAAGGGGTTGCAAGTTCCTGTATGTTTGCGGAGATGATGTACATGTTGTGTCTGTTTGGAATTTGGATAAGCAAACGCTGGGCGAACTGACGTGCTCGCGTGAAGTGATACCACAGAAGCTATATCATCCGAGTGAAGCTGAATTTGGCGCGTTCACCGCAGCCTAAGCCACCGGTCAGAATTCCGCTTGAATTGCTCTCTGTGAAGCGAGCCCATGGTTAGGAGCTTCACGCTGCTTGTCGAGTACCATAGACACAACAGGACACGAACGTGATTCCTTGATTCTGAACTTGAAGTTTTAACTTGCACATCCAACCCATTGACCAATGGTGACGGCCCGGCACCCCGGACCGGTCTTGCCGACCCATTCTCATCGACGCTGCCAACGTTCTGCCGCAGCGGTTCTCTGTATGTCCACATCCCGCCTTGCTCGAGATTGATGGCTGTCCGGTCTGCTTGCTGCGTATGTGACAGGCGAGCGCATCTCGTGGACGGGCGACGCTCACGCTGGGCGAAGAACCACCGGGCGTACGCCCACGACACGTACGAAAGACTTGGCCTTGTGACCTAGCGAGGAATGTCTGCGGCACCGCGGAGAGGCGTTGTCTCAGCTCATAAACCGGCAGCCCTCCGAGTCGCATCCCCGCGAGGATACGATGCTCTACATCCGAGTCCTCCTCGCGGTGCTCCCATCGGCATTGGGTTGGGCCACCGGGCCCCAGCCCGGCCAGATCAAGAACCTCGTCACGTTCGGCGACTCCTACACCGACGTCGGCAACCCCGCGGACGGCGGCGCCGCCTGGCCCGCCTACGCCGCGTCCTACGCGCCCTTCGCGCTGTACCCGTACGCAAAGTCCGGCGCGACGTGCTCGAACAACCTCACGGACCGCCCGCCGCCGTCCGTCTTCGAGGGGCAGATCCCCGCCTTCCTCGCGGAGGTCGCGAACGGGACGGCCAAGCTCAACATGGAGGAGACGGTGTTCACGCTGTGGATCGGGACGAATGATGTCGGCGTGCATGAGTTGCTGACGAACCAGCAGACGCCGGGCGTGACGTTGGTGAACACGACGCGGTGTGCGGTGAATTGGGTTAGCGCGATGTACGGGTACGGGGCGAGGAACTTTGTCTTTCAGAATGTAAGGTTTTCTCACTACTCTATACGATTCGATGCCTGACTTCCTTTATAGATGCTCCCTCTGCAACTAACAGTCCTGTACTCCAACTATTCGTATCCGAACCGGTACTGGACGCTGCAGCGGAACACAACCGAATGGAACGTCTTCATGACGGAAATCACCAACACCGGCAACGCGCTCTCGCGGCTCATGCTCGAGGCGCTCGCCCCCGCCCTTCCGGGCGCTCACATAGGTATCGTACCTCACTCCATCTTTTGCCCCTCAAATCCCGCGCTGACCCTCTGGGTAAGGGATATTCGACTCCTACGCGCTCTTCCACGACATGTACACGCACCCGTCCGCCTACCTGAACGGCACGGCGCCGCTGAACGTGACGGGCTGCGTCAACTCGTGCGTGTTCCCGCCCAATGGGAACGTGAGCGACGCGAGCAGCGCGAGCTGTACCGTCGCCGAGGGGAGTGATCGGGATAGTTTCTTGTGGTGAGCGGTCTCTCCGAGTCCCAGGGAGAGTCGGAGATGCTGATGGTATGTAGGTACGACGAGCTGCACCCGTCGGAGCAGAGCGATAGGGTCGTCGCGAGGGAGATTACGGCGGCGATTCAGAGGACGTCGGAGGACTGGATTACGTGGCTGAGTTGAGGGAATACCAAGCTTCCTCTGTGCGCTTTCCCCAGTCGAAGGCGTGGAGCTCTGAATATACACCTGTGCTCACGTTCGCATCGGGACCGCATCTTGGTCTGCGGTTTGCTCTGCTGGTCACGATGCCAGGACGGCGTGTCTTGTCTTGCCTTTTTGCTTCCCAGTGACCCAGCGGCAAATCTGTCTGCGTGTGTTTCGAGGTTTGCTGTCAAGCCGCGTCCCTGACTACAAGGCTGTTGGTGGATGTCAAGCTCGAAGTGAATTTTGGATCATTCTTCCATTGCACGACCCGTCCCCTTCCCGATCGTCTGAAGTTGGAGACCAGGGACGGTGCATTGACTGTGTTTCATAGCGTGAATGGGACGGGTGCGACGTCATGACTGCAGATTGGACAATGGCACTTCTGTTCCTTGTTTGTGGCCGTGCCACTCGAATGATCTCTTCGATTGTCCTCAGAAGCTGAACGCAAGTAGCTGCCCAAGCGCACCCTCTCTTTCAGCCAGGTGGTGTGGAAGCACACCAAGTCTGTAATCCCCTCACTAACTTGCGCAAGGACACCCATGCCGGAAACCAAGAGGCATATTGGTATGTCCCTCCGCCGTATGAACGTCTCCAGTGGCAGTTGAATGATGTCTGGCGCTGTAGACACTTTGGGACGAGACAATGACGAGTCTTCCTCTATGCAGAGAACGGACACCGCGTCACTGGACACTTCGCAATCAACGACCCTGTCCGCCAATCGGGAAGGACCCTTGGCTCGCGTCTCACCAATCCAAAGGATGCTGACGGAGACGTTGTCAGAAATACTCATCCAGTGTCTACGACTTGAATATCACAAATGGGTCCCTCCCAAGACATCATCGCGCCCCTTGATGTTTACGGAGGTATGCAAGTATTGGAGGACCGTGGCTCTAAGCACGTCTCAGCTTTGGTCGTCGATTCGTGTCAGAGACTGGGAATGTACACGCCGGGGCGACGTTGTGGGGATTGAAGCCTGGCTTTGTCGGAGCGGGAGCCGGCCGCTCGCGCTCTCTCTTGAGGTTAGGCGCTCGAGTGTGATACCAAGGAAAATTTTGCGGTTAGCCAATGAGTATACGCACAGGTGCCGGAGGCTCCATCTAGAATTCGAGACTCCCTCGGCGAAGAAGCTTGCTAGGGTCGACATGCCGCTTCTCGAGGAACTTCATATCTTTCTCATCGACAACTGTGATGATCCTAAGCATCCCCTGGATTTCATTGGCTCCACTCCCCGCCTTCAAATCGTATGGCCGACCTTTGTTCGTACATGTTCACAAAGCTTCGATTAATGAGCCTAGTCTGCTGTGACAATCTGCTAAGTACTCCAGTGTCTGAGCCCCATGTTATACTTATATTGACTTCCGGGTAACCGTGCTTCCTACTTCAGATCCGGCCGCGACGAGTGCATGTGTGTCCAATCGCTAGGCGGCGTGACGGGTGCAAGCTGCCATGAACGACTGCTTGCATGGGTCACGTTGTTCGGCGATTCTGTGGCATGCGCCAGCTCTTCCTCGATACCACCTCAAATCGTCTTTGCTTGACCTCATGCTAGCGGTGCATGAAGTTCTCTTGAGTCAACTGTCAGCATTTGCTAGTGCGTTCCCTCTTCCTCTCACAGCCAGTATCTTCTATCAGTACTACCTTCGCCTCGCGCCCCATCTGCTGTTGTAGTCCAACACTCCATATTGTGGCTAGCTCTCCCTTAAGGCTCTGCGGCCCACCCAACATGTCTCTGGATACTGGACGACGTCTAAGGGCTTGGGCTGGACACTCGATCTACGGGCATACTGCGAACACAGACATCCTATTCCTCAAAGGAATAGCTGAAGCGTGCACAGTAATAGCTATCGTGAAGGCCCGAAATCCCGTGAAAGGTGAAAGGGGGCTGCCCCGCACCCGTGCCTTTGCCATCCTTCGCAGTCAAAAGTCTCTGTGAGTACGCCAAGTCCCATTGTGATACTGTATAGGACCACCAAATACCACGCCACGGGGCCAGAGAAATGTAGTGGCTGGCGATTGAGTTTACCCTTCACACTTCACACTGCACGGTGAAGCCGCTCAGCCGGAGCTGCCGACGTCAATCGCTCTCACGTTGGTATATAAACCGCCCCAGGCGGTGGTTCGTTTTCGCTCATCCTCATCCCTCTTCCCCCATCTCCTCAGGAGGCCTCAACTCCCAAGTTGCCGGCGTCCACCCGGTACGCGGCCATACAGAGGTATGCAACTTCCTCTCAAGTCTGTACGGTTGTGCAGTAATGACAACTTCTAGACCGCGTAGCTCCAAGATTAATACGTTAGGAAGGACGGGATAGATTTTGTGATGAAGGAGGGGCGGGAAGGGATGGAACGGTGGACGGTAGCGCGAGGGCAAAGGGAACGCATGAGCGAACCCAAACGCGAGGGCGACCGTCCCCGGTGAACGGGAAGGGAAGAGAAACATCGATTTGAGAACGAACGTTTACCGTTCAACGCGCGGGCGCACGTCATTTGTACGTTGACGCGAGGGCGGAACGTGGACGCGGGAGTAGGCGGGGGAAGGCGTGAGGGCATCGTGAACGCGAGGCGGATATGGCACGTGAGGGCGCGCAGTGAGTGCACTGTGACGTGAGGGCGACCATTGATGTGAGGGCGCGCGATAGTCGGGGTGAACTGGTAGAGCAGGGAGGGAGGAAGCCTAGCGTGAACGCGAGCGCGGACGTGGGGCACGAGGGCGAAGGACAGCTGACCGTGCACGCCAGGGTGATCACGGACGCGGGGCGAACGCGAAGGGCAGTGTCGAACAGAGGGTAGGGGAAGGGTCATGTGGGGACATAGGGCACACGTTTCGCAGACGGTCTTTGGGCTCGTTTCTTTCCGTGTTTTCATCGTGACCTTTGTGATCATGCAGGCGATGACTGCCATCTATCATTCACGGTCATGTGGAGAAGAAGCTGGAATACGCGTGAAGCAACGAAAGTACGTCCGTATTCCTTTATTATTGTCAGCTAGCTGATTTTTAGCGGGGTCTAACTGGAGTACAGATATCCATGATACTCTTTGGGCTACGGTCAGGCTGGGAGAGCGGGGGGTCGTTCTGGGGCGCATTAATTCTTCTGCCATGTATATACGCGGCGTCGGTTGAGCTCGAACATGCGAACTTTCATTGTATGTGTCTCTGCTTTTGCAGGACGAGAGAAAAGTGCGTTCATGTAAATAGGATCGTTGTTTACTTTGTCAACGAGGCTCGACAGGGTCGCTTACGACTTGGCAATGTCCTGCCACAGCCACCCGCCTATGTATCCCGTGGCTGTGCTTCTCACGTGCCGACGGCCTACCGAGGCTCCCGTCTGCTCAGACTGCTCGGGGGACATTTGCACAGCTGGGTGCGCAGAGGTTTCACAGTTATGTGCTCTACGGAGGAGGAGTACTCTGAAGTAAGACCTGGTGCGGTGCGCCCTTACATTGTCTTCCAATTCTTGATACAAATAGTCCCGTAGAGGAAGAGCAAGCGGTCAGGCGGCTAAAAGAAAGCAGTGGTCCTCCTTTATTGGTCGAAAGTCGAGGCAGAGCAAGCCCTCAGGGAGGGCAAGTCAAGGTACTTTATCAGGAGCGCAAAGGTCGCCGAGAAGATGTCCAATGGCGCATCGACGACTACGGGACCCTCTTATCTCCTTTACGCAGACTACCACTGGAACTCCTATCTCTAATATTCATAGAGTGTTTGCCAGAGGACACATTTATCACTCCCGATACCCTTCAAGCCCCTCTTCTCCTCTTGCAAGTATGTAGCACTTGGCGGAGAGCAGCAATGTCCACCCCGAGCCTGTGGTGTTCCTTATGCATCGAATTAGCCTACAAGGACGACCTACCTACGCAGATCTCAAAAGCCGACGTCATGCGTACGTGGCTGTCTCGCGCAGCCTCGCGCCCGCTCCGCTTGTACTATGCCGACAATCGTCTCGTGGAAGACATCGTGCACGACGGGGCGGACACCATCCGTATTCTTACAGAGTACCTGCCCCGCTGCCAGGTGCTCCATTTTCATGCCATTTCGGCCGAGGTGCTGGGGAGCGTCTCCTTCGCACACTTGGAGGCTCTCGACATCTCGTCGGTGTTCAGGATCCCGAGGACCTTCCTGGCGTGGACGCCTCGCATCCGCAAGATGAAGGTATCGTGGGCGCACCTGTGCGACCTGGACCTCGCGCGCATGCCGTGGGCGCAGCTGGAGGAGCTCGACGTCCTCGCGATACACAGACCGCGGGCGTGTATCGAGCTCTTGGGCAGATGCACGTCGCTCCGGAAATGCTCGTTGCGGTACAATAGCAAGTGGGGCGAGCAGCCGGAGGCTGACACCGACAGGAGAGTTCACCTACCAGAGCTCGAGTCCCTCACATTATCGAGCCACGTCTCGAGCAATACCGACGTTGTCGTCGATTCCATACTCGCGCCGAAGCTGAAGCACGTCGCGGTGAACTGCCAGGTGGGCACCGCGGGCACGTATGAGCAGTGGGAGGGTATGCTCCGCGCGGGCGACGTCGCGCTCGAGTCGCTCGAGCTGCATACCAGGGGCTGCCCCTTCGACAGCTTCGACGACCTTCTGCGCGTGCTCGCCCTCATGGGCTCCCTGCGCAGGTTGAGCATCACCGGCCCGGACGAGAGCGACCCGTTCGCGACGCGCACGGACGACTTCATGCACGCGATGACGGTGACGGGGGGAGAGAAGCCGCCCTTGCTGCCGAGGCTGGAGGATCTGGAGGTTAGCGTCACCTCGGAGAGGTTCAGCGCGCCGCTCGTCGCGCGGATGCTGTTGTCGCGCGTAAAGGCGGGGATGGGTGTGGTGCCGCTGAGGAGGGCGGATGTTCGCTTGCGGTGCACTGAATTTGAGTATGAGGGTTGGAGATGGACCGTTACGGAAGGTCGTGTCGTGGAGGAGCCTATAGATTGGGCGCTATGGGAAGAATATGATCGGTGATAGGGTCATTAGCATCCCTGTGCATATTTTGGAGGTTAGAAGGGCCAATATGTAACTCTTGAAGAATAGGGGATCTTTGTGAGTCCGCTTCCTAATATAATGATGTGAACGATATCGGTGCCAATGTAAGGACTTCACGTTGCATATTCTGTTCCAGGTTCCCTCATGCCGCGTCCCGCTCATGTCATAGTAATCTAAAGCATATGAAGCACCCATTCAGGAGCACCTTTTGCACCACACACATGCTGTGAGAGATCTGGTCATTATTTGGGGGCCATATCCGCGCATCCTCCTGCCCGGGGCCTCGAAAGCGAGATCTCGAGAGTTCTTCGACTTCTTGACGAATACTATGATTGCCTTTCTAGGCACAGTTACGTAATCCGTAGTTCGACACGTCGAAGTCCGTAAACGCGCTCGAAGTGAACATCCACTAAACGTTACGCGCCAGCCCATGGCCAGCCAGCAGCTGCTGCGAGAACGAGGACGGAAGGGGAAGGGCGTTGCCCTCTCGGAGGCGGACACGACGCTCGTCGAAGAAGAGGACGACCACACGGTGTCGGGCGCGTCGGTACGCTTCAGACACAGCTGTTTTGGTTCGATGTTAACCTTCGTGTGCAGCGGCGGCAGAGCTCCTTGGAACGGAAGCTGAACTCAGACAAGGCCAGCGCGGCCATAGTGGGCGTCTTGACTGCCCTCGCGTTCATCACCCGCTTCTACAAAATCAACAACCCAGACCAAGTTGTGTGCGTCCTCCGAAGCGTCATTCACCGTACTGCAGTCTCATCTGTTCTCATTTCTCAGGTTCGATGAGGTCCACTTCGGGAAGTTCGCGGCGCACTATATCCAACGGGAGTATTATTTCGACGTCCATCCGCCGTTTGCGAAGCTGCTGTTCGGCCTGGCTGGCTGGTTCGTGGGTTTCGATGGGCATTTCCAGTTCGAGAACATCGGGGACAGCTATACGGATGCCCATGTGCCATACGTTGGGATGCGCGCGCTGCCCGCGATTCTGGGGAGTCTCACAGTTCCCGTCGTCTATGCCATAATGAAGGAAAGCGGATATTCGACCGTCGTGTCGGCGTTCTCGGCTATCCTGATCTTACTCGGTACGTTGCCCGTTTCACTCTTTCGTGCATAGTCTAACAGAATCACACAGATAACGCCCACGTTGCGCAGTCTCGGTTAATCCTACTCGATGCCACCCTTATTTTCTTCATGTCTCTGACGATCTACTCCTATATCCGCTTCCGCAAATACCGTTTCATGTGAGGGTTCAATCGGGCTACTTTTTCAAACCTCTGACGGCGTTCCGTAGTGAATTTTCTCAGGAATGGTGGGGTTGGCTCATTGCCACTGGCGTCTTCATGGCTTGCACGTGGGCGTCAAAGGTCAACGGTATCCTGACCGTCGTCTGCATCGGTATAGCCGTTCTAGCTGACCTTTGGGATCTTCTGGACTACCGCAAGAGTAGTATGGTGCGCATGGTTGGATTTGCCTAAGTTTCAGACATCCTGATGACACTGCACAGGAACGCTTCTGGAATCACTTTCTCGCCCGAGCCGTCGGCCTTATTTTGGTTCCTCTGGTCGTCTACTTGACCTTCTTCTGGATCCACTTTGCCGTCCTCACGAACTCTGGCCCTGGTGATACCTTCATGAGTCCTGCCTTCCAGGAGACGCTGAGAGGAAATGAGCTCCTTCTCAACAGTCAAGGTAGATGTTATATAACACCAAGAAACGTGTTGCTGACCGCTATTAGAAATTCGCTACTACGACACTGTCACAATCAAGCATAAGAATACGAAAGTCTTCTTGCACTCTCACTGGGAGCGGTATCCCTTGAAGTATGAAGATGGTCGGATAAGTAGTCAAGGTAAACTCAATATCTGCCTTTAGGCTCCGTCAGACTCAATATCTCGTCAGGCCAACAGGTAACTGGATACGGTCACCCTGACTCCAACAACAACTGGCAGATCATCCCCACGAAGGCGCTCCCTGAGACAGGCCGAGCCCGTGTTGTCCGCCACGATGATGTTATCCAACTTCTACACGTTAACACGCAGAGCTACCTCTTGACCCACGACGTCGCGTCACCCTTGATGCCCACCAACCAGGAATTCACCACATGGCCGAAGGACGACCACAGCCGCTACAACGACACCTTGTTCCAGCTGCACCTGGTCGACGCTCATGATGGCGAGGCATGGAAGAGCAAGTCGGGACACTTCAGGCTTGTGCACGTCCCCACGAAGGTGTCGATGTGGACGTATCAGAACCAATTGCCTGATTGGGCGTTCAAGCAGCAAGAAGTGAATGGTAACAAGAACGCTGCAGAGAAGACGGCGACGTGGTATGTCGATGAGATTGTCGACAGCGAAGGTAATTGGGATCCACTGTTATGACATCGCAGCACGCTGACAATGTTCATGTAAATTCTCAGCTGATCCGTCCCTCCCTGACCGCACTGGCGAAGTGGCTGTCAAAGAGCCCAAGAAGCTGAATTTCTTCAAGAAATTCGGGGAACTGCAGATCCTCATGCTCCAGCACAACGCCGGTCTCACTGCGTCTCACCCCTATGCCAGCAGTCCTATTAACTGGCCTTTCCTGCTGAGTGGGATCAGTTTCTGGACCAACGCGGATGAGCAGAAGCAGATCTATCTCATTGGTAACCTCATTGGTTGGTGGACTTGCGTTACTGCTATTGCGGTGTTCATTGGGATTATCGGCGCGGACCTGCTTGCCCGGAGGCGAAATATTGAGCCCATCCCTGATCGTGAGCTTATCCCCTGTCTTCGTCTTTGCCTGGTGCTAACTTCTGATACCACAGCCGTTCGCAACCGTCTGTGGAACAACACGGGTTTCTTCGTGCTTGTCTGGGCAGTCCACTACTTCCCCTTCTTCCTGATGAGCCGGCAGCTCTTCATCCATCACTACCTTCCTTCCCATCTAGCCTCTGCTCTCGTGGCCGGCTCTGTCCTCCACTACATCCTCTCTGACGACACTATCAACTATCCTATATCTGTACGATCAGCAACGATGAAGCCGAAACGCCCGCTATACGCTGATCTAGGCATGAGGGGCCCGGTAACTGTGATAGCGTTTGCATTTGCGTTGTTCTGCTTGTATGTGTATATGGCGCCGCTGACGTACGGTACACCTGGGTACGTGCTTCTTCATTTCTTCGGGGTACTTTTATTGATATGCTACTGCTTCCGCTCGATAGCTTGGATGGCCACCAAGTCAATGCGCGACGACTATTGTCGACTTGGACCCTCCATTTCGCTGCAAAACCTACGGATGGAGCCTAGAAGGCATCCGGGTAGACAGGGTCTGAGGACTTATCACACTTCCATCCTGTTCTCTTCTAGTCGCATCGCAAAAGCACTGTATATATCGTCTACTCAATCTAGGGATAATCACACCATTTTCTGATGGTTGTAACGTCCGATGTGAGTCGCACAGAGCAAGCCGACGGGTGTCAGATCCCCGGGTACAGTGAACGCTTTCCATAGACCAAGTCCGCAATACCATGATCGGGCGCAAGCCTTTTCTCCCTCTCGCTGTCGGGCTTCTGTATGCGCAGGGTAAGTGACCGCTTGCTGAGTTTTTTTATCTCAAAGTAACGGTTGGAGCGTCTGTCGTAAAGGGTAATGTGCTTGTCTACGCGTACTGATAGTGCCAGTGCCACGTAAGAAATGGTGTCCTACACTACGATCTTTGGGTACCATAAGACGGCTCGCTTATGGACGAACCCAATTTTTACTGGACCCTTCCCCTACGTATACCCAGATATCAGACGGGAAAGAGGGTTCGTCGGTTACACCAAAGAACCGCGCGAGCGCGTCGCCGTCGTCGATAATTTCGGTCATGAAGAGCGGGCGGTCGGTGAAGGTGCTCGACCGCGTCGCGCAGGACTGGGCGAAGTGCGAAGGGTCCGTACGGCGTAGGCCGCGGGGTCCACTGGATTAGCTAGATCCCAAGGAGGCCGGGAGGTAGAAACTGAGCCAACATCGTGAGTAGTACAGGCACCTGGATGATACAGAGGTAAGCAGAGGAGGGCGCAAGACATTTCAAAAGCAGCGATAACACCGGTGGCGTGCTAGTACTTGGACAAGCCACACCCGGATCGTTGGGCCCGGTCTGCTGGATACCGTCGCGCTTGGTCGGTTATGCAGAGTGGTCCTTCGCACTTCGCGAGCTTCGCATTGTATGGCGCCAGCTCGCAGACGTCCCCTCCACAAGAAGCCACCGCGCGGAAGGAAGTGTAAGGACAAACATCTTGGTGGAAGTTCCCCTCACAGCCTGACGTCTGGAGACTGAGCCAGGCTTTGCCGGCGTTCCCTTCGACGCGAAGAAGATATGGTGTAGCTGGAGAGGCAGCGCATTCACAGAGAAAGCTCGTACCGGCAGCGCTCGTCGAAGCTGTGAAAGCGCTGTGGGCTATTTCGGTCAACTCAGCCTGCAGGCAAGCACGAGCTGTCAAGGGCTTGCGCGGTCCACACTCTCTCCCTCTCTCTACGCCGTCCTTCAGTTCCTGCACTCTGAAGCAATTGAAAACTTACCGCTCTGTTAACCTTCTCTGTGCTCATGGCTGCCAATGTTACCACAAGTTCTTCCGCGGACGAGCTGTTCGTCCTCGTTATCAAGAGTGAGTGGATTCTATCGATAGCGACTCGGACATGCAATGCCGACGTTGATGGTGCTCGCGATGTCTCAGATATCAAGATCCATGCCCCCCCTGAGCAGCCCTTTGGGCTTAAGAAATGGAGGAATCGTCAACTGTACATATCGGCCTCGATCGAGGGCATCTCTCAGCCCAAGAAGACGAAGCCGCTGTCCGCCAAAGGCCCGCATGCACGGTGGGAAGAGACAATCTCCTTGTAAGACTTCCTTCAGTGTCTACTGTCACACCCGTCTCACCTTGGACAACCAGCAACCTTACTCAAAGCTCCACTACCATCGTGTTCTCAATGATGTCCAAGCACCTTATGCGTCACGATAAATCTATTGGTGCTTTCAGAGAAAGCATCCAGGTGATGCTTGACTCTGGGCCGCATGGTGAGCTATGTTTTCCTCTGCCGGCCACTATCATACATCTAAATATATTCTCATCTTGCCCCTTACCCTCGAGCAGTCATTCGTGACCTTGCAGGAAAACACAAGTATCAGATAGAGTTTGATGTTGCCAAGCAGATGCTACTGGACTTTACAGGCGCTATTGTTGTTGGAGCGACTGATGCTGTCAACAACATGGATACCGTCCAGCCTATGGCTGACCCTCCAGCAGTGGCTGAAGCTGCACCAACATTCCTCTCCAGTATTCCTTCAGATGTGAAGTCTTCTTTGGAGTCCCTCCTGTCTAAGCTTGATATCCTCTGCCAAGTGGGAGGTGTCCTTGCTGAGGTAAAGAATAGTTATGCTATCTATCTAAGATACTTAGGCCATGTGATAATTAGATTCATCCTTGGGCAAAGATGGCCTTCAATCTTTTCTCAACAGTATACAAGGTTGAGGAGTATCTTCTGACTGGGTGCTGTAGCCCTGATTTTGAGCTCCGTTCAGGTCATCAAAAAGGCAGCAGACTGTGACCAGAAGATCCAAGATCTAGTGTCTACCATCAATGAAGTTTTTACCTTTGCTCAAGAGGCTCAGGCTCTTCCAGATAAATACAAGCAGCAAAAGAAAACAATAACTGTAATGCTCCAACAGGCTGTGGAATGTGGTTACTTTATTGAGGGGTATGTGGGTACTGGGAATTTCTGTAAGGCTTACATCTTTGGCATGCCTTGGTGAGACTTATCTTTTGGTAGGGTTGAGGGCATGGAGACAGGCTGGCATTGACACTGACAAGCCCATTGGTGACTTCAAGGCAAAGTTTGAGAGCCTTAAGGAAGACTTCAAACTCAATAGTATCCTCCAAACTCAACTTCTGTGCATCCTGACTAAGGAGGACCTGGAAGCAACACGTAAGGTGGATGTTACACTAGCTCTGGGATGTTTCTGATATCTTCACAGGAGAAATTGTCACAAAGATCGAGCTAAAGGATATTCCTTATGCATATGGAGCAGCATTTCAGCCCTCAAAGGCTTGTTTGCCTGGGACACGTGAAGCTCTGCTTGATGAGATATGCCAGTGGATCAATAGCAACACTGAAGCCCAGGTGCTTCTGCTTACAGGTCTTGCAGGGACTGGCAAATCAACAGTGGCCCATACTATTGCAAAGCTGTTCAACGATACCAATCGACTTGGCTCCTCATTTTTTTTCTCCAAAAGCAAAGAAAACTACAGGGACATGTTATTTGGTACTATTGCTCGGGATCTGGCTGATCAAATCCCAGAAGTCAGGGACAAGCTTGCAAAGGTTGTCACTGCATCTCGTGGTACTCTTGACTTTGAGGCTCAGTTCACTAACTTTCTGGAGAACCCCACAGAAGGACTTGTTGCCTCAGGTCCCATTGTTATTGTCCTTGATGCTCTGGATGAAATTGGAGATATCTATGCCCGTGGACCCATTCTGGAAACCCTTGCAAACAGGCTCTCCTGTCTCCCTTCCAACTTTCGCATTCTTCTCACTTCACGTGCAGAGCATGACATTATGGAAAAGTTCAAGAGTCCTAGGCTTGTGCAACATATGCGCATGGAACAAGCTTCTCATACACATGAGGATATTTCACATTACATCTACTCCCAATTAGCTCCAGAAGGCTTCCCACTGGAAGGTCTCCAGCCAACTGACTGTCAAGAGCTGGTTGAACATGCTGGAGGTTTATTCCAATGGGCCTTTGTTGCTTGTGATTTCATAATGGCACCAGCATATCCAGGAGTTACTCGCCAGGAGAAATTTACCCAGATTGTGTCTCAGGCTTCTAGCAAATCTGATGAGGCCCTGAACAGCCTGTACAGGACTGTTCTCACAGGACTGTTTGTTACCAACAACCCAGACCAGAATGCAGTAATGGAGAAATTCCGAAATGCTGTTGGCCCTGTCCTTGCTTCCTCTCAGCCACTCTCAATGGAGAGCTTGCATGCTCTGCTCTCAAGGCCAGGAACTCAAGAAGGTATAACCATGGATTCTCTCCAGTGTATCTTGACATATATGGGGTCAGTTTTGGATGGTGTCACCAATACCCATGAACCCATTCAGCCCCTGCACAAGTCATTCTATGACTTCCTGACAAAATGCTCTCCAGATGACATATTTTTCATTGATCTCCCCCATCACCACTGGAGACTGTGTCAAGGGTCACTGCGGATAATCAACACCCATCTGAACTTCAACCATTGTAACCTGAAAACATCATATAAACCCAATATTGCCCAGCAGTACAACACACCATCCCCAGAAGTATCTTATGCATGTCAGTCCCTGGGACACCATCTTGAACACTTCCAGTCTTCAGAAGGGATGAAGACTTCCACAAAGCCCTCTAAGTTAATCAAGATGGTAGAAGATTTCCTGAAGAAAAAATTGCTGTGCTGGTTGGAAATACTTAGCATCCTGGGCAAGGTCTATGTTGCAAGACCAACCTTATTGGAGGTGGCAAAATGGGTACAGGTCTGCATGAACAATACACAGACAATTAAAGCACTAACTGAGGTATTGTGATATTCAGGTATACAATGCAGGGCTGCAACACTTTGCAGAAGATGCTGCACAGTTTGCTCTCTACTTTGGTATACCCATAGCAATATCAGCTCCACATATCTATCTCTCTGCCATGGCATTTGCACCAGCAGCCTCCTTAGTGGCTCTGAACTATCAAACATCTGTGGTGAACATGCTTCAAGTGACTCAAGGTAGACTGAAGAAATGGCCAGCTCAGCAACTTGTGCTCCACGGACACAAGTACTGGGCCAAGTCTGTGGCCTTCTCTCCTTATGGCAAGCTCATTGTCTCTGGATCAGACAACAAGACCATTAGGCTGTGGAATGCTCAAACAGGAGAGGCAGTGGGTCAGCCTCTGAGAGGCCATCATCAAGTTGTCAACTCTGTGGCCTTCTCTCCTGATGGCAAGCTCATTGTCTCTGGATCAGATGACATGACCATCAGGCTGTGGAATGCTCAAACAGGAGAGGCAGTACATGAGCCTCTGAGAGGCCATCATCAATCTGTCAGCTCTGTGGCCTTCTGTCCTAATGGCAAGCTCATTGTCTCTGGATCAGATGACATGACCATCAGGCTGTGGAATGCTCAAACAGGAGAGGCAGTACATGAGCCTCTGAGAGGCCATCATCAATCTGTCAGCTCTGTGGCCTTCTGTCCTAATGGCAAGCTCATTGTCTCTGGATCATGTGACAAGACCATTAGGCTGTGGAATGCTCAGACAGGAGAGGCAGTGGGTCAGCCTCTGAGAGGCCATGGTGACTGGGTCAACTCTGTGGCCTTCTCTCCTGATGGCAAACTCATTGTCTCTGAATCATGTGACAACACCATTAGGCTGTGGAATGCTCAAACAAGAGAGGCAGTGGGTGAGCCTTCAAGAGGTCACAAATCTTTAGGTGAGTATATTGAGATGACTGGAAGTTGATGCACAAGCTCTGATACCTCATTTCAGTTCAGTTCAGGAGGGCATATCTGACTGATGGCTGGTTCCGAACCCCTCAAGGGGATCTTCTCTTCTGGGTTCCTCCAATCCACCGGAGAGGACTGTTGGTGCTGGGCATGGGTGCTATCATCCCTAGCTATTTGACCAGGGTTATCCTTGACAAGTTTGTGCATGGGGATGGATGGGAGCAATGTTTTCAGCAATGACCTTCATTTGTAAGGCCTCCATCCATGCAAGATATTCTGTATAGTATCAGTCTTCAGTCTGTTAGGATGAGGGTCAAAGACCTGGGATCTATGCATGCCTCGAGGGTTCCTGGTCTGTAGCATGTACCTTGAAGTGCACAGTAGCAGATGTAGAATATCCTGTAAGCCTCTCCAGTATTGTAGTATATTCTTTTCTCCAGTTTACCCATTTCGTGAAGTCTATATACAGGGTCCCACAGAGACCCTTGGAATAGTGATCAAATTATCATTCACACTTTTAGCTGCTGTGTCACGGTAATCTATAACTAGTCAAGAGAGCCAGTACCAGCACCCTTTTCACATACAAAGTCAAGAATTGCTCCTATACAGTTTCAATGTCTTTTGGCCGTCATACATGTGATTCAGGTATGTATCATGTAATGGAGAACATCGCAAATGCATGTAACATGCCATGTTTATGGACATGCAGTCGCGACTGCGAGGATGTCTCCCAGCAGCAGCGAGGAGAGTCACAGGAGGGGCCGTCGAGGTCAAGGACTGCCAGCAGGAGCTGCCAGATCTCAGACATGCTTCGATGGGGGCTGCTTTTCAACAGCCTACGCACGAGTACCACCATATACCTCCCTCCATACCAGCAAAACTCTCGCTATGCGCTAGTAAAATATCAAGATAACGACATCTGATTTATACCACCATCCTATTGGTATCCGGTCGCAGCAGCAAACATCAATGATTAGCGACCCTTACAGTCGACTCTAATCTACTTTCTACTTTCCTCTTCAGGCATTAAACAGGTTAGTAAATCCCGGGTATGAATTTATACTTGACAACCTCGCAGTAGCGGTCCCAGTCCTTGCCGTACTTGATGGAGCACCTGTGTATATCACCAACAGTCAGCATAAGCATAGAGTCAACAACATCACGACGCACCGCTCGAAGTCGCGCCCGCAGCGGTGGATGAGCACGGTGATGAAGAAGACGGAGTAGAAATACGGGATAGGGGAGGCGGTGCCGACGACGAGGCCCCACGTGAAGCTCTGCACCCAATCGGCGGTGTAATTCTGGCAGGACAGCGATGTGAGGATGCGAACATGCGACAACGCCAACAAGGACACTCACGGGCTTGCGCGCATACGCCCACCAACCGTCAGTCAAGAGCTTATTCCTGTCGTCAACGAGACGTTAGCTGGAGTAGTCGAAGAAGGCGCGCACGCGACGCACCCATGAGCGGTCTGGATGTACTTCGGGTTCTGCACGATGCTCCACGGCAGCTGCGGGAACGTCTTGCGGTACTGCGTGATGCCCTGACACTGCATCTTGAACCGGCTCTTCTGCGACATCGCGGTGTCGAAGCTGCAGGAGCGCGTCAGGATACGCAACCTTTGAGAGCCACGAAGGAAGTGACGAACATGTAATAAGCGGTCAGCAGAGTAGCGTAGAGCACGACGTAGGCCGGGGTGGAGAACCGGTACTTGGACGGATCGTGGGAGGCCATGTAGACCACGGAGTAGACGTAAGTCTGATAGGGTGGGTCAGAATTAAGGTGCGACGTAGAATGGCAAAAGCAACGTACGAAGGGAACGCCCGCGAAGTTCCAGAAGATGACCATGAAGCCCCACTTTTCGTGGAACATGTCCCACGTCTGGGGGATGCACTCTTCACCCTTGGCGCTATGATTCCGTCGTCAGCATGACCCATGATGTTCTCGCGGGGTCGAACATACCAGGCATTGAGATACAACCATGTTGCCAAGCACATGAACGCCATGTTCTACCAGACGAGCGTGAGCCGGGCGCGAATGAGAAACCATTCAGTTGACTTACAGGGGTAACGTAGCCATACTGCTCATACTGCTTGCAAGCACCCGAGACCGCCAAGAAGAAGCAGATCACCCAAGGAATCCGGACCTCCGCCCACATCTTCAAGTCCACCGTCCCGATCCTGGGGTTGAGGCACGCCCCCATGAACACATCGTAGATAAAGTTCCCCGACATGCGGATCTGCTCCCCGCGCGCGATCGTCCAAAAGTACATCCCGAACGAGACCGCGAAGCCCCAGATCATGGCGACGGTCATGATGTGCCCGTAGTTGTCGATGATTTCGGTGAGGCGGAAGATGTGGAAGTAGTGCAGGAAGGCGGCAGTGACGATGGTGGTGTACACGCAGGAGAGCGCGTTGCAGTTGTACATGAGGGTCTTGTAGCCGAGCGAGGGGACCGGGAGGCCTTCTTGCAAGTAGCCGGGGAGGAAGTAGGCTAGGACGAGCTCGTACACGATGAGCCCGCTGTAGACCTTCCAGGCGTACAGGTTCGGGCTTGCATCCTGGTAGGGATCAGCATGCAACACTCAAGCCAGAATTAAGGACAAACGTACGTCACGGACGTGAGCCCACATCTCAAGCAGGAAGGGCTTGATCTCGTCCACCGAGTGCGGGTACACGATTTGACCGTCGTAGAACCACAGGCAGATCCAGAGGTAGTACATGAGCATGGGGAAGCCAATCATCATAGCCGTGACGCCCCATGGTCCACCAAATTCGTACCTGCAAAGTGTTATTTTCACTTTGCACTTTGCAGACAGGGGACCTCACGCACTTATCATGCTTGTCCAGCAGCTCGTCCTTCTTCCGGCCCTCCTCCGTGGGGACATTTTTGGGACCGAGTTTTTCGTTGGCCGAGCCGTTCGCGACGCCGTTACCGTTGGCCGTCATCGTCGAGCCTCGAGAGCCTGGGAGGGACGTGGGCCAGTGTCGTACGACGGCCCTCGGATAAAATACGTGGACGCCACCGAGATGCACGTCAACAAGCGTCAACAACGCGTCCGGTCGCGTCCAAGTAATTGATCGGAAGGCAGGGCGTCGCTAGCATGGCTCTAGCTCTGCAAGTGGGTCCAAGCGCTTCTGGGATTATTTAGACATATCACAACCGTTTGGGACTACGTTTGGAAGACATCATAAAGTTGTTTGTTCAGTGAAACGTCCGCGTCTTAGAATATCTGATCCTGGACTCTGCTCTATACGGAGACGCATCGCACGCAGCAGCCTGAGTCGCGTGCCCAATATTCGTAGCTGGATCCGCGAGCAATCGATAGGGATCAGATTCTGAAACGACGACAATACTAACACACTGTTGCATTGTCTGTTCTACTGCGGAGCGCGCTGCTAACCTATCGGACAAGTACTGTAAATTGGAAGGGTCATCGATCGAGGTTGCCCGGCAGACGAATTAAAGCTGGACTTTGTCGAACAACTATCCAACAACAGTCACCGCAATGAGCGCTAGGACTCGGAATTGCGAGATCATTTGCAAGACCGCGAGCTCTTGTTCCTCAGTCCAGGAGATAGCAATTCGCGGTGTATCTTCAATGTCGAGACTACCAGGCCACAACCTATGGTCTCGGCCTTCCTACAATATTTATACGTGGCAATGGATATATTCTCGAGGACATTTCACCGCTCCGACAAGCTTGCTGTTAATGCTCGTACAAATTAGAGAACAATATACAAACGGCAGCGTCGGAGGGCAAAGCGGGCGAACCGCAGTGGCCGACGCGTGCAGCTCGAAATTCGCACGCGTGACACCGCGCGCGGCGTCCCTGCGCGTCCGGTGACACTCCCTCCGACGTCCAGCGCGTTCTCCTCAGTCTCACCATGCAGGTCGCTCAGCGCGCAGCGGGCCAGGCGCCCCCAGTCAAGATATACAACGCCGTCTACTCGTCTGTGCAGGCAAGTGGCGACATGCTCGCCGGGATCACGTTCCGATCTGACTGACCCTTGGCCGTCGCGTCGCGGTGCGCGCCATACAGGTGTACGAATGCATGGTCAGAGGTATCGCGGTCATGCGCAGGCGGACGGATTCCTATGTTAATGCCACGCAAATCCTCAAAGTTGCTGGCGTTGAGAAGGGGCGGCGGACGAAAATACTGGAGAAGGAGATATTACCTGGGAAACACGAGATTGTTCAAGGAGGGTATGGCAAATACCAAGGCACATGGTCAGACATTGTTCTATTGCATTTGTCAGTAGTATTAATCCCAACCACCCTATCCCAGGATACCCCTCGAACGGGGTAGGGATATCGCCAGACAGTATGGCGTTGCCCCTCTCTTGGCCCCGTTGTTTGATTTTACGCCAATGGTCAACAACCAGAATGGCCTCCCAAATCCTCTTCAGGGCGTCCAGCATGCAACACAAGCACGACCCTTATCCGCGTCCCCCTCGCTCTCGGGTATGCCAACTTCGGGCGGCTTCCAGCTGCCTTCCACACTAGCACCCCCGCCAATTCTTCCTGGCTCAGCACTCCGACTTCTCCATCAAGGGAGAGCGCAGGGACTCTTTACTCCCTCAACATCTGGTCTGTCTGGCTCTCGGTCTAATATGTATCAGTCACCCGGCGGAAGTTTACACCAAATCCCCGGTTCGCCATTTTCTGGAATGCAATCGCCCACGCCGCCGCCTAGCCAGCAGTCATTGAAGCGCACCTTCTCGGATATGGATACAACATCAACTAGCCGGCCGTCATCACAGCCAACATCAGGCAACTCAATGCAGCCGCCACAGTCAACCTTGGAGCCTTCACCCGACATCCAGATGGCCGATGTATCGCGACCACAGTCCGCGACCTCCCAGCGCGATGCAGAAGATGGCCCCTCTCCCACGAAACGGCTTCGCCAGGAGCCGACTCCGCCGCCCTCGCAAGACGCGCTCCCGCGCGGACAGGCGCAGAACGGCATACCCCAGCGACCGGCGTCGCGTCTGGGCGGCCCACCGATCACTAACGGCGTTTCACGACCTTCTGCCCCTGCTACCAACGGCAAGGGCCCCGCAGGGCCTTCGAGTCTTAGGGGCCCTCGGTTCGCTACCAAACCTTCCATCCCACGGGGCATGGACCCGATGCTACCTCTCAAGGACGACCGGCGCATCGCCATCATCGCCAGCATCTGCCAGGCGGACGACCCGCTCCCGGTGATCGAGGGCCTGCACGACATCGCGCCGGACGACCCCGCGCTCTCCTTCGACGCGGACCTCGTGCTGGACGACCAGGGGCACACCGCGCTGCACCTCGCCGCGAGCATGGCGCGGCTGCACACCGTCGCGGCGCTGCTGCAGGCGGGCGCGGACGTGCACCGCGGGAACTACAACGGCGAGACGCCGCTCGTGCGCGCGTGCCTCGCGACGCACTGCGCGGACGCGCAGTGCTTCCCCGCGCTCGTCGAGGCGCTGCACGCGTCGATACACACGCTCGACACGGCGCGCAAGAGCGTGCTGCATCATATTGTCGCGCTCGCGGGTGTCAAAGGGCGGACGATGGTCGCAAGATATTATTTGGACCAGATATTTTATTGGATTGTGCAGCATGAGAATGGCGACTTTAGGTCGATCGTGGACTTGCAGGATGAGCATGGGGATACGGCGCTGAATATTGCCGCCAGGGTGGGCAATCGGAGTTTGGTCAGGACGTTCTTGGACGTTAGGGCCAACCGAATATTGCCGAATAAGCTAGGCCTCCGGCCAGGTGATTTCGGTGTAGAGGTCGAGGTATGTAGGCATTTATCGTATCTCTTCCCATGTTTCATGGAGTTCCTGCAGGAATTGGCGGGTCCTCCCCGAGCAGACGACATATTGTCATCATTACGATCTGGTCCAACACCGCCCGTGCAGAAGAGTCAAGATATTATAAACGGTAAACTCTATTGTTTTCCAGTCCTACACTCCTCTTACCTGTTGTCTTAGACATGACGACTATGATCCAAGGCTTGAGTAAGGACTTCTCAGCGGAGATCAAGACCAAGCAAGACGCGCTTGACGTCACTCAAATCCACCTCAAGGCCGCGACTCGCGAGTTGTCCGACCAGCGGAGACAAATTCAAGAATGGCAGAAGAAACTCGGCGAGCTCGAGCAGATCGGCCACAGGACGAGAAATCTGCAGCGAGCCATCGCAGAAGAGGACAAGTTCGACTATACCGGCCGGACGGATTTGCAGGGCAAGGATGCCCGGGCCACGGCAGGCCCTGCCTTCCAGTGGCGAGGACATAATTCGACTATGGCTGCATTGGGCGGCACGGTGGATCTGGGATTCAACCTCGACGCGGAGCCTGCGATACCGCTGTCTGATAGCCCGGCAAGCTTGGTACGGTTACGGCGGCTCAAAATGTGGCACGAGCGGATTGAGAAGCTGCTGGAAGAGCGGCTCAGCTCGCTGCGTGGTGCCAGCGCGGAGAAGACGTTCCAGTATAAGAAGGTTGTCGCGTTGTGTACAGGTATACCCATCGATCGTGTGGAGAGTGTAAGTCAAATATTTTGCGGTAGTGCATGCTTGCTTAGTTGTATTTTTGCAGTTGCTGGATGACCTGTTAGTTGCCGTCGAGAGTGAATCACAAATTGTAGATATTGGGAGGGTCTCTGGGTTCATGCAGAAGGTCTGTCTATTTCATTCCTCCCGTACATTAATGCTCACCTGGTCCCTGGCAGGTTCGGGATGGTATAATTTAACCGTGTAAACGATACCCTTCCATCTTGCTTTCGTCGTGTCTTATGAGCTATTTACTCCGCACATCCACGCCATTTGTATTACACACAGCATCAATTTATAATGAAGCCCTAGCTTAGAACATCCTCTGGAGCAAATAGCTGGAAATTACGGTTATACGTCCCAGACACAAGGTACTTCGAGTCCCTCGATAAGTCAACAGACATGACTTTGCTGGAATCCGTCGAGAGGGTGCGGAGCAGCTGCCAGTCGTCCGCGCTCCATAGCTTGACGTACCCGTCATAACCTGCACTGGCAAGGTAAGATCCCGACCGGTAGTGCCATTCCTCTTCCTCTTTCTTGGCATTGTCGTCCGGATCCACGGGCTTAGCGTCCGGATCACTCATGTCGACGTCGCCGTCAGCTTGCTGTGCCGCCTCCTTGCGTACCGTGGGGAGGGGCACACCAGTGTTGCGGTAGAAGCGCACGTCGGCGACGTTTGAGACGTGTGCCGGGATTGTGTAGAGCGCCTTCAGGGACCGCATATCCCATATGCGGATGGTATCGTCTCCGGCGCCGGTGGCTATTTGGTATCTGTGGAGGGGCTCGTGAGATGAATGTGGTACTGCTAGAGTTGAGGTATGTACTGACCCATTGGGCGAGAAAGATGTTGATAGGATGGCTTGGACGTGGCCGTCAAGGACCATGGCAGTCCTTCCGGTCCTCAGGTCCCACACGCGGCCTATTGCGTCAAGCCCTCTGTAAACTCGTGAGACCGCAATCGTGCAGCAGACAACATCTTGGGCTTACCCAGAAGCTACTAGCGCACCGTCGTCTTGGAATTCTACTGTGTAGACTTCCTTGGAGTGCCCTTCCTGTAAGAGCAGCTCTTTTGATGTTGCGACGTCCCAAAGACGCCAAGTCGTATCGAACGAGGCGGACGCTACGTAGTCGCCCGACGGATGAAAGGCCACTCTGCAGACGCGATCAGCGTGACCTTTCAGAGTGGACAGAGGCGTATCGCTGGTAAAAAAAAAAAGAAAAATTTAGCTCGTCATCTCCAGGAAGTACAAAGCTTGAATAATACCTTTTTAGTGACCATAAATGGAGATTCATATCTCCTGCGCCACTAACCAAGTTTACGGCATCTTCGCTTTGAGAGAGAGTTGCTTCAGGGTGCCACGCAACTCCGCCAACTCGGTCGGTATGTCCTTATATACGCAGATCTATCCGTTAATCGTGGAAGGAGTTCCAAGCGACACGATTGAGCTACCGACATACCTCGTAGCGTACGAATGGGCGTGCAATTGGGGATGTTCCAGAGCTTCACGTTCCCGGACCAACTACCTGTCGCTAGAATCTGGCTATTGGGCGCGAAGCGAACTTGAGCTATAGGCCGTTCATCGCCAATTTGTGATCCTAAATTGGCGAATGCCTGAAGCCGGCGTCGTTGTCCCAGACTACACTGCAGTATGACATGCCGCGACATACCTTCACTTCGGCAAAGATCTTCTTGCGCATATCAATTATCCTTCCGAGAGGCAATTTACTGTCTATGCGCTGTTGGGCGACTCGCTTTTGAGCTCTGGAGCGGGGAGAAGAACGGAAACTAGTAAGCACCTATCTGTATCTTCCCATTGGGGTGACAAAATCCAACCTCGGGAGAGAAAACTCTGCTAATCGCCTTCGGGCCTCCCGGAGCTCGAGTGAGCCTGGGGTGTAGAACTCCTCTTGCTAAGGAGTAGGAAATAATCCATGAGCGCGATCTGCATGCAAGCGAAGTTCTGTCACGTACCTCTTCTTCCTCCTCCTCTTCCGTAGACTCCTCGTCCAGTTGCATGGCATCGTCGCCCTTCGCAGCTTGTATCTCCGACAGGACGTATATCAAACGGTCGCGACGATCTGCTGCCTAGCATAGTTGAGATTCACGCGTAGACACCTAGTCGTATGCCTCTTACTCTTTCACCGAAGAGAGTAATGGGCTCTCCGAGCTCTCGCAGCCGTGCCTTCACTCGATTATCATCGGTAGGCACGGCCATACTCCGGGCCTTCTTCTTGCGTTCCAGCTCATCGAGGATTGCCTTATTTTCGAGTCGTGCTCGTTCAGAGCCTAGATAGTTGTTGTCGTCGACGAGCGTATCGAGCGTCAGTTCCGCCATGATGAGCGTTCTAAAGTAAACCGAAGTCGGTGAACAAACAGGGTCCTGTGACAGGACCCCGGCATATGGGTACTGATGTTTGATCCTAAGTGCCCGATTTTCGGCCCTTATGGCCTCACACATTTGGACCGGATATGTCCGCCTCTAGGATCCGGTCAGCCCAAATTGGGCTGCTTATGTCTGCATAAGTGACCTATGCTCGGGCGCCCCCCGGTGTGTCCGCCAAACGGATCCAACCTTGAAACCGGCACACGCCCAACGCTGCAACGCTTTTGCTACTTCGCCCTCCGATAAACACGACCAAACACGCCCATATCAGGCAGGTGAATCACGTGAGCCGGGCCTCCGGTAGTTGGACTTACTTCGCCCTCTGATCAACACAACCAAACAACACCTAATGCGGTAGGTACGTCAGGTGACCTCCCGCGCCGCCGGCGCCGCCTGAGGGCTTTCCCGCGTATAGCAGTCCTAAGTAAATAGCAAAACGACGTACGTAACTGCGTTTACTTTGACCTCATTCCGTGCCAGCTGTTCCTTGTCGTAGAGTGGACCCCATGAGCTATCTTTCGCCAGTAATTCCGCGACTCCTTTTAGAGAACGCAAGTTGCTGTAGTCGTCGAACATGTCTGGGAAGATCTGTATAGCGCCGGCAGGAACGCGTTGGGCACGACAAATCAGGCGGAACTACGACGAGATTCGTATATTTATAGCTACCATTTCGCCGTAAAAGTAGATGGGCTCAGTATCTGCGAGCATCTTGACGTGAGCCCACGAAAACCGCTTGTCTTGCTTGACTATGCGTGCGGCTGACCACTCTGCTGCGCGCCTGTGTTACTCTGCTTAGAGGACGGGGAAAGAAGAACATTAAACAATTCCCTCACCCTTGACAGTAGATGGGTTCGTGCAGGATGGCATACAGGGGGTTACCGTCGTATGTTTGCTTCTCCTGGACTGTCTGCAAGAGCTTGTAGGATAACTTGCCGAAAAGCGAAAGATCGTTGGAAGCGCGGAACACAAGCTCTGTGAACATGTGAGGTGTCAGCGGACATTCACCCTTGAGGAGGGCTCAATAGTGGTACTCACGGTGGACCCTGTCGATGCCGCCTAAGGCTGGGTGTTAGAGAGTAGCGTAGATTTTGTAAGGGTTACCCACTCACCGGACATGCCGAAGTCGATACCCAACTGCTGCCAGCGACTGGAGGTCAGCCGACCACCGTTGGGTAAACTGACCTCGTTCTGTTCCAAGTACGACAAGATGTCCCGCACCTGTGTCGAAAGTCAATGAAAGACAACCGAGGCAGCAGAAAATGTACCAACGCGCTTTACATCCCGGGGATACTTGTCGTAATAAATCTTGTTCCTCTTTGCTACCTGTTCTATATTAGAGGCGACCCATGAGGATTTGGTGTCTAGTACCAAACAGAGATGAGCTCACTAATTACGGCTTTGTATACTGGATCGGGGTGGTCGCCCAGGGGTGCCAGGCCCCCCGTGATAAATACTTCCCTCAACCCTTCGCTATGGAAGGACAGGTAATTGATCGCACAGAAGCCTCCGAAGCTCTGCCCCATAATGGACCACTTCCTGTCTTCCGGGTCTTCTTTGTGGCCCAGGAGAATCTTTCTTATGGCCTCGGCGTCTTTTACTACCAACAAATGACGACGGCACGTTATTCGTCTGTGCAAAAGTAACGTGGATTATAACAGCGTTACCTATGCTGTCCGCACGGAAGTGCTTCAGGTAGTCTGCTATCTCCTGATCTGTTTTGAAGGAAGTCAAGAGTTCGGGAGATACGGCAGTGCTTAGACCTGTTCCTCGCTGGTCTAGGCACAACGTCTGGACCGTGGTGAATGGCTTGAATTGTGCGATAGAGGAACGCTTCGAGATTACCTGGTATCCTTGTTCATGTATCTTGTTGGTATCAGTATCGGGCGAGACGCAGGAGATACAACAGGCAACTACCTCCGCTACGAAGCCTGAAGTATTCGGCAATGGTACCTCGAAGCCGGGCCCACCTAGAGTAAAATGTGTTTCGGTAACAATTCAAATGGACCTCTGTTGCGCGTACCTTGCAAATATACAACTAATAGTTCAGAAGTCGCACATGTAGTGTAAGTTCAGGACATCTACGGCGGCGGGCGAACATTCATTAGCACTTACGGTATGGGAGCTTCGCTTCGTCCTCGGCAGTCTTCGCTTTGGACTTTGGAATGTAGTTTCTTGCAAAGACCTGGATCTTCTTGCCATCAGGCTGGGCATAATCAAGCGGCAGCTCAAAGAACCGCTCCACAATTTTGATTCCCTCTACAATTAAATCGGCGTAACCTTGAGAAGAGGAAGACTGGAAGTATCATGAGCACCTTTGTTAGTGTACGTCTCGAGAGGCCCGATAGACGAGGGTGAAGCGGTGGTCATGGTCCTGTGAAATGGTCTGCGTAAACCTGGTCGAGACGCAAGGCTGCTATAGGGTAGAGCAATCCGTACTGGAGGTGGGATCCTTTATTCAATTAAAGAAGCGATGGTGTGAACTCTGCGCATGAAAGAAGATTGCGACTCGCGAGCCTGCATACCTCGACCGAAAGGCACTGGTGGCACTGAGACGAAGAATGGCGGTGACCATTCAGCCTGCAGCTGGTACTGGTGTCTCAAAATTCTCTCAAGCTGTCTATGATCGATATTGCCTGTTGTCCGCCAGCCTGTTGTAATTGCGTGGCGGCGGCGAACGCGGGAAGTTTATTTAGTGTTGACCCACGTGCGTAGCACAGGTAAGTTATATCCGACTTCAATCCAAGCAGTCACTAGTTCAAGGCTCAACCGCTCGAACTCTGGGGTCGGCTGCGAAGCACACGGAGGTAAATATGTTTTGCAGGATCGCTTGGTGCAGCTTGCCCTGAGTTTTGCAATGTGCCAAAAGAGGCCGAGTGTCTCGTCAGTACGAGTGCATATTAGGACTTGTACTTAAACTCTAGACCAGACCCTGAACCATCATGCCATGATCCAAGGCCTGGTCAAGAGTCAAAAACAAGAATTGGAACTGGTCTATTGTTGAGATCCCTAGTCTGCCCTCTTTGCGCTATAGAGCGGCATACATCGAGCCAGCGTAACATTTCCACCAAGGGATAATGTTGTGCCGGAGCCCAAAGTCTGCAGAAGCTTGCAGGAGAGCTTGTAAAGCGTATCGCTAACATTGCTCATTCACCCTGAAAAGAGTTTGGAGCTTACGGTGCACTCTACCGATACCGCTTGGGGTTGCCAATGAGTTGTATCTCGGAGAAGCTACGCCGATGCTGGAATGCAATGGGGCGCACCGGACATGCCGAAGTCATGGCCCAGCTACTGCCAGCGACTGACGCACAGCCGACCGCCGCCAGGGAGCGTAACCTCATTCTGCTCCAAGTACGATAGGATGACCCGTACGGCCCCTGCGTGGCAAGTGAGGCAGAGCCCGAGCGGAGCAGGGACGGAATGTGACTGACGCGCTCCACGTCCGGAGGATATTCATTGTAGTAATCCTCTTCGCCACCTGCTCTGGACGATGCCATGAAAGAACAGGCTCCGAGAACGAGATACTCACTAAGTAGGGCTTGGTACACCGGGTCCGGGTGATCCCTGGGTGCTAGGCCCCCTGGGATAGACTTCCTTCAGTCCCTCCCTCTGCCCCAGAATGGTCTACTTCCTGTGTTCCAGGTCTTCTCGTCTCCTAGGAGGATGTGCCTTATGGCCTCAGCGTCGTTCAGTGGAAAGGAGGGGTATGCGCGACGCAAGTGATAGGTCTCGCGAGAGGGTTACCTATGTTATCGGAGCGGAAGTACTTAAGGTAGTCCGCGATCTCTTGGTCTGTCTTGAAGGCGGCGAGGGGTTCAGGGAATATAGCGGTGCTGAGGCCCGTTCCGCATTGGTCTAGCCACAATGGGGATCGTGCTGCCGGGAAATTAGAACGTTTACCTGATAGCCCCCATCGTGTATCTAGGTGATGAGTTTAGCACAGACACAGGTAATGGCATACAAGATAGAGCTGCTTCCGCTACGAGCCCTGAAGGACTCATCAGGGGCACGGCCCACCTGACGCAGGACATATTCAGTGACCGCCGAACAGCATTCTGCGAGGGAAACCTTGAAAATATATGACTGACAGTGGAAATACACAGGTATGAATAAGCACGCGTATCACGGAGCCATAAATTGATACTGACGATGGGAGCTTAGCCTCTTCCACTGGCGTCTTTGCCTTGGATTTCGGAATAAGCCTCCTGGCAAAGACTTGGATCTTCTTTCCATCCGGCTGGGCATAGTCAAGTGGCAGCTCAAAGAACCGCTCCATGACTTTGACACCCTCTAGATCGAAGTAGGTGCGATCCTAGGCAGAAGGGTATCACGATTGCTATGAGCACCTTTGTTGGTATATGTTTCCAGAGGTCCGTCATGGGCACCGGCGGTCATCATGGTTGGGCGAAACGTTCTGTGGCATTTCATTTGTTCTGCAATGTAAAGGCATCTTACAGTGTAGACCGAGTGTTGCTCTGCAGGAAGCCCTTTGGTTAAGCGGGAGCGATCAAGTCAGTATCTCAATCACTAGCAAGACCCGGGTTAGGGGTGTTTATGTACACACCCCGATCAGAACGACAGTCATCACCATCCAAAGTTGTTGCCTATCCAAAGATATTAATATTGTGTTCGTTCCACTACCTTATCGTGACGGACATCTGGTCCACCCACATGTTGCACCAAGTCCAGAGAGACGGCTATATTCCACTCCAACCCGCACACGGTTAGGGATTTCATGGGGTTCGGGCTAGTACTAGTAGGTAACTCGGTCATTGACATGATCAACTGGTACAGACCGCAAGGGGGTATGTCTCGCGAGACGTCTGACGAAGCCTAGGTCGACGAGGCAGGGGTATCAATAGAAGCGAGGGGGCAAACACGAGTGTATCCAGGATGAGCATGGTACTGTTTGTAGCACTACCCATAGTTGTCAATAGTTTCTTGAACACCGGAGACACGTATAAAGCATCAAGTTGTGCAGTGAGCCAGGCCGAATTATGGGGCATAGGATATATCCCATGGCAAGATTCAGAGGTGTCAAACATAGCCTGTCTCTCCCGGGATGCCGCTTGAGAAGTATCAATGAATCACCATGGGGGTGCTTCATGAGCTGCACGTAAAGCACAGCAGACAAAGGCATCCACATAGTGATGCACTGTCCACTGCTGGTACCACTGCATCAACACTGCATGGAGCAAAAACTGGGGAACGGCAACCGAGCCGTCGGAAGGCAACAGGACTCGGACAGACTCGGACACTTCGCCAGGATCTTATCAGATAGAATCAATGTTCGTTTCGTACCTTCGATCCCACAGCATATCAATCCCATCGACGGCCTTCCTGCGGAAACTTCGCCCGACAGCATATTGAACACCAACGCCTCGTTCATGTGAGACCAGTCGGCCGACGATGTCTGCAATCTGAGATTCCGAAAAGACCAAAGTCTCAAACTGCCTCCTAAACTAGCGCAGGGCAAAGACAAGCGTTTCATCGAGCCCGCCTGCCGCAACGAATATCCAATCCGGAGGACCGGACGAGGCGCGATCGCGTCGAAAACTGCCATTGACGCGGTCACGTGACCGCGGCCGAAGATATCCGATTCCGACGCATTGACTTCATCACAGCGGCGCAGGGGCAGGACCGGGTGCCACTGACACTCGCAGAGGAAATTTGCGGGAGCCCTAAACCGTTCTCCAGCGCTCGTTATCAAGGTTCTGCGCGACACTGTTCGTTGGAGTCAGAGATAAGGAAGAATTGCTTCCGGCGTACCTGCGGTATAAAACATTCGTCGTGCGCCGGGATGGACAGGCTCAAGGATCCCTGTCTTGTCCCCCGCCTCTATACCTTCGTCCCGAAAGTTAAAAATGGTCCAGCCACATGAACCCGAGTTCGAGCAGGTGAGTAGAAGCAGTGCGTTACACCATGATAGCTAGCTAACGGGACGGGCAGGCGCTCACCGAGCTCAGCGTCAGCTTGAAGCCTTTCCTCGAGGCGAACCCCGAATACAAAAAGGCGTTCGAGATCGTCCAGATCCCGGAGCGAATCGTCCAGTTCCGCGTCGTCTGGGAGGACGACCAAGGCCGCCCGCAGGTGAACCGCGGCTTCCGCGTGCAGTACAACTCCGCGCTCGGCCCGTACAAGGGCGGCCTGCGCCTCCACCCTTCCGTCAACCTCTCCATCCTCAAGTTCCTCGGGTTTGAGCAGACGTTCAAGAACGCGCTCACGGGGCTGAACATGGGCGGCGGCAAGGGCGGCTCGGATTTCGATCCCAAGGGCAAGTCGGACAACGAAATCAGGCGGTTCTGCGTGAGTTTTATGGCGGAGCTGGCTAAGCATATTGGGAAGGATACGGATGTGCCGGCGGGGGATATCGGGACTGGCGCGAGGGAGATTGGGTATCTCTTTGGTGCGTACCGCAGGCAAAGAGGGGAGTGGGTGGGTGTTTTGACGGGCAAGGGGGCGACATGGGGTGGAAGCTTCATTCGTCCGGAAGCGACGGGATATGGGTTGATCTACTATGTGGAACACGTACGTGACAGTGCCAGTTCCGACTCGACCCACACGCTCAAGCATCAATGCCCGGCTAGATGATCGCCAAAGCCCATCCCCACCTCTCCCTCACCAAGCCCTCCACCAAGGTCGCCATCTCCGGGTCCGGTAACGTCGCCCAATACACCGCTCTGAAGGTGATCGAGCTCGGCGGCACCGTGCTCTCCCTCTCCGACTCTAAGGGCTCGCTGCTCATCGCAGGCAAGGGCGAGAAGGGCGGCTTTTCGAAGGCGGATGTGGAGAAGGTTATGGACCTCAAGCTCAAGGGCGGCAGCCTGGAGTCGCTCGCGCAGGACTCGCGGTTCGAGTACGTCGCGGGCCAGCGGCCGTGGACGCTCCTGCCCAAGGTCGATATCGCGCTGCCGTGCGCGACGCAGAACGAGGTGTCTGGAGAGGAGGCCGAGGCCCTGATCAAGGCTGGCACGAGGATCGTCGCCGAGGGAAGTAATATGGGCTGCACGATGGAGGCTATCGAGGTGTTTGAGAACAGCCGGAAGAAGGGTGGTCCGGATAGCGTGTGGTATGCTCCTGGAAGTGCGTACACGGTTCTCCGACTGGTGTAGGGCTGAGGCTGATGTGGTTTTCGAATAACAGAGGCGTCAAATTGCGGTGGGGTTGCTGTCTCTGGGCTCGAGATGGCGCAGAACTCGCAGAGGCTGGTCTGGTCGTCCGAAGACGTCGACGCGAAGCTGAAGAATATCATGACCGACTGTTATAAGGTGCGTTTCCGTGCTCGTGTCTTGCATAGCCTCGATATATGCTCATCTTCTCCTGCGTAGATTTGCCTCGACGCGGGCTCGAAATGGTCCGGCGAAGGCGACAAGAGCGCGCAGGGTGTCCTCCCTAGTCTGTTAAGCGGCGCGAATGTTGCTGGGTTTATCAAGGTGGCGGACGCCATGAAAGCGCACGGTGATTGGTGGTAATTTATTGAGTGTAGCATCGTCCTGTGGACGCAAAATGTACTTTTAGAACGGGTATAAGTAGTGTAGACTTAGAAGGCTCACCGCCTGGCTTAATTAGAACGGGAATCCATGGATGTGCCTGCTTATACTGAGGGGTATACGCCAGCAGGGACAGTCAATCGACGACATAATATCGTCCAGACAGCTGTAGCGTGATATAGGCGCGCTAAACCACCTCAACTAACAGCTCCGACGTCGCCAATCGGGGATTCTAGGTGCAGTTAACAATGTTCAACTTAAGACTCAAGAGTGCACTTCCAAGAAATGCAACACGGCCGACGCCAGCAAGATGAAGGAGATGAGAGGGAGAAGCACAGATTGCCGAGAACTTACGACGAGAAGACATTGTAAGGAACGTCCTTCAGCGCATGCACCGTTAACCATTGACAACTTGAAGCTAGTGTACAATGCATACATATATCCAGCTAAGAGGCCAAAAACTGAACATGTACGATGCTGGCGCTGTTCGCTGCACCACCGGTCTCCCTCGGCAGGATCATGAACGGGTCAAGTCAGCGCAGGGAATGGGACAGACATCGATGGCGAAAAATCGCGTCTTCTTGATGTCCCCCGTCCCTTGCGCTGTATAGGCAGAGGTGCCTATCGCACCGCATGCCTGTGGCATTCCAAGACCTTCCAGACTCCAAGATGAGTATGCGATTACTTTTTTCGCCAGGGCAAAGCGTCGTTGTGCACGACCCCCAAGCTATGGCGCAATTGCAACTGATCGTATTGGCGGCCCGGGACACGATGAGCGGACATGGTCATTAGAGGTCAGCATATAGAGCTTGAAGGAAGAGTTCTCATCGAAGTAGAGGCAGCAGTCCTTCTGCCCTACTCTCAGGCCGCCTTCGTCTTTAACCCGGTATGGCACCCACGTCCGGCTTGCCAGAGGATGTCGTTCCTCTACCAGTGCTGGAGTCCACCGACGAGAAGAAGAGCCCGCCTCAGTCTTCGGGGAACGAGTCGGGCAACGTCGACGTGATCCACGAAAAGGGCTACGAGTCGGACTCTGACCCCGGTCTCAAGGAGGAGCAACCCGCTGCCGCGCTCAAGGGCGTCAAGTTTGTCCACGGGGAACCTGTGATCACGACCGGCGAGGACGTCTCCAGGTTCTTGGTCGACACCAGGGATGATGGTGACCCGGCTCTTACTTTCCGCTCATTTTTCCTGGGCACCCTGTTCGCAGGTCTAGGAGGGGCGCTATATGAAGTACGTTCCCGGTTGCGTTTTTCGTACCGGATCCATGTGTTAACTCTGCCTATAGATCTACATCTTTAAGCCCGTACAGATGTCTGTCTCGACAGTCTTCCTGCTGCTCCTCATTTACAGCATCGGCTTTGCTTGGGCAACGTTCCTCCCTCGTGGCACGTTTGCCGAGAGGATTGGTCTACCTCGTCTAGCACCTGTACTCGATTTTATCAACCCAGGACCCTTCGGTCTGAAGGAGGTCGGTTTCTACATTTCTGACCTGGGTAGGTCCGTGCCTGATCCCCGGAGAAAATAGCACGTAGTCGCCTCCTTAGTTGCGAGCACGGCAGCCTATGGAAGCACTGCGGTCAACAACTTTGCTGTGCAAAAGGTACTTATGAGTATACCTGCGCCGGTCTACCTTGTTGTCTAACGTGCAATGTCCCCCATTAGCTGTATTATGACACGCATGTCGAAGCGTTGACTGCAGTCCTCGCCACTTTCTCCACTGCCTGCTTTGGATACGGTCTTGTCGGCATCCTGAGACCTCTGACTGTCTATCCGAGCGAGATGGTCTACTGGGGGGTACGAGCATTTTCCCCGATATCAGCACACGGAACTGAATGCTCTGTTTATCGCGTAGAACATGCCAACAGTGTCTATTTTCCAAGGTAACCCTCCCCGCCTCCTGACATCTCCAGGTCTCACCGTTATCACGACCAGCCTTGCACTTTGACACAGCGTTCAACCATTCGCGTCTGAAACTGTTCTGGACCGCCTTCGGCGTCATGTTCGTCTACGAGCTTATCCCGGCCTACATCTTTCCCGTGCTCAACGGGGTGAGCGTGTTCTGCCTCTCGGCCCACTGGGCCCAGCAGACCGGGCGGATCAACCAGAAGACCGTCGACGCATTCACCAACGTCTTTGGCGGCGCGAACGCGAATGAAGGTCTAGGGTTGCTCAGTCTCAGCTTCGATTGGCAGTACATTGGCGCCAAGTGCGTGCTCCGCTGTCGCCCTCTCGTGATTGGTAACTCACTTGTTCCGCACCGCCAGCTTCATGAGTTGGCCGCTTACGCAGCAAGGTATGCCTCGCGCTGAGGACTGATAGCTCGATTATTGACTTCGTCTGTGCAGCCAACTCATGGGTAGGGATCGCGCTTTGCTACATTATATTCATCGCCATATATTATAGCAATACATGGAACGTGGGTTAAGAGTTCTGACCTGCAACCGCGATCAATCAGCTCACAAGCTATGCAGTCTCTCTCATTCCCGATCATCTCCACCTCCCTCTTCGCGCCCAACGGCTCTGTCTGGCACCAGTCAGCTGTGTTCGGGACCACCTTCCAGCTGAACCAGACCGCCCTCGACGAAGTCGGGCTGCCCAACCTTACGGGGTCCACCGCTTGGTACTATCTGACCTCCAATCTAGCGGTAAGCAACCTCCTCGAGCAGTGTGCGACATGAGCTGGCCGCTTATGCACATGATTGCCACTAGATCGGCGGCTTAATTGCCCACTGCGTGTGCTTCTGGGGCCCATACGTGGTAGACTCTGTTAAACAGGCGAGGAACAAGACGCAGCCGGATCCTCACTGGCAGGTGAACTTATGAAGAGACTCATTGATACCTTTCTCGACTGACGTGCGGTATGACAGGCCATGCAAAAGTATGATGAAGCACCTTGGTGGTGGTACGGGGTCTTGCTAGTCCTGTCCTTCTTTGCCGGTACGTAATATCGGGTCTTGGGTTATATACTGCTCATGACACTGTCCATTAGGCTTGATCGTAGTGCTGAAAGGGCAGACGACGCTGCCATGGTGGTCTTACATTCTTGCTCTGCTAGTAGGAGGTGAGCGATATCCATAAGTACGATATCTCGACGCTGACGTACAAAACTCAATCTCGCAGCCTTTATAACTGTACGTTCCTTTTACGACCATTATGATTGACATCGAAGCTGATTCGGAGCACAAAGCCGTTCTCGACCCTGCTCTACGCTCGAATGGGGAACGGGATAGCCACTAACCAGCTGATGAAGATGGTGGCTGGCGCAGTCAACCCTGGAAGACCGGTGGCGAATCTATACGTGCGTGTATTTGGACGATAGGGTGAGACAGAAGTATAACGTCGGTTCCATTCAGTTCTCTATGTGGAGTCACGACGTCGTGTCGACCTCTATTGGCCTAGCTGGGGACCTCAAGATTGGGCAGTACCTCAAGATCCCTCCTCGAGTCATGTTCCTTACCCAGGTGTGGGGGACTATTCTCGGTTCGTTCTTATCCTTTTTCATTGAGGAATGGTCTGATCTAATTATACCGACGTGTCTGTCATCTAGGTGCGATCGTGAACTACGGTCAGTGCAGCACCTCTTGCCAGTGACCTAGGAATGTCATCTGATGATTGTCTCTACGCCACATATTCAGTCGTGATGGTCAGCGTGGTAGATGCACGGCACGAAATCCTTGTGAGCCCAGAGGGTTCGAACGTCTGGTCGGGACAGGTTATCCAGAGCCTCAACAGTGCGGCGGTGACCTGGTCCTTGGCCAAGGAGCTGTATGGTCCTGGCGGGCCGTATTTCATCATTCCGATGAGTCTGCTCATCGGCTTGGGGGCAGGAGTTGTTCAATGGCTGATTTTCAAGGTATACAGGCTCGCGTATCTCGTTTCCCCGGTTGCGCTAAGTGGCGTTTGGTATCTTGTAGCGCTGGCCTAAGATCGGTCCCATTAAAGTTGATTCCGTTATACTGCCGATCATCTACATGGTGAGATCGTCTCTCCGAGACATGGTTTCGGTGTTTCCTAACGCATGTTCAGTACTCCGGCTGGATGCACGCGGGCACCAACTCGACCATCCTGTCTTCCGTCATCGTCGGGCTCGTGTCGCAGTTATGGCTGAGGCGGTATCACCCCGCTTGGTACCGCAAGTATAACTACATCCTAGGGGGTGCCTTGGATGGAGGGGCACAGGTCATGATCTTTATCTTATCTTTCGCCGTCTTTGGTGCCTCTGGCGTTGGAAGACCGTTCCCGACAGTAAGTCAATTCGATATACGGAGGCGTTGCGGACCTTATCCTGACGCTATTCCTCTTACAGTGGGCTGGTAATCCGGCGAAGGGCAATGTCGATTACTGCAACGGCAATGGTGCATTGGACTAAAGATACAGGCTGATGTTTTCTTTATTCGGGTCGGTAGAGTAGTGAAGGCGGGTTGTTTGTTCGGTATAGTACTGTAGATCAGGTATTCCATCTCTTTTATTCCTAAACCGCGCAGACGGTATCCTCGGCCCGGCCAGGGTCTCAGGCTGAAGCTGCGTCTGCTGCTGGGATCAATCAAAACATATGACGTGCTATGTAAAGACTCTTGTTCTCAGGTCGGTTTACTATGGCCACGCCGAGCGGCACCAGACCGAATATCTTCCTCAAAGTCCGTTCGACCGGAGTCATGGACGCCTCTGGCCACGAATCGCACAGTAAGGTTTGCCCGGAAGCATGATGGCCCAGAAAGTCCTGATCGATGAGCTCAGTCGAGCCACAACTAATTCGGGAGGGCGCGCGTGAACGGCGAAAGTTAGTCTGCGGATTACTCTCCAAAGCCCCGCAGACGGACACGAGGCCCCGCACCATATAAATACAAGTATGTCCTGGAACGAATGTGGAATGTCATAGCGCCCGCCCCAGAATGCACGTTCTCTTTGCATTCCTCCTCCTCTTCGTCGCGCAGGCCTACGCAGCGCCCGGCGGATTCGTGAGGGAAACGAACGGTCAGCGGATCGCGCGGGGGCTTCCCCCCTTGCCTGCGAAGCTTGGTAAGGTGCTTCCCGGACGTGACCAGTTCTACAAACCCACCCCTGCCTTCGGTGAGTATAGTCGTCCTTCTCTTGTTGCCAGCAACTGAGGCGCACGCGACGCCCTAAGGCAAGAGGTCCGCTGCTTCCGCGTCCCCCTCCCCGTCCCCCTCTGCTGCACCTGGGTTAAGGTACGTTTGGCTTATGTGTATCGATGGTAACCAATTTCTGACTATCGTAACTTGGAATCCATAGCTATATAGGCCGAATCCAGGTCCGTTCAGAAGATGGATCACCCCTGGGTTATCTGAGAAGCGCTGGAGGAATGTAAGTGACCATCCCTCGCTTGCTCGCAGCGTTTGGTTGAATGCCCTGGTCGTCAGCAATGAAATCAACGACCCTACGCCTGATGATGACCTTTATGTCCGCGTACAAGCGAATAGAGCTGGTGCACCTCACGACCTCATCGGCTTGGTATGTGCAATATCATTCGCAGTGCGACCGTCACTAATACCCTCCAGAACCACCCCTCTGGCCCTTCGTTCCTTGGTGCTAGGGCTTCCGGCGCAGGTCACCTCGCCCGCCGATCACCAACGTACGTGTTAAACGACACTTTGGTGATGATCGCCTGTTCTAAATGACGTTCATTCATTTGCGCAGAACGCTCAATCTAGCGCCCGTTCGCCAAAGTACGCTGGATTACCTGATCAGATCCACGGGATAAGGCCGCTCACCGATGCTACAGCTCTCCCCGGCGGTCGGCCCGCGTCGATGGCTGACGACACCTACAGTTCGGCGATATGGTCTATGAACCTTAAGACGAAGGAGCTGAACGGTAATTCACCCAACTTTAAACCGTGAAATGGTGCTTATCACTCCTGTAGCCAAGTGGATCAACCCTGATGGAAGCACGCCGCCCACCCTAATTGCTTACGATAAGGACTCGAAGACGTTGTTCTTGACTGGCGACCTTGATGCGTACAACGAACATCACGATGCGAATGCTTGTGCAGTGGTGCGTTCGAACCTCCCATCATCTGTGCTCGTACTTACACGACGATTCTAATCCTGCCAAATGACAGTCCTTCCATGTCACCACAGGTTAACACGGACTGGATTGGAACGTGTCGCGTTGTTGTTTCACGACGTATAACGATAAGACGCGGTTCAACGTGGATGTCACGCCGTTTTGGATGATGGACTTGCGAATCGAACTTGTATTGGTTGTAGAAACAGTGCTCGGGTCGTCTCGATTCTAGTACTGGACTTTTCTGCTTGGACACTTTCCGGTGATATGTATGGACCAATAATCTTGCTGTTGTTGTATCCTTAACCTTCCCAGTACCCCTCCTACCTTCAGCTAATTACTGTACGAAGCTGTGCTATGCGGGCCCAACACGCAATGGCTGTCGCAAGGCTGTTGTGTACTTAGGCTACAAGTTGTGCGTGCGCCGCAATCGTGTGGTACGGGAGGGGGACCTAGGTGCGACTTTTCGCCGATGTAAGCCCTTGCAAAAGAATGAATGCTAACTAGTACACCTCGATTCTTCCTCTTGATAAGTAAGTAATAAATAGCCCATGCGCGAGACACCCAGAATAACAAGCGACACCCAGAACAACGAGCGACAGCCCTCAATTTGCGTCGACTAGTGAGGAATCAATAGCCCGTTCGTGAGATACTCGGAGTAACGAGAGGTAATCCTTGCGAGTGCTGCGGTCCAGCCAGAGGCGGCGCAGGAACAGACTTCACACCGGCCAGGACTCGGACCGGACCGTCGAGATCCATGAGGCAGCGGCATCGGGGAACTATGGAAGTCACTTCGTCATCATGGGTTCCAGCAAGCAGAATCTATCAAATATACCTGCCACACCATCACACCCCCACCTGATAATGACACGAGGAAGTCAGTCTAGTATCTCGAAGCGGTAGAACCAGTGAGAGTAGATGCACGTACTCCAGCCTTGGTTCTTGGCCTGCTGGACACAGGTGGCGAGCGTGGACGGATCTATGTAGCCGTTATTGGCGTCACCGGTTGTGGCGGGCTTGCCGATGACGAGCTTGTTGAGGCTGACTCCGTTGGCAGCGATTTGGAAGAGCGCAGATTGTGGCCAGGTGCTCGAGGAAGTAGTAAGCAAGCCTGCGCAGGTGGTATACTCCGAGGTTCCCTCTGGCCGGTAATTCAGCATGGTTCCGATGAGACGGAAGGGAACTACTGACGATTGTAGAACTGGATGTTGTACTGTGCCAAAATCCATGAGGATCCGGTGACACTGCAGTCGTATAGGAACGTACCCAATCAATCAGACTGCCAACGGCTTTGTCCACTGCAAGATATCCTCCTCCGCTCCACACGTTAGGGGAGAACCTGGAAGAACTGAATAAGCTGTATGTTGCCTGATTGCGCTACATACCAAGGAGCAACCGCTAGATATAATCATCTCAGAGGAGTAACCAAGGGTGACCAGGTAGATACTTACGAGCATGGGTGATGATGTACTGTGGCGAGGGAAGCTGCTTGCGCAATTCCGTCGTGAAACTGATAAGCCAGGTCTCGGCAGCTCCAGTGCTGGCATCGAAAGCATTAAAGTCCTACAAGCAAAATTTTACACGATGCCAATAGTGCACAGCATGTAGAACACACCTCGTAGTCGACGTCGACACCGTCCAAGCCGTACTGCTTGACCCAGGCTGCTATTGTGTCAGCAGTGCTTACGGGATCCGCACCGCTCGAAGTGGGGACATCGGTGGATCCAAAGACGGAGACGATGAGGGAAATCCCGGCAGCATGGTACTGAGACAGTATAGTAGAACGATCGGAGGCGCTGAGCGTCGTCCACTCCTGAGCTTTGTCCCAAGCACCCTCAATGAGCAGGAAGGAGAGCGCGCTGCAGGCAGGTTCAGTAGATAGTTCCAAGAACAAATATCGAAGAGGGGAAGCTCACAAGACGTTGTATCCCTGAATGAAGAATACCTTGTCAATATCTGCGTGACTTCCTCTGGCAATTTGGACGTCTTACCGTAACCTGGGAGACCGGGGGCGGACCTGTGGTGCCAGAGACGTACTTGTCACTATAGATCACCCAACGCGGCGCAGCGGGCGTCGCACGCTTGAGGATATCGCGGGCCTGCTCGTTCAGCCCGGCGTACTCGGGCTGGTCCAAATCCAGAGGGAAGGCGGACACGCTCGCCAGGAAGGCGAAGGCGGCTATGAGCCCGGAGAGGAGGAAGGAAACCATCACTCGGCAGATGAAGCTGGACCTGGACGAGTACCGGCGGGGAGTGCTGGACGAGCAGACAGGGCGTCTGGATTTATACTCTGGAGTACGAGTACCCCAGGAAGTGGGTGTGCGGTAGCTCAGGGAAAGCCCTCCCAAATGGTCGAAGGACGCATGAGGTCTACATGCCAAACCAGCTCACCATGCGGGAGAAAGCGTAGAGAAAAGACCCGCGGGTAGTCCTGATCGCCAGGATGTTGCACCTCCAGGCTGCAGGATAGCAAGTATGGGTGTCACGAGCAATGGAGGATCCTTGCTATCAAGGGCCTCCGCATGCTGAGCAAGGCTAGGGGGTATCAACTAGGCCGGGGATTGGTCGTAAAGTCTGCAGGAAATGATAGCGAAGAAGTACGGGCGCTGCTCAACGGCACCAGCGGATCGAGGAAGCAGCTGCTACATTGGCTGGATACGCGTGTGCACTCAGACGAGACGGCCGATGAGCATCCAAGACGTCTATATTTGGGCCATTGCACTTGCTATCCCAGTACCGATAGCGCTGGGACCGTATGGCCAATAGGACAGACCGCAGCGACGACCAGAGAGTAACCCACATCCCAGGTAGTCGTGCACCTGGCCTGCTGTGCTCGTAGGCCTGAGCAGCAGTGCAGCAAATGTTGACTTACCCGTTGTTGCATATCATGAGTCCGGGGTGGACATGGACATGGACATGATATCCTCGTGGCACCCCTGTACAGATAGAAGTCGATCCGCACCTAAATGGTCCGAGAGGAGAGCACGGAACGAAAGCTGGAAGGACCGTCGTTGGAGATACGGTAGGATGTGGTCTGCCGCGCCCATGAGAAGCACGGCATGTGCTGATACGAGTCCATGGGCACACATGGGTCGTACATTTCCCATGAGCGTCATGGATATCTACGACGCAGACGTTAATTTTAGGATGACAAAAGAGACATCTCTGTCGTCCGAAGCCCGCAGCAGTCTTAAATCGTTGTATCCTGGGATATGATACAGCTACAGCGCGATGCATATGTCTGCCGTTGCACATCGATGATAGCAGAGTATCACACTGACGAGTCCGGAGATATTGGTCAGAACCGGTGATAATGGAGGGAGTTACGGCTACTGCTACCGCATGGCGGCTAATTATGCCATACTGCAGCAGCGAAAACGCAACCAGGGATGGATGTCGAATGTAACTTGGCTGGAATTACCGCCACAAGGTCACAGCTCGTCGGAATGATCCGGCTTCCGCATCAGGGAGATTTCGGACAGCACGCAGTTGGCCAATCATCACGGTCGGCCTGGCAGGTAAATGCATCTCTTCTTTTCTAGGCCTATACCTATTGATTACGAACATCTTAAGGCAGACACCGCCCAAGGTAACTAGACTAGTGTACTCCAGAACTGAATGGTATCCTCTGGTTGATCCCAATGAGCCTGCCAGACCCGTCAGAATCACACCCTACAATTCTCGACTCAAGAGAGAGAACCTACAAAATGATTCCCATTCATAGAGTGTACCTCAAGCTTCCGGTATGTCTTCCCTTCCATCTCCATCTCCTCTATCTTCTTCCGCAGTTGCGCAGCGCCCCAGACAATATCAGGGTTCGTCTGCCGGCACCACACCAACTTGACCTTCAAGCCCGGAAACCCCTCCGCCTCCCGCTTATCCGTAAATATCCTCTCGAAATTCTCTCTGAACACCTCCGCGCCCATGTACCGCACGAACCCTTCCCCGCGCTGCAGCGCCTCGGGGTCCGACACCGCCGCGTCCAGCCGGTGATATGTGGGTGACGGGTTGTCGAGGCTCCGCGTCGCGAGCCCCGCGACGCACCCAGACTCGGGGTCGGGGTGCTGGTAGTACCCCGTCACCCAGATGTTGAAGACGGCGGCTTTTTGCGCCATGGAGGGGATGGAGGGGTCGCGGAAGACGTTGTAGAGGTCGGGGGGCTGGACGAAGCCGAAGACGTACGAGGGGCTGTCTGGATGGGTCCCGTTTCGACGCATTATTCCTCAGGAGGGGTGAATCTCGTACCATATATAATATAACCCCTGAGGTAATCCCTCAACAACGCTTTCTTGTCTTCCTCCAGAAGCCCAAGGTTGGCGATGGCCGCGGACGTCTGCGCGTTCCCGGAGGACCACGCCAGCACGGATATCCCACCGCTCCCGTCCGCACCCACTTTCGGGATCCCCGACGAGCGCGCGTACCACGCCAGGAACGACGCGATGTCCAGCCCGAGCCCGCGCAGCGCCGCCGCCTGCTCGTCCACGCGGGGGCTCCGGATCTGCACGATCTCCTTGGGGGAGATGCGCGTCGAGCCCGGGTAGTCCCGCCGGTTCAGCAGGACGAGGCGCAGGGAGTGCTGCGGTGCCAGAGGGAGGAGACGGTGGAAGACGGCTAAGTGTGGTGGGTCAGTTGTTTCGGGGAGATGGTGGGTGTCTGGGGGTGTTACCGCTGTGATAGCTTGTGCCGTGGATGATGAGGAGGGTTGTGTAGGTGCCGTCGTGCGGTGCGCCGCTGTCTTCGTAAAAGAACTGGACAGCTTTGTCGTTTACTGGCTCTGAGATCATTGCTGCGTATAAGGCAGCAATCAACGACGATGCAATGCTGGAGACCCTCTCGGGACGACGCCAGTCATTGTGGGAGAAACCAGAGAAGTAATGGTAGCCATGAGAACCTATGACAGCACGGCTCTCGCAGGATATCCCACCGAGGATGAGAAACGGGAGAGTAAAGAACCAAGTTGATTATAGCCTCGGAACCGCTTGCGGCACCGGCGTATCTTGACAAGTTTGCGCTGTGAACAGGGCAGGATAAGAGCAAAATCTTAGATTCACTTTTGATATTGCAGCTGACTTCCGTCCAGAATACGACGGCAAAGGCTCACACGACACAGATGCTTCCAGTCCGAGTCGTTCAAGCGGCTCCATAGTGCGTGTATCCCCTACAGAGGCGCGCTGACGACTGGACATGCGGCACGCTGATGTCCTCGCATTTAAAAGGTATCCTGTTCTGTTTCAAGCTGAACCGAGCGGAGGCGAGCTGTATGGACTTGTCAGAGGAGGTCGAAAGAGAATACCTACTTCAGACTGACCGAAGCCTAGGCCTCGGTCGTTGAAATGGCGCTTCAGACCCATCATTGTTTTGGGATCCAGTCTCGCTGTCGGCGCAGTACACTATAGCTAGGATGCGGTATCAAGTGGTAAGGGATTTCGTGTAAAGTGGATGCTGGAATGTTGAGACGAACCGAGGGTGAAGCTGAAGTCGGTCTCTCCTCCTGCCCTCCACTTAATACTTCACTTCATCGCGGAATCTGCCCAAGGCCTGCGAAGCTAGTACCTCCGATCGCTGGTACCGGTGACCTACCCGAGGCGACCTTTCAGATGCTAAGATGCTTACCGTTCACTTCACCGTTTGATGTAACATCTGCTTTGCCGTGCCAGATATATGACTCGAGCTGGCCCTTCGATACTAGGCCATCCTGAAACAACTGAGTCTATCTGGCGTTCCCACTTCTTGCGGTCTCGACGCTTCTCCCAACTAGTGTTGATCCTCGGTTCTCTCATAAACTACGTCTTCCTCTGCTTCTTCGGCGACAACCCTCTGAATGAAACATACCAACTGCATCCACCGGGCTCACTCCCTGGAACGGCCATACTAAACACGACCTGGCGCAGGAGCAACGCTACCCGGAAGCAGACGAAGAAGTGTGGAGACCTCAGGGAGAGCAGCACGCGCGGAACACGCCTTGGCTCGGTGAAGCCGGGATGGAACTGGGCGCTATTGTAGCAATGAGCCTTGGACAGCGGTCTGAGGGCAGGGGCGGCCCCCGGAATGTTGTGATGCACCTCGTCTTGCAAGCTAGGACCGAAGTATGGACAGTGATAGGAGACATATTGTATCGCTGATAGTAACAATTGTGCCTATGATACATTTAGTTGAAGCCTCTGTGGCTTACGCTGACCGAACGTCGAAAACAGGGCTTGCCAGTGAGAACTTGAAGTGATACTGACCTTTCGTGATTGATGTCACAGCCGGAGTTGCCCTGAAAGTGGAACCTATGATATTTATATACCACTAATAACCTTTTTTCTCGGTTCTGATTGGCTGTTCAAGATTGGCCGGCCGTGGTAAGTGCCACAAGAACAATGAGGCTGTGACACTGTGACCTAACGCGTCGATGACGGACGCGTTCGTCTGGACGAGCCACTGCAAGTGACTCCATCTTCAGAGATTGGGACCCAGACCAGCTTGTGGGTGTCTTCATCAACTAGTCTATCTGTCCGTGTTTTCCGACTGGTTCCGCGTCGTCGAGCAGCGGCATGTGTCACGGCAGTGCTGTGCAAGCCAGGGTGACCCAACCTACTTTGGCTCTGGTTCAAATATTGCTTTTGGGTGATATATAAACAGCTGTCGCCACTGGTGCGTGCACATTCCTTTCTCTTCATTATGTCGAAAGGTGCAAGTCAACGTCACCCCTGAAGAAGGGGACCAACCCGGAGGGTAACTCGGAACATATCATCGAACACATCAAAGAAATGGCCAGCGAGGAACTGGCAGGCTACCAAGCATCAGGAATCGATGGCCTGGTTGAGCACATATTTCCCGACATCGCTCTCCCTTGCCCCCTTCAAGCAATATATGATCACATCTCCAAGCCCGGAGGCAAATATCTACCCGGAGAAGAGGAGTGGGATGCGTGCCCGAACCTCAACCTACGATCCGCGAGTGGTAAGCAGGAGAAGAAGCTAGCCTTTCTTCTGAAAGGCCTCTCCGGCGACATCGGCACCTTCGTTCGTACTACATTCCATTACGATGTCCATCCCCGGGCTGTTACGGGCAACTTCGCGGGGGGCGTCAGCCTTCCCAGAGGCCCTCCAAATACCGGTCGGCATCCCGATCTCCTTTTCTTTGAGAAGGGTGCAGCATATACATGGGAGAATGTTGTTGGCTGTTGGGAGCTCAAGAATAACAGCAGCTCTGACAACAAGCACGAAGCGCGTCGCCAACTCGCCGAGCGCGCTCTCATGATCTATGAATCTCAGGACAACAGGCGCTTCGTACCGGGAGTGTCTGTCCTCGGTTACCAGATTATCTTGCATGTCATCGATCGTGCCGGTGAAGTGTCGTCTGCTCCATTCGACATGCGTACAGAGCCTCTCTTGTTCCTGCGTCTCGTGGTGGGCTTCATGTTTTCGGGGCGGGAATACCTTGGCTTTGATCCCAATATCAAGGAGCTTGACGACGGGAGTCGTTGCATAACGATAAAGAACAAGACGTACATGATCCACCAGAGGTTGCACAAAAGCCATAACCTTCGTGGACGCGGGACCTCTTGTTGGCGGGCAACTTGTGAAGGCGCCGCGTATGCCATCAAAGACTATTGGACGGACAAGAGTCGTGCGTCCACGGAGGCCAAGTTGCTCTCGAAGGCCAAAGGAGTGGAAGGGGTACCAACCTTGGTAGCTCACGATATCATCACCTTCAACGGGAAACAGGACACGACAGGCCTAGTCCGCAAAGTACTTGACAATCCTCTGTACAGAGAGCAGTGGGAGATTTTTGATATCCGCGTTCATCGCCGTCTTGTCTTAATGCCATTTGCTATGCCTATCTACTACTTCAAAACGAAGAAGGAGTTAATCGGGGCTTTCATAGATACTATCCAAGGTATGTCTGTCCTAGATGGTTAATGCGACATCCGCGAATGACGGCCGGTCTGTGCTTATAGCGCACAAGGACTTGTTGGAGAAGGCCAAAATCCTTCATCGAGATATCAGTATTAGTAATCTCATGCTTGTGGCGCAGATGGAAACTGGCCGTAAACACAGACGGGGTCTTCTTATCGACCTAGACTATGCGACGGAATATCCTGAACCGGAACACAGGCAGACGGCTCAAGGTGCCAGAACGGTTAGTGCACCGAACACATCTTCCACAGTTGTGCTAATGATTTCACAGGGCACGACCCCGTTTATGGCCCTTGAACTACTGAAAAGTGGTGCAAAGGTTGCCCACAAGCCCGAATGGGACTTAGAATCATTCCTCTACGTGCTCATATGGATTTGTGTCCTCTACTTCGGGCCGTGCAATAGACGACGCACAGATGTGCTAGTCAATGACACCACCTTGAGTGGCTGGCTGAGAGGTGATTTCAAGACAATTTGGGAGAACAAACTCGGCAGGATGAAGCTTGACGAACTTTGGGCCGACTTGCTGGACGAATTTGCCCCTTATTTCGAGGATCTCAAGTCGTGCATTTCCGAGTGGCGAGCACACCTTTTCCAAAGCTCCGATCCGCGAACGCACGACAAGGTCATTGCCATCCTGCGGGAGACTTACAACAAACTTCCGGACGAAGAGGAGCCCTTCACAGACCCCACGCTCGTGATTGCGGGCCCCTCGGCACAAGCATCCGCGGGGCAGGATACTGCACTGCCTGTCACCCCAAAGCGAACGAGGAAGGAGTCAGATTTCTCGGACGTCAATCGACGGGAGGATGTGATGCATGGCGGGAAGCGCCTGCGCAAAGACAAGCTGGAGAATGCCTACTATTCGGAGCAACTTTTCCCGTCAGGCGGCCAGAGCTCTCATCAAGCCTCCCTGGGCAGCTTCGCACCGACGGACGCAGAGGAAGGGTGTTCCTCGTCTGCTTCGGGGTCCGTAGAACCCGCCCACCCGCTCCGAAGGACTCGCAGGGAAAGTGTGCCGTCGTTGAAGGTACGGGAGAGTAGGAGGTCCTGAAGCAGCTGAAGTCCGCAAGCCTGGTTCGGGATATGGAGGGAATAGGATTGTTTGGTTAAATATGTGGTTGGATGTGTGCGGTATCTACTGGAGGTTGTAAGTTCGCTGTTTCTGCTGTCGCTCGCTGTCATGTCGTATGTGCTCTGTCCTCGCTGTCGCAATGATGAGTTCTCTGTTCTACATGTGCATATGGACCGTTTAGCGCTCTCCGTCGATAAACCATCGCGTTAAGTAGAAGAGTGATCAACGACTGGATGAACTCTTCGCAATTCGCCCTTCCTTGCCATTCTCATGGCACTATGTAGTCGCTCAAGATCAAGCTCTGGGCATGTGATTCGCCTATCGGCCACCAGGACGTACGTGGTATTTACGCATAACAATGCATCTATCTATCTATCGTCAAGAAACAGAGCACCGTATAATTACACTATAATGTTACATTCCCAAGCGATCATCAATCAATCCGAGTCGTCCAAAGTGGTTCGCTTCGTCAAGTAATCCGATACCAGTCCGTGTATGCGTGCGAGGGGTATGCTGAGTGATGCAATAAAAGAATACGGGACGTGATCAAGGCGAACGCGTGAATCGGAAAAGGCCAAATAAGGAATAGGGAACGCCCCAGTCAAAGGACTCCTGTTAAGTAGTTTCTCGGCACAAAACAAGCACGAGGCCCCCCTTACCCCCCCGTGCCTGCCAAGTTTCGGCACAGACAGCCGTCGGTCAGTCGACCCCCTCAGGACAACACTCGTTCCCCCCAGACAAGTCGGTGCCGATGCGCCCTGTACGCGCCCCTCACCGCTGTCCACGCGCCCCACAGGAACACCAGCACGCACGCGGCGAACAGCGCGCGCATGAGCGCGCGCCAGCGCCACGACACGGGCGCGTCGCGCGCGAAGACCGCCGCGCGCCAGCGGTCGTACCAGTCGCGGTTGAGCCACTCGAGGTCGGCGACGAGCGCCTGCGCCTTGCGCCGCCCCGCGTCGTATGCCGCGCGGACTTGGAGGGTCTGCGTGCGGATGGTGGGGAGCTGCGAGGAGAGGGAGGAGAGGAGGGAGAGGGAGGAGTCGAGCTGCGCGGTCATGCGCGGGACGTAGTCTGTTTCGGCTTTGCGTGCGCGGGCGGTGTTGCGCTGGGGCGGGGGGCGGGGTCAGTGGGTGCTAGGGTGATAGGGACGATCAAAACATACCCGGAGAATGGTGATGGCCTCCTGCAGGAGCCCGTCTATCGCGCGGTAATTGCCCAGGTGCTCGGACAGTCTCGACTAGATACCATAGTGGATATATGTCAGCCGCTGCCTGGCTAGGGAGCGCAGTACGGACCTCGACTTCCTTGAGCTGCCGCTCGTACCCGACGGCGCGACTCAGCGTCCTGTCGACGACAACATCGAGGCTCCTGACCGCGCGCTAACGTCAGAAAACTTCCCCTGGCGGAGCTGCAGGACGGCAACGCTCACTGGGTCGGCACGCTGGGGTACACCGCGCCGCGGGGGTGGTGGGAGACGCGCTCCTGGCTGTACTGCGACGTCGGGGACGACATGGACGACGAGCAAAGCAGAAAGGAGAGGCGGGGGACAGGAAAGGAGGCGGAACTTGAAGCGAAGAAAAGGAGAGAGAGAGTTAATAAAAGCAGCCTCGGATCGGACTGTACGTAAATGCCCCGCCTCAAGGCCATCGCGCACGTGACTACCTTTGTGGCGGGATTGCATCACTTCATTTCGCTGTTAGACTTTAATTACAGTATTTACAGCGATACAGCCATGGCGCCGACGAGAGCGCAGCTGCTGAAAGCCGCACAGGCGCTCTGCGACGACTTTGCCGCAAAGAAAGACCTCGACGCGCTCCTCGCGCACTTTAGCACGACTCACCAAGCCACCGCCGTCGAGCACGGCGAGCCCTGCCTCGCGCCCTTCCTCGGCCGCCCCTTCACCGGCCACGACAGCATCAGAAAGTACTTTCAGCTCCTCCAGGAGCACCTCTCCTACGAGGACATGCGCTTCTCCGAGTGGGTGGTCGACGCGGAGGCGGGCAGGGTCGCGGTCAAGGGCCAGGCGGACTTTACGTGGACGGCCACGCAGGAGGCGTGGAGCGAGACGTTCCATTATGCGTTGGATTTCGACGAGGAGCTGAAGGTGACGGATTATCAGGTCTGGGCGGACTCGGGGGCTGCATATCTTGCGAGGAAGGGGCGGTTGAGCGAGGAACGGAAAGTACGTTGAGGGAATTTGTCTGCTCCTCCCTGCTTACGGTGATCGATGTAGGCAGATACAAAGTAAACTCGATATTGTTGCTGTAATGTAAGATACTCTTGATGAAGAATGTCATAAATCGTACCGTTCTGTCAAGGTTATGCAACTCACGTCCGAGATTTGCATAGTGGTACGCTGAGCAATACGTACGTCTTCAACTTCTTTGTACAGAGGTTCGTCGGCGATTCATTCAGTGAGGCACGCAGGGCGGAATTATCGACTCGGACGTTCGGACATTTGCCTCCGAAAGGTGCGGATAAACCTCGGATAAATGGTACCCTACACGGTTACACCCTCAACTCTGCTACAAACCTGCTATGCTGCATTTGCTTGACATGGTTGAGCTGCTACACACCCTATTGAAAACAAAAGCAGAGCTAGCTCGTTGCCAAGGTTATCCAGAGCTTGCCAAGTTGCGATGACCGCACTGCACCGGGCTTAAATCTGGTGCTAGGTCAGCAGGCACTCATACATTTGATATCACTTTATGCCAGAGCTGCAACTGACTAGGTCTCCGCGCTTACTACAGTACCACTACCACAGCGCCACTAGATACCTCCGTGCTTCTGCATGCTTTCCGACCCAGTCAACGACAGAGGCGTCCACTTCTCCTACTCAGACACCGGCCCACCTACAGCGACCTCCGAGCCCTACAGCACGCTTGTCCTCATCCACGGCACCAGCTACCACAGTGGTACGTCTCTCCCCCCGCTCCATTGCGCATATACCCATCCTTGCTAGCAATCTTCCGCCCCCTCATCCCCCACGCCCCCGCCAACAACCTCCGCCTCGTCCTCCTCAACCGGCGGGACTACCCCGGCACCACGCCCACCTCTCCCGCTGAAGTCGCGCGAATCAGGAGTGACGACACGCATGTCCAGGCTGAAGCACTCAAGGATCTTGGTGTGGAGCTCGCGCAGTTCCTGGTGTGGTATGTGCGCCGCGCGCGGGTGTCGGATGTCCAGAGCGGAGGGGGCATAGCGGTGCTGGGGTGGAGCTCGGGGAACGCGTGCGGGTGCGCGATGCTTGCGCATTTGAATGCTTTGGGCGACCAAGAGCAAAATGTGATCAAGAAATATCTGAAGACGTACATCATATACGGTACGTACTTCCGCGTCCCCGCTTTCCCGTGAATGTGCAATGCAGAGCCCACCGCAGATGCGCCGTGCTACGTCTTCGGCCTCCCGCCCCCGCCCGAGGTCTACGACGCCTGGCAGGACCCCGCGCTGCCCACCCTGCAAGCGAAGACGCAGGCGTTCAACGCGTGGGTCACCGCGTACTTCCACCACCCTGATGCGTCGTCAGGCGATTTTGCTGGTCTTGCGAAAGGACCCGTCGTCAACCCAGCCCCAGAGAAGACGCCAACGATTCAGAGGTTGAATTTGGCTGAGGTGACGGCGCCGGACGCGCGAACGAGGGGAGAGGGGTGGGTGCAGTATATCGATGGTGGGGTGTATAGAGAGAATGTACGCAAGATCTTTCGGGATGAGAAGTATGTGGGGATGTTCCCGGGTCTCAGGGTGAGGCTGGTGTATTGCGACCAGACGATCCCCGAGATGGTCTGGGCCGCGCATAGGCTGAAGAAGGAACTGGACGAGGGGAATAGTGTGAGGAAGTTGGAAATACGTGTTGTGGAGGGCAATCATTTCGTGAGTTGCGGGGCCTTACGCTTGTTCGACAATGTTATTGACGGAAGTGCGCGCTGACACTGGTCTGGTTTACGAAGGCACATTGGGATAAGCCAGAGGAGACTTTGCGCTCGTGGGCGTCTCTACTCTGAGCTTCGCGCTTCCTGTTGTATACGTGGATGGCGTGGCGCCGTTCAGAGTGGTTGAAAACGGCAGCGAGGCTTTTGGCATTATTCGTCTTATGCATCCAGCAGCACACGTCGTATTCGCCTACTGAGATACTCAGATATCTCAAGGACTCGTACTTAACCGCTCTGGTTTTCTGCGGCAACTACATCCAGCCAGACCTCCCCCCTCGCGGGGACTCCCAAATAGCTGTCCCCCCGCTAGGCCTATTCTGCATGCTCAAGACGTGGCGTATGCTGGGCTCATTATGGTTACTCCGATATCCGACGGTGAATACAAGGGCTACTCGTGCTCCGCAGTAACGGGTGCCTATTTCTGTACTGCATCGTATTCTTCGACGCCGTCTTACGAGCCTCGTGTTGGGGTGCACGACGTTGGCTGTCCAGCTCGTATCAAGATCCTTGTGGCACCCTTCCGCCCAAGCATTCTTGAACAGCCCTCAGGCCAAGCGGGAGTGGGGTCGCTCTAGTTTTTAGAAAACGTGGCGTAGACGAATGCAATGCCCGACCCGCTGAGCCATCGAAATGGAGATACCTGTACAGCACCTGGCATGAACACTACACCCTTCGCGTGTTCCCAAAGTCAGGCTAGTACATCGCGGGCAGCCTGCCTACCCGACGCCTTGGAGACTTCTTCACAGGAGGTTCCCTGTGGACAGCGAGATGCGGGTGTTGGGGTCACAGTGCCTCCAAGTACGCGTCATCGCAACCCCGGGCGGAAGTACGACCGCTGAAGCCACCCGTCCATTCCCTGTCAGCATTAGCACTGGGACTCCAGCGATGTTGCATTGACGAGAAAAAGAGGGGCTCCTTCCGAAGAAGAGAGAGATTTCAAAAAATACGACGCGGGACTCATCCCGAAGGATGTGGCGCGAGGATAATCCCCAAGGACTTCGCCTGATGGCGGAAAGATACAGTCTCAAAGAGGTAGCGGCACTGCTTAAGGAAGAGACATATCGCCTGCTGAAGTAACCGAAGCAAATTTGATGTTTCCAGGTGTCATGATGAGGAAAACCCCGAGGTAGTAGATGGCCATGTCAGTCGCTGTAGCACCACAAGTCGACCTTCAGACCGGGATAACGAAGTTGATCTCCTTTGGTCAGTCGACACTCAAAAATCGGCAGAGGCTTGAATAGTATCGGATGGCGAAGACGGTCGAAAAATATGGGACTACTATGGAGTCAGACATCAGACGAGAGATGAGACAAGACACCAGGAGGTTCAATTTCGAAGCACGGAAGATAGTCTTTCACGATTAGTTATTCGGTCGATAGTCCTTGCGGAAAGTCGGCATCGCTCAGACGGGAATCCTCGGAATAGGTCCTGCCAGAGAGGGATTCGGAAGTGTCGCCAGAGTCTCATGAAGGGAGACCGTACCGGCCCTTAGCAGTATGGCAGGCAGTAACTTGTCCGGCCCAATGCATCGAAGCGAGACTCGAAGAAACCAATCAAATAACACTATCAACGAGTTAGAGCTTGAGGAAAGAGCACAGGGAGAAAGGTCTAGCGCCGCCGAAACGTGAGCCGGGATATAGTGCAAAGCCATTGTCTCGGACAATCTGAGCGTCTATCCGATGTTTTCGAGCACGCTGGAGTGGCGAGGTCCTGCAAGATGGGGTGGCGTCTTGCTTCCCATAGGCGCCAGCGAATTGTGGGTCCCAGCGATAGACAATCGCTAGAGCGTCCTATTCCAGAAAGCCGTCGGGTGAAGCAGGGAAGTCAGATGAGAGAAGGCAGATGGATCACACTGAGGCGAGCTAGCGTCGCTCTTATATATCTTCGCCGACCTTTCACTTTTTTGTGCTTTGTTTCAACAAGGGGAATCGTTTGTTGTTCCTCCTTGCACAAAGCACAAAAGGTGTCGCCACTCGCGAGCCTCATGAAAGCCTAACCTTTGACGCCACCTGGATCCCTATCAGGCAATCATAAATAGAACACCTGCCTGCACACTGCCACCGTCCGCCGGCCTCTTGTGATTGTCCGGGTCCGGCACTCCTTACCAGATAGAAGCCGGGCGTACAATAGGAATCGAACGGATCTGCCTTGAGGCAACACTGCTTTCACAGCAAAAAAATTAGCGTTAATTGCCTGCAGGATCACAGTGCATCAGACGTGGGTTTCCTAACCCAGAACAAATAATTGCACGCCGTAGCCGCTCCATATGCACTCGCCACCCTGGGCGCCAGAACCCAGGCACCCTTCCAAGGGAGATACACCATTCCCCTGACTTCGGCTTCCTTTCGCGACGGCAGGCCGTGTTCGTAGGTGCGTGTGATCCATGACTTGTCGCTCCCAGACTTCTCGTTTGGAGGGGGTGACAGTGACCGGTACTTCTGGAAAAACCCTACCAATTCAGAGGGATTGATAAACTTGGCGTGGCTATGCGTGCCCACAGACACTTTGCGGAGAATGTGTTCCGCGGCAACAATTGTCAAGAGATATGAAAGGGGCGTGCGCGCTATGGTCGACAAAAAAAGGTGACCGCCAGGCTAAGCAAAGTATATCCGTAAGCAGTCAGGCATCATGGTTCCGGTTCCAACGCGCGCACCTTGAGAAGCTCGGCGCAAGCGGAGAGAAATCCCGCCGGATTGTCAACATGCTCGAGGACTTCCATGGAGCACACAATGTCATATCGCTGAGAGCCTCGGAGAAGTTCTTCCGCCGACGTGTATGCGTAGGTCAAAGATCCTTGGACGCCGGCTGATGCAGCAGACGGCGTTCTTGACGACAATCGTGGGTCAGCAGCAGCATGCAATGATGCGATACCAATATTTGCTTCCGACGCGTCGATACCCAGGGTACAGGCGCCTAATCGTGCCAGACTCTAGTGATTCTGTCGTAAATGAGTAGGACCCCTGGAATAAGGGACACCTACTTCTGAGAGCAGTCCCCCACCGCACCCCACATCTAAGACGTCCAAACCTTTCAGTAACCCGGGGCCATTCTCCATACGAGCAGCTACGTCTTCGCCCTGCTCTTCCCTCGTGATCTCGAGAATCTTCTCTCGAATAAATTGCATCCGAATGGGATTCATCTTGTGTAGAAAAGCAAATTCCCCGTGTTCGTCCCACCATTGCTGGGATAAGCGAGAGAAGAAAGCTATTTCAGAGGGGTTGACGGTCGAGGAGGGGGACGCTCCCGGGGACGCGTCTACGCGACGGGCAGAGGTATCGTGTGACGACCTTGAGTGTACGCCTCCTTGAATTTCTTTATAGCCGAAGTGACGTCGTTTCGAGATACGACGAGCAACTATCCAGCCTGAGTTGAGACTGAAAAGGTAAGTTTGGAACGCAGTAATTGAATACGGAGTTCCATACCCGGCAGTCATGATGTTCGGCGACCTAGCACTCCTGTCTACTGAGTGAAACTTGTGAACACAAGGCCCAGTGTTTGACCTGGTGTTGTTGCCACGGTGTGGCTTGGGGGTCGGCGTACAGAACGAACGCGTATTGCACGCGTCTCCTGGTTTGCTTAGCGCCACCACAGCTCTCCTGGCAACTGGGACTTGACTGAGACTCTTGATCCTGCATATTGTCTATCATATATCAACTACAGCACCCTCTTCATCTCGTAGTCTGACATATGCGCAGAGATTTCCAACCGCTACTAATCTCTCAAGTACAATGACGGACCGAAGTTCCTGGTTGAAGGGGACGCGCTGATGTATCACCTACGGTGAGCCTTACGGTCTCGTACCTCGAGGCTGTCCTTATTACAGTCGGTGACGGACGGTCAAACTTCCGAATTGGCTGGTCGCCTGCGCAGGGACACTTTACAAGAAGTGAGTGTGATTATCAAAAGCTATCCTGTGCTGTTGCTCTGGATACGACCGAAAAAAATAGACCATCGGTACAAGTACTATGTCTATCTTGACCCGATGCCCAAGTTGCAGACCCATATTCTTAAGAGTCGCAACGCCACCAGACGTAAGGTACGGCTTCATTCATCTGTACTCACGATTCAGAATGTAGCCAGGTCTGTGCGCCGTAGACCCGAGTGTTCTCGTTGTATGCTGGGGTGGGCCTCCCGGGGCTCACATCATTCGCCATCTGAGGGGGTGATAGAGGCTTCACTGGGTACCCAACAGATGCGCTCTCACATCAACCAGATTATCATGATGATAATAGCGCGGCGTAGACCTTCGCGAATACGACGATCATTACATTACTCAGACTATCGGGCGCTGTGCAATTGTCGTCCATGTCCGTGCGTATCGTTTCCTATCTCATACCGTATCTGCAGATAGAGTTCGCTCACAACTTCTAGGCCTGGCATGGTGTGGGCGAGCAGCTATTAACAGACTCTCGCGCAATCGCTCGGCGATGTCGGTGCAATTACTGAAATAGGATTCCCGACGCAGCAGCGGCGCCGCCGATTCTAGCTGGAAAGTTCATCAAGTGAGAAAATCGCATCTCGCACATGACCTCTATGAAACTGATCTCTTCGGCCTTGTCAATACTGGAAAGCCGAGCCTCGCAATCTTGTGGCCAGACCTTCGCGACCGTACAGGTGATATTATTATTGAGTACTACCGCCATCGGTTTTTGTATTTTGCTACAACAACTCTCGACACCCGACCGTCACGTAACCGTCCCGGCGTATTGTTTTCAGGTTGTATAGACAAGGCACCTCTTGTGCTCACCCTTGCTGCCCGAGTGGCTCCATTCGGAAGGGGAGTGGACGTCTCGGCAGCCCGCTCATACTCTACCTAGATGGTGATCGAGAGGCCGCCGACCACATGCAGGTATTTCGAGAAGGAGTCCATATTCCAAGTCAACATGAATCCAATTTCGGCGCGTATGGGAGTTGACGCGCCGTAGTAAGTGAGTTCGCCGGCTGTTCCCTTCTGCCACACCTCATCCAGTGAAGCCTCAGCTTACACAACCTTCTTCCCTCTTACCGCGACGGTTTGCAGCAACCTGATGTTGCAGTGACAATCGCCCGTCGGTACCGCCAATCAGCGTTACGGGTTGCTGGCGAGTCAGCTAACGCTCGGCTCGGACCAGACATCTATGACTTCTTCGCCGCCCGTACGGAGTAGAACCAGGAAGCTCTGCCCGTTCCGGGTCTGGATGCCTGGTTAGCTTCCGTACGTTGTGCATTGGGCTAGGGTTATTCTGCTGCCTCGCAGACTACACGAGTTATTCTATGCAAAGTATGGGCATGATGCGATGCCTGATGATAACTAATCTGTCCATATCTCCTCGTATGCCTCTGCAACGTGGGGCCGGGCAAACGTCGAAGAAAATAGCGTGAATTAGCCATCGTTCCTGAGCGCCTAGTTCTGTCGCACGCAAGTGCAAGTCGACTTCCTGATACATCGATAGACTTTCAGAGCTTTCTCGTGCCGAAGTATTCGTCGATGATATCCCGTAATCTCAGCGCTAATCCCTCTTCTCTTTCTTTATGGAAGTTCAGTCCCGTACTGGAACAAGGATCGTTGCGCGCGGGAGGTTGCCATCGTACGTCGACCTCAGATTTGAGATTAACATATACTCCCTGCAATATCTTAACAGATCCGTCAAGATGTGACATCCACCTTTATACGAGACGCCGAATACGCCCTAACAAGGTTGACGCTCATTGCCTGGCGGGCGGTCACCGATGCGTGTGTCTATGAGTCCTGGCCGCATGTACGAGCGTGCTGCGCCAACTCGAAATGTTAGACAACCGCCGAGCGCAGAAGAGCACCGTTTGTAATAAGCTTCCTTTTCCTACCTGTCACCACCTTGCGCCAACGAGCGTGTTGGTACACCCGACTCGATGTGTCAAATTGCCGCCGTGGGCAGAAGGACAACATTTGCGACAGGCTCCCTTTCTCTCCTCGTGATGTGTCTGATGATTATCTTCGTAAAACATCGTGCCCGCCGGGCTGTGTAAGGTCAGTGCCCGTGTTTGGTCGATTAACTTCTCTGCGCGCCCACAGAACCTCACAAACCCATATCGGCGGAAACGCATGAGAACAAAAGCAGTCCTTCCTCCCGATCCCTTAAAGCGCCATGGCTTTCTTCATGAGCGCTATCAAACTGCCCAGCTCCCGAGCCCCCATATTATAAGTCTCGTTCAGGACGCGCAGCACACTGCAATGCATTCCGACTCCCCCGAATACTGGTTCGACTTCGATGCAGCTTCCTCGAAGTGAGTATCGTATCATTCGAGATTGACATGACACTCACAGCATACGAATAGGACCGGCGGCTTCTCTGAGATCCCGACTGACTCCTTATCCGAAGAGGTCGTGTTGAACAAGCAGTCCAATGGCTTTATGAAGCGCAGAAGCCATTCCATCTCGATGCTCTTTGCTGCCGAGAGCGACGACTGCGGACCGGAATCAGGCCCCTCTTTCAACACGCTGAATGTACAGGAAGAAGTGTTCCCCATCCATTATGAGGACCATGTCCCAGTAAGTCCACTACTTCACTGGTCGCCTCGGTTGTATGTACTTAAATGGCCGCTGATGGTAGTACAACACGCGCCGCGTCATGCTGGATGACCTCTCTCCGATCTCCTGCGTCTCGTATGCTCCGACTCCCGAGTTTACTAATTCCACCCTCTCCTCGTTGAACTCTACGCCTGCTACGTCTGAGGATGATCTGGCCCTCAGCTCATCACCTTCACTTCCTGAGGATGCTTTTATGGAGCGACCCGGCTTCTCTGGCCGGTCTCAGGGACATGAAGTGGATCACTTTATTGAGGGTGGCACCGATATACACACCCGAAGCTTCCTCGACAGCCCATCCTGCCTGTCCCCTGTGGGTTTACCAAGTTTATCCACAGCCCCGGAACTATATCCTCCCATGGATTATTCACGAAGCCCTTCTCCCGTCGACTCTTCACATTCTTCTCGCTCTCGTGACTCATCTCCTTCCCCTGTGAGCCCGTCGGCCCTCTCTTCTTCTAGCCCTTTATCTTCACCCCCAACGTCCGTAAGGGATATGTCCCCAAGTATAACGGAGGATGAGGACGACGAGCCTCAGCAGCCACAGAGACCATTCCGACGCGCTGTTCTCCGACCTGCCCCTAGTACCCGAGTCATCTCGCCTCCTTCCAGTCCAGAGCTTCGGCACTCTAGTCGCCTGGTGCAGCAGCCCCCTATGACATACAACGCAGATGCTATCTCGGATGATGAAGGGCAAGGGCCTTCGCATGCCTTTGAGACCTCCAAGAGGAAGAGGGAGGAGGATGACTACAACGATGATTCTTGCACCTCCGGGGACGACTCGGACGACGATTTTTCCGCATTCGAGCTCCCGACGCGGCCGGTTAAGCGACCTCGCAGCGCGGGCAGGGGAAGCAACACGCCACACCGTGACGGCGAGTTCAAGAAGGGCAGCCGCGGTGGCAATCGCCGGGGCAGAGGGCGCAAGGGGCACCATACGGAGAGAGCTTTTAGCGGGCGCAGGGGTTCGGGTCGCTACGTCTGCACCCGGGAGCGCGGCGACGGGCGCCAATGTGGCGAGAGTTGCACTCGGGCCGCAGACCTAGTACGGCACATCTTCACCGTCCACGACCGAGGCAAGGTCGAAACCTTGTCTGAAGAGGATAAGGCGAAACTCTACGAGGTCACTGACCCAAGGGAGCGGATTTGGTGCGAGTATTGTCGGAAGATACTCTCTCGAGTCGACGCTCGGAAGCGTCACGAAGCTAATCCGAGAGCTTGCTCCGAGTTCCCTTCCCCCCCAGAGGAAGACGGAGAAGAGAAAGGGAAGGCTGGGCCAGAGGAGAGAAAGAACGGACGCCGTCCCAAGCCCCGCCGCGCTGCGCGCCGATGAGGGAGTCCGATGTGTAACATGGCTTGGAGGCCGGTTGCCGAAGGCCAACGGCCGAGGCAGCATGATTCTGTGTTCAGGCCCTCAAGCCTGCTCGAAGGATCATCCTCTCTGCCCGCTCGAAAAACTGCTTCGCTGCGTCATTGTCTCCAGGGCACCCGCCCCCGCATTTGTCGTTGTTCCTGAACCCTGTAATCGGTGATATTTGTATACCATCCGCTGTGTTTCCTGGACGCAGCACGATCTCTGATACCATATTTTTATTTGCTCTCGTGTCGACTCGCCCAAAGCCAGATTGCCTGATAGTTGGCTCTTACCCTGTCACTCGGATATCGCGAAACGCCTGACGGACAACCCTGCCCCGAAGGGCTACAGGCGTTCAATTCCAACTCCTGGCGGACTTGAACTCTCTTGACCCTCTTGTCAAATATGACCGCAGCTATTTTCTGGAGGTATCTGTTTCCCTCACCCCGAATTACGTGAAGCAGTCTGGTAAGCCAGGAGGGTCTTACTTTCATTTAGCGTGCTTGGATTAGATTTGGATAGATGGTCGTAGCATGGGTCATCATATTCTCTCATCCCCACACCCCGCTGATGGAGGGGCCCCTGCTTCACTAGTACTGGCAAAGATGATTAATCAGTGAACTGCATGTGTTTACCAAGCGATCTCTTAGTCTCCGTCATTACCACCCGATGAGGCTGCGTCTGCCTCTCGGATCGTCGAGGCAATGACGGCAGCCATACTGCCACATCCAAGTCATGATTGGACGACTGAGAGAGATAGCGACTGCTTCTTGGGCGCTGGCCCAGTTGAGAGGATCAGCGTTTCGGGAAAGAGATGCCCGTAGCTAGGTGTGTGCGCTTCGGTTCATGAGGCAAGGAGATCTGGACGGGAAGCTTACCTGTGCACCGATACCGCATGTCTTTTTTCTGGGGCGTCTGGAAAAGACCCTCTATTTCGAGTTTAGACTCGTATTCCTGACAACAGGTACCACAAATACAGTGCTTTCGACTCCGTACGAGCGTCCCCATTGGTTTACCTGTCATGGCCTTGTTCCATGGTTGGTAGGTTCAACGATAGCAGCAACTTGGCCCTTGGAACAGGGATTGAAATCACGAACTTCAGGTTGTTCCATGTGCCATCAGCACCAACGACGTCCTTTGGAAGGGATAATACAGAGTACCACAACACAAGACAAATCGAAACACCGGTACCGGTGTGCTAAGTCTAAGCGAGATCCAAACGGCTGAGCTCCGATGTATTTCCTATATACGTTTCCTGACCTTAAGCCAAATCTTGCTCTGCATATCTCGATAGCAGTTTGTTAGTTGCGTGGCGCAACATTTCTCGGTCGCCCGAGGACGCGCGTCCTTCCAGCCTTTACAGAGGGTCTCCCCGACTCCCCCGCCGGTGTACAGCCAGACCGTACATCTGGAGGTTCTAATAGAAGCTTCGTCTAGCCGCAGCTCAGTGCCCCAACCTCCAATGCACTGCAGCTCATGTCATCCAGTGCACACCAACGGTCTACCTTGCTGATCTTGTACCTTGAATGTTAAGCATCTGGTAACTCGGCCATCCCGCACGTCTCAAGGACACCCTCCGCCCTATGCCTGATTCGACATTTGAGGGCGCTATGGGCTTCTCCCACCGCCGCCGTGTCTGCTTCGGTCATACTAATGCACGCTCCTACCAGTATAGGCCTAACTGCTATGAACTCGTATGCGCCGGCTATGTCTTTGTGGGCGAGTGACTGGTCCTACGGCTTCTCGCTGGCGTCGCATATAAATGAGGGACCCTGGGCTGTTGCAGGCTCCTCTGTGTGCTTGAGACTGGACTCCCTCCCCATCTACTTTTCCGCGGCAATAATGAGCGACCGCGACCTCCCCTCTGGCGAACCACCTGATATGTCAGACTACTTCGAGTGAGCACAAGAGGCGCCTTGCCTGCTAGATGCATGTGATAACCTCCTTCAGTGTATCGTCCATACCTTCTGCAGAGGACTTTCTTGAAGCGTACTTTTCGTCCCTTCCATCAGAGGTCTCTCTGCCTCATCAGCCTGGCGACCTTGGATTGTACGAGCAGGCTCCAGCAACGATCACTTCCGTCGAGGCATCACTTGACAGAGCCGATGAAGACCCCTGTCGCTTCGTAGACCTTCCACTGAGTAAAGATGTTCCTTCTACTCAGACTTGTGTGTCATCCGACCCGGAAGGACGGTTTACATCCTTCGACGCCACACAATATGCCTACTCTGATTCGGGAAACAGTGCTTCGATTTCCACATTGCTCGAAGACGAATACACAGCATATGAAGCCGCACCTTCTGGCGACAATCTGGAACAGTCCCAGACCAGTCAAGATTCTGAGGCGTCTAGCGCGTTTGCTGCCAACTACCTCAGTTGGTCTGACTTACACTTCTACTCGTCGACCGCTCCCTCGTTACCAACGTCTTCTGTGACTACGGCAACATCCTCCGACCTATGGCCGGAGGTCGAAAGTACTGCTGTTTCGACATCGACATCTGCTATTATTGCGTTGCCGAGCCCTTCTGCCTATGCCTACAACAGCTCCACCTTCACCGAGTACGAGGAGCAAACCGCTGTTCGTCCTTCCGGATACCTCTCAGCTTCGTCTGCCCTGTCGACAAATGCTTCTATTGCGATGTCGCCTCCCTATTTCAATCCGGCTGACCAGTATACCACCACTGCATCATTACCGGACTTCTTGCCTCAGACACCTGAAAGCCAATCCGAACACGCCGGACCGTCAGATTCTGCTTATATGCTGCAATACCCGACGAGAGCAGCCTGGCCCGACCTGATGACACATGAACCTGCGCCATTGGTACCGAACCCTGGCAGATCCCAGAAGCGCAAAAATCGTGAAGAAACGGACGGGTCCGATGACAGCAGCAGCGATGGGGCCACTTATAAGTACGAAAGTCGGGAGCATGCGCATAAGAAGAGAAGATTCGCGGTCGCTCAAAGGCTGCTCCGCGATCCTGCTGATACCGACGCAATCACCACCTCCTCCAGAGCCTCAGTAGACGCTCGCGAGTACTTGCCTTCGACTCCATACTCTGAGGCTGGCGTAACCACAGGCTCCCCACAAAATTATTCGGACGGCTCATCGTTCTACAGCCGAACGTCTAGGTCTGCTATACTGGCCTTGTCAGATCCAGCTTATGATGCCTCGATTTTCTCCGAGTACGATCAGCAAATGCCGGGAGGCTCTCTTGGCTACGACGCACCTTCTCCTGCACCAACGACAAGTGTTCGTGACTCATCAGCTCCCTACGCCCAGGCCGAGGTTCACCGAACGCCCTCGTTGCGTGACCCAACGTCACTTACTCCAGAGAGTCAAGATGAATCCGTCGGATCATCAAGTTCTGCTTATATGGGGTACGACTTGACCACAGGAGCTTGGCCAAGCGGAATCTCAGGTGCAGCTGCGCCTCCAGCGCCACAGCCTGGACGAGTCCAGAAACGGAAAAGACATCAAGACACGGATGCATCGGACGACAACAGTGAGGCTGACCCAAGCTATGAGCCTGGTGGTCGCGGTCGCATATCGAAGAAGAAAAGACTACCTGTCGCTCCAAGGCGGGGCCGCAACCCCCACAATGTCGGCGCAGTTGCTAGCTCTTCCAGAGTTACGCTCGATGACCTTGAACACCGCTCTCTCAATACACGCTCTGAGGCGGCGGCTACCCCCTCAGGCTTTTCGGAAATTCCTCGCCATGACTCTCCGCCGCCCAATCTCATCGATGAAAGGTCCACACAACGCAGGCCTGCGACTCGCTCTGGGAGAGCTGCGACAGTCAACAGTACAAGTTTGCAAGATTCCCAATCGGGGCGCCAGGAGACTTCCTCTGGCCCTTCCCGCAACAAGCGGTCGATCCCGAAAAATAATAAACAGCAACAAACCTCCCAGGAAAAGCCTCGCATACCGTGCACGTTTGCGCCAGCCTGCGACAAGACTTTTGGACGCGACACAGATTTGAACCGACATCTCCGCTGCAGCTGCAAATTCCGGCCCCAGGACGATCCCGAATGGGTATGCGAGGTGTGCGGTAAGCCCTTCAGCAGATACGATGCCTTAAAACGCCACCAAGCTGGTATGCATGGAAATCAAGATGAGGGGACAGGAGAAGACCCTTCCGAAGAAAGCGACTAGACACAGTCCTGCCCCTTGCAAAGCCCGTGTTCCACACTATACCCTTTCATAATAACTGATACCCATAGACAATCTCACACACCCCTGCATGGTTTTTATTAGCTATAGCATATCCTTCGACAATCTACCGTACCCTTGCATAGTCTCTTTGATCCACATACTAGTGATAGCATACCCTTCGACCATCTACGATACCCCTGCATAGTCTTTTTGATCCGCATACCTAGTGATAGCTATCATCGTTCATCATAATTAGCTTGTATTGGCTTTTGCAGGCTACCTGTGGCATCTAGCTAGTTTTCTCCTAATCAATTCACTGCTGGACAAGTTCGAAGGTGTAGCCTCGGGTGCTGTTAAGTTGCGGATAGTCAGTCTGCGATCCATACAACAGCGCGGTACCCGAGGCCTAGAGTAAGCTCAAGACATTGTGTCCATGAGACGAAGTGCTTCTTGCGTTTCTTGGACGCCGTCCTCGCATGAAGGCATCCCTAAGGGCAAAGGCAACCTTATCAGGCCTCCCTGGCAAGTCCGCGGCGGACGAATCCAGCCCGATATCTGATGGTTCTTGTTCGAGAGTCAGGAATCCGGATACTTGACCGATGTCATTGAAGGGTTAGTATTCGAGGTTCCAATCTCGAAAGTCCTGTATTCAGCGGCCCGAATCGCCCCTCGAACGCCGGTGCATCTTGTAAGCCCAGCGACCGAATTCCCATGCCACACAGTGCAGCGTATTTACAATTGACTGCGACGGTGGCAAAGCAAACGACGAGGGTGTAGAACATAAGCACGTCTGCAGTCGTCCCGCGTGCCCCGGGTGGCACGGGCAGATACCATGCGCTGCATTGTCGTTGTGGGAGCTTAACTCAAAGTGGCTCGGGGCAATAGTTTCGCGGAAGGCATGGCAGTTTCCTACTGCCAGAACGACCATGAAACTATAGCTGGAGAGCATCCAGCGAAGTAAACACAGACTTCAGAACACAGTAAGTTTACAAGTAACAGTGAGTAGCCTCCGCCACAACTGTGGGAATCCTCACCCTTTGGGGAAGTAGTACCTGTACAGTTGTTCGGCAACTCCCATACAGACCATTCGTAACCCGGCCGTAAATCTCATCGACCTCCGCAAGTTCTGGGACCCGGCTTCACATATCAAAAATGGTGCGTCTTGCTGCTGTCAAGACCAGTGCTGGAGAATGCTGAGCATTGTCTGTTATCTAGACCAAACGCACGAAGAAAGTCGGTGTTACCGGAAAGTACGGTACCGTGAGTCACAATCCATCCCTGGCGACGAGGAGGCGTAAATGAGGACGGATGACTGACCCGAATTCATGTTCGTTAGCGTTACGGTGCCTCCCTCCGTAAGCAGGTCAAGAAGGTGCGTAATGATACTCCGCTATCTGCGAACTTGGCTGAACGTTAGTTACGCTCGGTTTAGATGGAGGTCTCGCAACACGCGAGATACACCTGCTCCTTCTGCGGCAAGGTACGACCATCGTTCAGATTACTGCTAGCCTTTATCGATTTGGCGCGAATATCTAGGACTGCGTGAAGAGGACGGCTGTCGGTATCTGGCAATGCAAGGCATGTCGCAAAACAATTGCAGGTGGCGCCTGGACTGTTTCCACCACGGCTGCTGCTACTGTCCGGAGGTGGGCCTTTGATTTTCGGTCTACGATCGAGTACTGACCCAGCTCCGTAGTACGATCCGGCGGTTGCGCGAGTTGACGGAGGCTTAAGTGGTGGATGGTCGTCATGTATTGCTTTCTTTATGTTCAGTCCTGTATTCCTCTCACTATCCATGAATGCATGCGCTATGCCTCGCATCGTCTGGGAATGTGGACGTGACGTTGGGCAGAGAATGTGCGCTTGCAACATCGTTGGTACTGAATATCCCTGCGGATTGTCTCACGACTGGAATCTGAATCGTCGTGCGCCACCCTGCACTACAATTGTGACGGTAGCTCGCATGCTAATTGTGCACCAGATACCATGACTTCACTAATTATTTGTAGCGACAATAATGCCCAAGAGCGGTTTGATGATAATACTGTAGACAGATTATGGCTTGGGCCATCGTCAGCCACAATGCGCAATGTCATCTATTTGTACTTATTTACGTGGCCCTAGGGCAAGCTGTCTTGGGTAATAACTGCGACGTCCCTCACATCTTGCTTTCCACCCACCATCATGGCTTCGCCGTCGACATCTGATGCTGCCCTAAAGCTAGAAATTGCCCGCCTCACAGGTAGGCAGGGTCTTCTGAACATCTTGTAGCTGCAATTGACCGGTACACAGCTTCAATCAATCACGCGAAATCAACGCTGCAACAACCACCTGCAGGATATGCCCGACCTCAATATTCTGCTTATCGGCCGCCACCGAGGAGTAATGCGTATGTAAATCCGCACTACAAGCCACCTAGTGCACCTTCTAGGCCTTCGACGTCAATGAACCTGATCAGCAAGCCTCCTCCGCGGCCGGCGCCTGTCAGCAATGAAAAGAAGGAAGTTGTCATAGGCGGTGTCGCCTTTGAGTCCTCAGGACGCTCTCTAGTCCGTAAAGATCGTAAGTTCCGTTCTTAGCCATCCTCCCTCTCCATCCCCCGCTCCGTAGTTAGTTTCCTCTCCTTATACCACGACCCTTCCTGCAGTACCGAAATCTGCTTCCGCTCCTGTGGCATCACGCCCTCGCCCATCTAGGCCCCGACCTGAGTTTAATAGGAATGAGGCTGGACATCTCATCAACGCCAATCGACAGTACAAGCCTAGGAGTTCTCGCCCTCGACCTGGGAGACCGATTCGCAACATGACCCTTAACAACAACGTTCGACCATATCAGTCCGTCTGGTCCATCGGTCTGCACGGTTACTTCTCTGACCATTCTTACAGGGCACGCAGAGCGGCCAAGCAGCGAAAGTACTCGGACAAGCCTTGTCCTCGCTTTACTACTACAGGTGCGTCGTCGCCACAACCTCAGTTGTCGACATGCCCTAAACATCCTCGGTAACACCGCTTCAAATCGTGTTCCCTTCACAGGAACTTGTTCTCGTGGCCTGACCTGCATGTATCAACATGACCCGGACAAGATTGCGATCTGTTGGCCTTTCTTGCAAGGCACCTGCCCCAATACTGCTGAGACCTGCAATCTCTCGCACGATCCGAGTCCCCAACGTGTCCCGGTGTGCATGCACTTCGCCAACAACGGTCGGTGCACGAGAGAGAACTGTCCCTTCCCGCATGTGCGCCTTGGCCCTCGCCAGGGCGTCTGTCGCGACTTCGCAGTACTCGGCTACTGCGAGAAAGGGCTTGACTGCGAAAAGAACCACGTCCGCGAATGCCCGGACTTTGCGGAGAAGGGCGTCTGTGAGACCAAGGGCTGCAAGCTCCCTCATGTCATCCGGGCTAATCGCAGCCGCAAGGCTCCTGCTGCAAGTGGCGCTGGCTCTTCCTCGGTGACATCTTCGACCCAAGTTGCTGATCAGACTTCAGCTTCAGCCTCTAAGGGTAACTCTGGTTCCTCTTCTGAGACTAACACTGCTAGCGCTGCGCATCCCCCTCCGGTTTCGGTCGAGGATGCCCAGATCGGCGACGAGTATATCTCGTTGACTTTCCATGAGAGCGACGAGAGTGAAGATGCTAGCGATAGCGACGAAGAGGAAGATGACCATGACGGCGACGATGATGATGTAGAAGATGAAAAAGAGGGCAAAGACCCCACCGCAGAAGAGGATCATACGATGTACGTTCACGGATGAAGCAGCAATATGTGTATCTACTATTGGAATACCCTAATTTATCGGATGCATTGTGTTTCGTGCAATTCTGTTTCACTAGGAAATGGCTTGCAAGCCGTTTAGGACGGCACGACTCGCAGGGTAGACATCTGAGTAAGACACAGTAACCCGCTCAACGTCATCTTGAAGGCTTACTACTATTATTCCACAATTCCGCAGCAGATGAAGTGATGTCCATTGAGCTTCGAAACGTTAGCGACATTACGATGTACTACATGTGCCCTTCTTCTTCCAAGGTAATCACGAATGGCCCCTCCCTGTTGGCGAATGTCGTCCGCTCTCGAACGGAGAAGCTACAGAAAAAGTCTCGCATTGGATCTATAACGGTAAACTTACACACTCTCGCTCGAGGAGAATGTGCAATTCTTAGTCGTCAATACCCATACGTAGCCCGAACTTCCACGGAAGTAGTACTGTTCATCCGACGTTCACATGATGCTGCTACTGGCTAGTGGTACAAGTTAATTACAGGTCGCCTGAGCTGGAAGGATAGCCCGAGCTCGACCTTCCCCCCTTCGACTCCCCACACAGCTAAGATATGACTACCGGTACGCTTAGTGTCCCAGCTTAGTCTTTGTGGTACTGATACGCCTGGCAGAGACGAACGGCACGAATGCCCCCAAGAATGGAGCCAGTAGCCTCAACGGAACCAGCGGCCATCCGAACGGCTATAAGCTGGGCGACTTCTCCATAGACGAGTGCCGACCTATGCGGGTAGTTTGCATAGGTGCGGGATTCAGTGGGATCCTAGCCGGAATTAGGTACGCATCTCAGTCACCTTGAATCACGCGACTTTAACGCTTCTTCTCCACGTCGTTCAGATTCCCGCAGAAAGTCCCGAATGTCGACTTGACTATCTACGACAAGAACCCTGCCATCGGTGGTACCTGGTATAACAACAAGTACCCGGTAAGTTTGACTGACTGCTGCCCTTCCATTGTACGCAAGCTCACTCGGCTGTCAGGGCTTATCCTGCGATATACCGGCACACACGGTAAGTATTCCGGCCAAGCATCAGACTACTGCGGATTTCTGAGTTCATGCCGATACACAGTATCAATATGCGTTCGAGGATAATGTAAGTCCGTCAACGTCTCCTACGAAAACTCTGTACTTACGATATGTAGATGGAATGGTCAGCATTCTACGCTCCGGGCCCCGAGATCCGGGAATACCTGGAACGCGTCGCGAACAAGTACAAAGTCATGAAATATATTCACCTGGAGCACGAGCTCGTCGGCGCGTACTGGCAAGAAGCCGAAAGCAAATGGCGACTTCGCGTGAAGCGGCCGTCGCCCAATAGCACTCCGGAGAACAAGCAGTACGAGGAGTTCGAGGACAAGGCTGATGTTTTGTTCACCGGGCTGGGATCGCTCGCTCGGTGGCATTGGCCCGACATAGAAGGTCTGAAGGACTTCAAGGGTTGTATCTTGCATAGTGCGGAATGGGATGTGACCGAGCGCAGTTGGCAGGAGAGCGTAAAAGATTGGGGAGATAAGAAAGTCGGCGTGATCGGAGTCGTAAGTCGTTAGTCGCTTCGTATACGAGCCGGGCTGAGCTGCGCGACAGGGCTCATCAGCTATTCAAATCGTGCCAGCCCTGCAGCCCAGAGTCGCACATCTGGTAAACTTCGTCCGCAGCAAGACGTGGCTCGCAACTCCATTTCTGGAGGAGAAGATGAGCGACTTGCTAGGAAGAGATCCAGCCGGCAGCTGTACGTGATAGTGCCGGTGGTCACCGCACGAATTTTTGTGACTTACACACCCCGTGTTGTAGACGTATTCACGGAAGAAGACAAACAACGCTTCAGAGACCCTGCCTTCTACAAGAAATTCAGGCACAATATGGAACACGAACTCAACGTTAGTGCAGAAACTCAAGTTTTCTTGCCATTCGAGCCTCTCACTGCCTTCTAGTCTACATACCAAGGAACACTGAAAGGGACGAAAGTACAGCAGATGATCCGCGCGGCGTTTACCGAAAACATGAGGCAGAGACTCGCCAAAAAGCCATGGATAACTGAGTACCGTGAGTTGTCCGTCTTGTCGTCAAATGTGTTTGGGACCTGATCTTTCCTTGGACTTGAACGAGTTGCAGTGCTTCCCGATTTCGGTGTGGCATGTAGGAGGTTGACACCAGGCCCAGGCTACCTCGAAGCCCTATGCGAAGATAATGTGCGTCCATCATTGGAACATGCGCTCCACTCGCGTTGACGATTCGTAGGTGACGTTTGAACCGACACATATCAGACGGATTACGGAGACCGGTATCGAGCTTGTTGATGGCAAGCATCATGATCTCGATATCATCGTATGCGCAACAGGTATTGATCTCGCGTCCATGATTGCGATGATGACTGACTATAGCGGATTATTAAGGCTTTGATACGTCCTTCCAGTATCCCTTCCCCTTCGTCGGACGAGGCGGCATCACACTACGAGAGAAATATACACCACACCCTCGGACGTACTTGGCCCTCTGCGTCGACGGGTTCCCGAACTGGTTCCAGTCGTGTGGACCTAACTCGGGTGTTTATGGCGGGTCTCTCGTTGCAATCCTGCAGCAGCAGGTCGATTATGCCGTCAAGGCGACGCTAAAGCTGCAGAGAGAGCGGCTCAAGAGTATGGTGGTCAAGAAAGAGGCTGTCGATGATTTCGACGAGTATTTAGAGGTAATTTGTCAGATGACATCAGGCTTTTGTGTTTTTGACACTTGTCATAGGCTTATTTCCCCAAGGTACGAAGCTATTCCCGGCATAGTAGGAGGTTATAGTCTGAGCTGAGTGCCTCAAGACTGTCCACACGGAGAAGTGCCGATCGTGGGCCAAGATGGGCAAAGATGAGGGCCGTGTCGTCGGGCTCTGGCCCGGTACGTCTCGAAATGTTCGTCTATACTGTTGTCCTGATGCTGCTATTGTAACAAGGATCATCCCTGCACTGTCTTCGCGCCTTTGCTCACCCCCGTTGGGAGGACTTTGATTACCAGCCGCTGGATCCGGTCAAGAACAGGTTTTACTGGCTTGGAGATGGGCAGACGTACAATGAGAAGACACTGACGGGCGATAGTAAGTCTCTCAATGCTCAAGGCTGTTGTTTCTGTTTAACCCGGCCGGCAGGGGCATGGTACCTCAACCCTGATGAGGTCGATTACCCTCCTGGTGAGTATGCTGTCCGTCAGCGATGTTAGCAAGACATTGAAGGTTCTTCCCGCAGTCCCGGAGAATTGAGCATCCGCTAAGGGAGTTTCGTCTATCTCGTTGCAACGATGTATGGTGTCAAGACGTCATCTTGTCCATCCATTTCTTGTCCATTTCTAGTTCATTTGAAGGAGGATATGTGTGCGGTCCAAGTAGCTGAGGTCTGGTAGCACCTTGCATAACAGTATTTCCACAATGTCATGGTTGTCTGGGTAGGCTCATTCTCATATTCTCACTGGGATCCCCTCAGTATCCCCTCAGTATCCCCTCAGTATCACTGCAGGGGTTTCTGGGACCTCAAAATGCATTTTCCCACCCTACCGGCATTGGCCGAACGCAGCCACCTCGGCCACACTATGATACTCTGCACCACTTAGCGTCGACAAACAACACAAATTTAAAGCCGCGACAAATATAAGAGCAGCAGCGTAACATCAACCTCGATGACCAGCTAGACCTGGTTGCAAGCAGCCAGAGAGATGCCGACGTGAAGTTGGCACTTCCCAGTTTCCATATCAGGGCAGGATATGAGCCTGAAGTTGATCGGAAGCTGTATAATATACTGCCGTTGTGATCTCCACCTGCGCCACCCGTGTAACCGTTATTCTGAAAGATGGCCGGATCGCGGTGGATTCCCCTCGAGAGTAATCCAGAGGTACCGCACTTCCAACGCGGGGAATGCAATATCTCATGTTCGTGATTGACAGGTCCTGAACACGGTCTGTCCTTTACCACTTAACCGGACGTCGCGAACTTACAGCTGCGCCAATAGTGGGCACAGCGAGCGGGGCTCGTAACATCCCAGGCTCAGTTCGAAGATGTATATGGGCTCGATCCTGAGGTACATGTATGCAGTTTACCAGCGTGAACAGTGTTACCATCATCATGATAGCTCCTCGCGATGGTGTCCAAACCAGTCAAAGCGATCATCATGCTGTTCCCAATCTCCGACGAGTACGAGGCGAAGCGGAAGGACGAGGACGAGGCGCTGAAGAAGCAGGAGTCGAAGCTCGACCCTACGCTGTTCTTCATCAAGCAGACGGTACGAAGAGTTTCGCATGCGGGATGGGCCTGCTCATGACTGGTTTGCGAGGTAGATCGGGAATGCGTGCGGGACTATCGCGCTGATCCACGCGCTGGCGAATGTGAGTGCTACACGGAAAGTTGGGAGTCGGCTGATGGACCCTTCGTTCGCACAAGTCGGATATCGTTCTCGCGCCTGGAAGTCCGTTGGCGAACTTCATCGACCAGTGTCAAGGTAGGTTATGATGGTGCCATCTCCACTCGATATCTTACTTAATAGCCCTTCCTTTGAACTACCAGATAAAACCCCAGAGGAACGCGCCAAGCTCCTAGAGACGACCGAGATATTCGCCAACATCCACGCAGACACGGCGTCGTCGGGACAAACGGCAGCACCGTCCGCTGATGAGAAGGTGGAGCTGCACTTTACGTGCTTCGTCGAGGCGCCGACGAAGGAGTCACGGAACACGGAGGCCCCGAGCGGCGCGCAGAGGCTCGTGGAGCTGGACGGTCGTCGTGTCGGCCCTATTGACCGGGGACCATGCACGGATTTGCTGAATGTAAGAGGCTGAGAGACTTGTGTTGTAAGCTGACGTTCACTGACAATTTACGCAGGATGTGGCCAAGTTCATCAAGGAGAGGTACATTGCTGGGTCGTCCAGCATGCAGTTCAGCGTCATGTCGCTCGGCCCGCCGGCCCATTAGGTCTGCTGAAGAGGGTATTGTCGCATACCAGTCATGTCGAATCGCGGAGGAATCCAGGAAATGTATTTGTATATCCTGTCAAACCGGATGCTCGTGTGGGTTTTGGCGACTATTCGCTGGGATCCCCATCGGCCCGTGAGGATATGTGCTTCCTTCTGAGTTCTCAGGAGTGGAAGAAGGCAGGCTCTCATCGAGAGATACCCTTCCGTACAGTGCCTTCTACACATCAACTCTAGACGTCGTTGGATACATCCAGAGCAGTGTTTACTTTGGGTACGTGCTGGGTAAGCTCTGGAGCAAGCGAAGGGTCGAGACGCGACGCGGTCACGTGCCTGGCTGAGCTTCTGATTGGCTGGTGCCCGAAATAGCAGGAGCAGGGGACTCTAGGTCGCGTTCGTCCGCCGGGCCAGCGGCGGCTCAGCTGACTATATACTCTCCCGTCCGTATGTCCCTCGCATCCTCTTCGACCGCCGGTTATCCACAACCACCATGTCGGTACAGAGTCAGTAGACCCCTCTTCGCTGTGTGCGACGACGAGGACTGACGGCCGGTCTAGATAAACACTTCCTGAACACGGCGCCCACCCTTGTCCTGGACTCCCTCGAGGGTCTCGCGAGGCTGAATCCTGCCTTGGCCTTGGATCCTACGGAGAAAGGTGAGAGGACGATCTCCTTCGTTCGCCTCTCACCGCTAATCCGACTTGCAAGTTGTCTATGTACAGTCTCCGGACCGATCAAAGGTCGCCCTGATCTGTGGAGGGGGCTCCGGCCACGAGCCCGCCCATGCAGGCTTCGTAGGTACGAGCAAGCCTCACTGATCCTGCGCATAACTCTGACTAGTAGCCCCCAGGTGATGGAATACTCACTGGTACTGTCGCTCTTATCATGATCTTATCCGGAGGGCCTTAATTAAATAGCCCCTATTCAGCCGCTGTATGTGGAAGCGTCTTTGCGTCCCCGAATGCCGTCCAGGTCCGACGTGCCATAGATCTCGTAGACAATGACAAGGGGTATGTAGAGTATCCGCTTGCATCTCACCTTCAAAACTGATTGTCACCGATCCACCAGGACTCTGATCATCGTAAAGTAAGCAGTATATGTTCCCGAGCGGGATGACCTCGACGTTCATGTGTTTTACAGGAACTACACGGGTGACGTATTAAACTTCGGTCTCGCGAAAGAGCAATACGCCGCTCTCCACGCCGACAAGGCCGATAAAGTCAAATTCCTCATCGTCGGCGATGACGTCGCGGTAGGTAGAAATCAAGGCAAGATTGTGGGTAGAAGGTGAGGACAGCATAAAGGATCAATAATACGGACACTGACGATTGCCTGGCAATAGAGGTCTGGCGGGTACCGTGCTCGTCTACAAAATCGCGGGCGCCCTGGCGCGTAGGGGATCGGGCCTCGATGAAGTCTACAACATCGCCGAATGGGTGTCCTCCAGAGTGGGCACAATCGGCGTTGGCTTAGAGCACACACAGGTACGCAACCCTCTCCCCTCCTTCCGCGCTCGCGCACTCTCACCCTCAGGCGGCATATGAAATGTAGGTCCCTGGCAACGCACCCGCGAAATCACATCTCGGCGCGGACGAAATCGAGATCGGCATGGGCATTCACAACGAGCCGGGCCACCGCCGCATTTCTCCCGTCCCGCCACTGAAGGAGCTCATCCCGCAGCTCCTCGAATTCATCACCTCCACGAGCGATCCTGATCGCTCGTTCCTCCCCTTCCGCAACGACGGCTCAGACGAGGTCGTCCTGATGGTGAACAACCTCGGCGGAGTCAGCGAGCTCGAGCTTGTAGCCGTTGTTGGAGAGGCGGTCAAAGCACTGCAAGGTACCGGCGTCACTGTCCACCGGGTTCTTTCCGGCAGCTTCATGGTAGGTATCCATAGGCGCCGTATCGATGCGTTGCTGATCCAGCCTTTACAGTCGAGTTTGAATATGCCCGGTTTCTCGCTCACCTTGCTCCTCCTCCCGCAGAAGGACGAGTCCTCCGCACCTTCAACCTCGCTCATCCTCTCCCTCCTCGACGAGAAAGCCGAGACCCCAGGCTGGCGCTGGACCTCTGGCTCCGTGCCTCCCTCCAGCATCCCTCAGCCGAGCGGCAGCGGCTCCTCCGCCTCCGTCCTGGGAGCGGGCGCACACAGACTCTCCGCGCCCGACCCCGCCGCCTTCGTCGCCGCCGTCGAGCGCGCGTGCAAGCGCGTCATCGAGGAGGAGCCCGAGATCACGCGCATGGACACCATTGCGGGCGACGGGGACTGCGGGCTCACGCTCAAGGCCGGCGCGGAGGCGGTCCTCCAGCAGATACAGAAGGGCGCGATCAAGGGCGACGACGTGCTCGGCGCGGTCATCCAGGTCTCCCAGGTGGCCGAGAAGGAGATGGGCGGCACCAGCGGTGCCCTGTATTCGTACGTATGCCGGTGGTTTACACTTTACCATCATTGACTTGCTGTATACAGTATCTTCTTCTCTGCCTTGGCGCAGGGTCTCCAGTCATCTGCCGGATCCCAGTCGACAACTTCGGACGACATCTGGAAAGGCGCCATCTCGTCCGCCCTGGCCAAGCTGTACACATACACCCGAGCTCGACCTCCATCCCGTACGCTAATCGACCCTCTGGCCGCCTTCGTGCAGAGTTTCCCGAACGGCTTCCCTGCAGCCGTGAAAGCCGCTGCAGGCGCTGCCGACGCCACCAAGGACGTTGAGGCCAAGGCCGGGCGAAGTGCCTACGTCGAGGGAGACAGGCTGAAGAAGGAGAAAGTGCCTGATCCAGGTGCCTGGGGTGTCAAGGCAATCCTGGAGGGTTTGCTTGGGTAAATCTGGGTAACTCTGAATCAGCAGTCCTCCTGTATGTAGTGTAATACGTTACCCTTGACCAGAAGAACCACGTATGGAAGTCGGAAATGATGTACACCATACATAGCTTATTGATAATTTCTATGCTATTGCAGTCGTTACATTTTGTGATGCGAAAAGATCATGAGTGAGAGCAAGAACAAAACTACAGTAGGATGCGAATAGACATGGTATGCTACAGATCGTCCTCAAGGGATTTCGGCGCGAGAACACGGATCTTCCGCGTAGAGTGTGAACTACTGATGTCCGGAGGTTCGAAGTCGTCATCAATCTGGTCGTTCACTGGATCAGCATCCGAAGCTGAAACGTCAGGGGATATGTCGGATGGTGTGTAGTCACTGCCTGGGAGGGGCGATTGTGCTTCGTCGGCCTTGTAATTCACATCCCAGATTTTGCTGTCTGGTACCATGCTCTGTGAGCTAGGAAACGGGTCGATCCAGGGATCCATACGTTCGTCCTCATCCACCTCGACGTCGTTGGAGGAAGAGGGAGATGGATGGCTGGAGGGGTTAGGGAAGTCGTATGCTCTGTTGACGAAGACAAGAGGGTCTACGCTGGTCTGCACAATGTCATCAAATTGGGCGTCGTCAAACGAGGGGGGTTCGACGTCGTCAAGTGGGGGCGGGGAAGAAGCAGAGGAGGAAAGGGCTGGGCTAGGCAGTCCTCGGAATGGCAAATCGGAGAACAACAACTCCTTTGTCATGCCCGAGACAGGTGCTACTTCATCGGGCGGAGTAGGTAATTGGACATCGTCGGCAACGTCAGCCTGGCTGGCATTCGGAGAAGTATGGGGTTTTGAACGCGCCTCCTCAATCTTGGCATGGGTTTTCCCGCCAAGAGGTCTATTCGTACGTCGCTTGTAGAACAAGAGATATGCATTTTGATTCTATCAGGAAGCGGGATCAGGCGGCTTTGCACATCCCACTTCAATATTCCAAACTTACCACAGCGTCAGTAGGTCGCGCAGGAGTCACATATGAATCGTCGAAATGATACCACTTGTTCGTGACGTGATTATACGCGTAGGCACGATAGTGTCCTCCTCCTAAGCCACCGAGGTGCTCGTCTACAGCGTACAGATCATAGACGAGGGGTTCGTCGAGGTCGCCAAATTCAGAGACGTCAAGGCCTTGGGCTTGCAAGCTCTTCGCTACTTGGCGCTCGCCCGCCAGGTCGGTAAGATCAAGGCCTTCTACGGGGAAATCCACGAAGGCGTCGATCTTGTCTCGGAGCATCCGACTGTTACTGAACCGCTTTAGGTGAACGACAAGGACATCGGGGATGCTCCACAGATCGAATTTCTTGGTCGCTTGTTGATGCTTCTTACAGCGAGGACAATACCAGAGGTCGTCTTCTCCGAGCTGTTCTTCCCGCGTGAACTCGGCCAGGCAGTCTTGAATGGAAATCCCTCGCGTTTTCTTCTCCGAGGCATTCTTCCTAGCTTCCTCGTACTCTGGGTGAACGAAATCTTCCCAGCGCATCCAAAGCGCGTGCTCCCAGTTCACGGCTTGGTCTCCAAAGAAGAATGCCTTCATGTTCTCGTCAAACTCACAGAAAAACGCATCTCCTTCCTGGAGAAGAACCGGGTTTGGGTCTTCTGGGGTCGCTTGTCGGGCTGCTTCCTCTCGCTTCTCCCAAGAGACGTAATGCTGACTCCCGTAACTACCATAACCTGTTCCGAGCTCGTTGTGCCCGACCTGGAGTCTGAAATTGAACACGTCTTTCTTGGGTCCCGTGATCTTGGGGACCCCAGCAGGGACGCCGTTCTTAGGGATATCGTCGTCGACCACAGCGGACTTCTCGTCGACAATATCGCCCTCCTCCGGCATCTCCTCTTCCACTGTAACAATGTCGCCATTCACCTTCACCTCTGCGACAGGATTCACCGGGGGAAAACCAGTGAGTGTGATTGGCACTTCTTCCATCTCGTCCGCAGGGCCCTCCTCCCAAGTGTAGAGATGTCTCGCATTGGCCGTCCACCGAGACAGTCGTTCAACGACCGCAGCATAGATAGAGTCCAGGTCTCGTGCTTGTTCCTCAGTGATGACAGCGACGAATGGATAGCCAAAGAGACTGGCATTAGCTGTCCGCCCATATGATTGCCTTGATGGGGTGATGTCACAAAGGAAAACGGGGATGATGAAAGGGTCTCCAGGCTTGCGTTTGTATTTAGGGCTCTGTTGCGAAGGACAGGGCAGCTCGAAGCAAACGATCGTGTCGCTATCAGACACATCCCCGCAGAGACAATTGTCGTCCAGGCTCTTATAGAAGCGATGGCTGAATATCTCCAATGTCAGCAGCTAACGATGTCTAGTTAGAGAGTATCCACTGCGGACGGGAAGCAAATGCATACGTTTTCTGCTTTCGAACCCATCCATCGCGCAAGGAGTTGCCTGAGTTCTCTGAACGAGGAATCACGGTTGATCTCGACGGGTACCTACACCGCATCGAGTTAGATCAAGTTATCGGGTATCACACAGCCAAAGGATTACCTTCACGTGCGGTTTGTTGATATCCCATGGAACATAATAGATCTCATGTCTCCATTTCTTCTTCACCGGTAAAGGCAATGTGAGATACATGAACGGATCAAATGTGATGGAGACCTGACATGCACCCATATATCAGCGACGCCATTCATTTCAGACAAGCATAACTCACTTTCTGGCACTCTGGGCACACCAGAGTACTCCTGTACTGCCCTTGGAAAAGGTCTACAATTACACTGTCGTTCCTCAGGAGATACCCCTCCCAAGACTTCTTCGCCAGCTCGACGAGCTCTTTATCCCCTCCCCCCTCCCAGTCTGGCTTCTCGACATAGGGCTTCTTCTTGATTCGGTTCAAATCCTCGTGCAGTCCATCCAGCAGGAACGCGACTAGCTCCTGGGAGTCGTGCTGCTGGTACCCGCTGAACTGCGGTGCGAACCGCTGGAGTGCCTGTTTGAACTCCCTTGGAGAGTAAGACGTCGAGGTCGGGTTCATGGCCCAGATGCGCTGCAGGAGGGCGCCGAAGGCCTCCGCAATGGCTCCGTGCATACCCAGCGGGTTGTCGGGGTTAAGCTCGTCCTGGTAGACACCCGCTGCATAAGGGGGGGAAGAAATAACGCGATGAAGGCGTCGGTGAGACGTGCATATGCGGCAGGAACGTGAGCCCTATATAAGTGAACGGGACGCACTCAGGAAATAGTCCGTCAATTCCTTCGTGTGTGCTAGGCACTGCAGTGCAGAGTTCATGAAACATGTGTTACCCCTGATCCGTTATGTCAGAAAATGAACGAATCCAGTGATGGAAGGCAGCTTACATGTTACCCAAACCTAGCGTGCCCGGTTCTTGTGAGGACTTGACGCGGCTGGTTGACGGCGTAGTGACGAGAGCCGAGGATGGCTTTGTCATTGTGAGGCTGGAAGTACCAGACGCAGTCCTGCCGATGGATGTGGTTGACTGCGTCTTGGGCGCCGACGCCGCCAGACGACCGAAGAAGTCACTTCCTTCACCGAAAAGCGGTTTGTCCTCGTCGGAGTTGGCTTCAGCAGTCACCTGCGTCGCTTCGGCCGATGCTAGACTTCCGTCGCCCTGAATTTCCACCGCGAACGTGTCGCCTGAGTTGATTGTAGAAGCCTCGATAGTTTCATCACTTTCCGCAACCTTTTGTGCTTGGGCTGCGGTGAGTTGCGATGGCGTACAGTATCTCCCTTCCAAGTCGTCGCTTTCAATCCGGTACACGGTAAAGTTCGCTGATTCATTAGGTGCTACAGCGTGACGGAAGCGTTGAAACAGTTCTTTAACAGTGAACTGCGAGCTGGCGGAGACATAAATGGGAGAGCCAGGAGAATTCGATGGATCAGGTTCGGCAGTGATGCGGAAAACTCTGAATCTGGGGACATGGATTTCGAGGTAAGGCTGCCGCGAGTAGCCACGAAGTATAACTGGTCTCGGGAGTGGATGTTCGCTTTTGCCATACCTTGTATGCCACAGGATCAACATCCGTCTACAACGGGCATGCAAGGGCGACTTACCAGCTGGTGAACATCTCCCATACCGACTTAGGGACAAACTCGACGTCTATACCCTCCACAACGGATGTAAGCAAATTGCCATCCTTGTCGATGATGCCAGAGTTATCCACGGGTCCAATGTCTTTCTCTTCAACTGGACCATCCTTATCCACCTGGCCGGTGCACGCCTTTTCCCATCGTCTGTACCATGCTCTAGAGACAACGTACCACGTCTCTCCAGCAGACATAGGTAGTTTCTTGAGAGAGTCGACAGCCTCGATTTTTTCTTGGCCGGACATCGGCTTCGGACCAGACACACCATTGACGGCCCGTGAGGACGAGAGGGGTTGTTCAAGGGTGGCTCCATCTTCTTGTTCGTTCATATTGGCGTCAATGTCATGAACAGCTTTCCTGGAATGCGAGGACTGTGGCGGCGAATCCTGGTAGGGCCCTTCCGAGGCCGATCGTTTGGGAGAAGAGGTGTCCGATTGCATTGACTGCGAGCGTTGTCTTTTCCGACTTGACGAGCTGGATGACGAGTCCAGGGCAATCAACGACGGAGAATGCGATGGTGACGATAACGAGACCATTTCACGAGATAAAAGAAAGAAAAAGAAAGATAAAGGAAAGCAGAAGGGGATGGAAAGGCTCCAGTGCCTGCGCGAACCAAGTCGAACGCGTCGTCACCAAGTCCGTTCTCCCACGCCACAGCCTTGCTCTCGCCTCTCTCAGCCAAAGCCACAACATGACTTAGACCGAGGACATGAGCAGAATCCCGCCGGGCTTGCTCTACTTGACGATTTACAATCCGACCTTGCGACCGCCGCCGACGCTTGAGCCGCACGATGAGGACGCCCAGGAGCAAGCCCATATCCTCTTCTACACTGCGCGCGAGCGGGCTGTCTCTCGTGACCGCATCCTCAGGCAGGTCGGACTGGCGAAGGCATTGGTAAACTTTTCAGAGTGAGTGAGAGCCAGGTTGCGAGTGCTTTAGTGTAACCTTAGGCCAGGATGTTCTCGGAAGGCGTCTGTGATAACGTGCACTCGCAGACGAGACGTATGGTCATGGTCTCTCCGGAGCCCGACTACTGGATTCATGCTGTGAGCACATTGCAGCTTAGCTGTCTGTTATTTTAAATAGCACAAGTGCTTTGAAGTTGCCAAGACGCCCAGAGCTCCCAGGCCTCCGTCTACCAAGGGGAAAGCCAAAGCCAAAGAGAAGGAACGCAGCCAGGAGCCATCCAAGGGCAAGGGAAAGGAACCCGAGACAGTCTACGACTATCACGATAGCTCCCTTCATGACCTCGCATTGCGTACACACCTTCTTCGCGGGTACGAGCTCTTCAAGGTATACCTACCATCGTTAACCGGTGCCGAGGGCTCACCTTGTCCTAGGTGAAGCACGGCTCGTTCACGCACATCATCGATACCCTCGGGCAGCCAGCACTAGAGTCTTACTTAGAGCGCTTCTTCACTGTTTGGGCGTGGAAGTGGGATATAGAAGATGATTCGGAGTTTGGCGACCATCTTGGTAGGCGCTGTCCCCTGTCACTGCCGTTATGGACGGATCCAACTGAACATATCTAGGTGTTCCATTGCACCCCTTATTCAAGTCTTTGACGCCCATTCTCGACACGTTCTCCTCTGACATACCCTCATCGGTAGCTGCTCTCCTTCTCGTCCCTCCCCACGTCGTCCCTTCTACTCGGTTCACATCCTTCGCACTCCCCTCTTCCCTCGCCCGCCACCTCTTGTCGATAGTCTCGCATCCTCACCGCCCACCGACATCCCGGAAGAGCAGCAAACAAGCGTTACAGGCCCTGAGCACTGTCGCTTCTTCATCTAAACCCTCTCCCGCTCCGCGGTCTACGTTGACACCGCTTCAAGACGATCCCATTTTAACTAAGAATGGGACGATCAAAGCTAGCGCGGGGCACCAGCGCTCAGGATCCCTGTTCACCATGTCTAACATGAACATGAGCGTGAACATGGACCTGAGCAGTATGGATGTGAGGAAGTGGAGTTGGCCTGGGTACTTGTCGTTTGGCAAGGGCTCGGGAAGTAAACCTGTGGCGAATGGGGAGGCTTCTTCCAAGGTAGGTGATAATGATGTTGCGCAGGAGAAAGTAGATACAGTGGGTAAGACCGAGAGTTCCAAAGGCGAGAACGGTCCTGCAACCGCCAAAGACTCAGCAGGCGTAGTAGACGGTGCATCGTCGGAGGACTCCCCGCCAGTAGGTAGACCGACGATCGAAGTAACGGAGCCTCAGCCATCGCAAGAGGATCGCCCAACGACAGCGCCTGTTACCATGGACTCACCAGTGGGCGACCCTCCATCAGCGCCGCCCATACTTCCAAGCACGGAGGAGACTTCTGCACCGTCAGTTGAGATGGACCCCACAACAGTTGTCGTACAAAGTCTGGGTCTCGCTCCTAGTATATCTACTTCGACAGCTGCCAGCGAGACGTCTTCCTTAGCACCGTCCACGGTGTCTGCCATACCTACCCCGGCGTCGTCACAGTTGGACCTATCAGAACCTCCACCCGAGTTCTCTGTGACCACCGTCCATGTTGCGATTGGTGATGACCGGTTGCAGACGAAGCGCAGGAGGGTGTTATATCTCACCGTCCGTTCATGATCGTGATATGAATGTGGCCCTGGTTGACCTCCCTTTGCATATAGAAGCATCGACTTAGCCTGGCGTTGCTTTGCGGTGACGAGCATGACTCAGAGGAGCTCGATCTTCAGTCGCTGGCGGAGAAGTCCGTGGCTGTCCTGCAGGAAATACGACAAGCCATCAAGGACGATGATGAGGAGAAGCGGTACGTATGTCTTTCTTGACGCATTACCAGCATGCTGAAGAAAGTGATACTCTAGGACCGGGGTAAATGATCCGCTGCCGTCGGTAGCAAATATCCTACAACCGAAGAATCGGCATGTCATCTCTACGGGCCCATGGACAGTAGCTAGCGAGGGCTTCAATTCCAAGTCGGAGCATCTATATAGCGGCCATCAGTTGCTTCAGAGGTACTGGCCTATTTATCGTTATAAAATCAAGCATAACTCATATCTGTGCATGAATAGAGAATCTGACGTCCTGGAGATATTCTCCAGAGGCCAGCAACCGCAGCATTGGCATATCTCCAAACGAGGGCTGGGTGCGGACAAGGAAGGCAACCCAGTTGGGGATTCCGTGTTCATGGAAGTGCTGCGTAAGGAGGATAGTCTAATTGACGTCGATAACGAGCTAGCAGGCGTGGCGAGGCGCTTTACAAGTACTTAGTCGCGCTTTGTACTGGACTACACTCGTGCAGCCAGACGCGCATAGAGATGTGATTTCCGAGTGAGTCCCTGCGTGACATCAATTACCATGTCCGAAGTGATGAACGATTGTGATCAGTACAGGTAGTTTTGTACATGTAGAAGGGACAGTGTGATGGAAACATCATGCGCGTAGCATTGGACACATATTATGGCCTCTGGTTCAAGTTCGTGACGGACGCTAGCGGTTTCAGACCTGGCCTCGAGCGCTTCGTGGACGACACCGTCCAGTCGACTTGACGCAGAGTCTCATCATCCGCGTCAGAGCGTAGTTTCTTCCTGCTTCTAGTCCTCTGGTCCGACGCAGCTAACTTCGCCTTCCATATCTCCTCCGTACGCTTCCTCTTCAGCGGGCACGAAGCGGCAGGCGACACTGGCTGCCCCCACAGACTCTTGCACCAATCATCCACGTCTTTATTCGGTCTGTCTTTGCCGACAGCCTCGAATGCGATCTTTTGGTAGGAATGCAGGTCGGTCGCGTCTTCCCAACTCCTTTCCTGACGTCGGTATACTTTGGTCATCCGGGGAAATCGGAGTTCATAATACTGATTCTGTGTTAGCTTGTCTTCGATACATGTCCAGCCCAACCATACTAACCTTGTTCGAGTGCTCCTTGGTGAAGCCGGCCCCGAAGACCTCGGCCACCAATGGCTCTTCGAGGATAACCTCTGGTGCAGGGATGCCTTTGGGCATCACGAAGGTGTATGAAAGTTGATCTGCAGTCTGACAGGGCGAGGTTAGACCGATTGATTTTTCAGCCACAATTTGGGGCTTACATGCTCTCGGTATTCGACTGACACCGCGCTCCGTATCCTGAAGTTGAGGTGTTCCAGTTGTTCGCGTGTCAAACCGTACGACACTGTGAATAGCACCCGGAAGTCAGGTTTTGTGGAGGCCTATGGATCGTCAGTACGAGATAGTCATGGCTGCAGTGAGACTGATTGACCTACTTTAGATTGACACGCAGCGGCGTTGGTGAGCGCGCCCAAGTAAAACGTCGTATAGGTTCCAGGAGACACTGCATAATCGATTGGGCTCATATTCTTCACAGGAAAACAACATTACCCACCTCGGAGCTCCCGGCCTCGATCCTTGTCCCACCGAGCGGCTAACAGCACGAGGTCAACAGCGTCGCCGTACCCAGGAATGTAGTCCTTCTTGAGCTATATCGGTCTTTATTCAAGGTTTGAACACAACGGTTAGATTCGCAGAAGGAATACCTTAACCCACGGGGAGCGATACTCGTTGTAGAGTCCCCTCTCCGCTTTGAGGACGATTCCTTCCTCACGTTCGGATAGTAGTCGTGCAAATGTGCTCCTGAGCCTCTCCTCCGCATCCCCACCCTCCGCGATCCCGTCCGGTGAGACCAGCGTCCGCTCAGCAAGCATCGCATAACCGGGAATGGGAGTGATCAGAGATTCCAGAATGTCCCGCCGAGTAGCATAGGGCGCGGAGAGGAGAGACACGGATTCCAGGATGAGAACGTCGAAGAATATCAGAGCTAAGTGACGCGTTGAATTATCTGAAGTGGAGGAAGTTTGCGAGTCACTGAGCGGCGCATCAGTGCGTGCTTATGATTCATTTTTCATAGGCCACCTACTTTCGGGCGGCTTTGTGGCAACGCCGACCGCGGACACCCACAGCCGTACTCTCAATCAAGTCGCGAATTCTCCAGAATTCTGGCGGGAAGACTGGTGAGCTAAGCTGCGAGGGTAAGGGATCAGGAACGGACGAACCGTCGATCTTGTCCATTTCTTCCGAATACGCAACCATCTCTGCTTCGAGGACGATGTTCCTCCGGATCTTGGGCGACGACAGCCTCACATTTCCCGCCTCTTCGATACCAAGGACGCGGTGGATGATGCTACAAACAAAGTACAGGAGTATGTGAGTGCCGCTTTCTTCGATGACTAGGCAGGGTAACGTACGGGTGGATGGCTGCACGGTCCAACGTAGAATCCCGCTTGCTCTTGCTGAAAATCGATATCCAGGGTTTTCCATCGCGGATTTGGACGTGGATCTGAGCGCGCTCGCCGTCGTACTTCGTCTCAGCCCATACACGGTCGGACGGCTGGAAAACCTGCAGAGCGTGAGCACAGCCCTGTCCTTTACGGCATTTCGGGATCTTCATAGAGTCATTCGCGTTAACAATGACAAGATGCGACATGCATGTAAATACCTGGATCGGCGTGCCAATTTGTGGCGTGCCCGTCGTATATGGGGTGCAAGAATGAAAGGCTCTACTGGCGTCTTCGAAGGAGTTGGTACATCGATATGCTCTCAACATGGCGCCGGTAGGATCCCAGATCCTCATTGCGTCTTCCTTGGAGAGGGGCGTTATAGCGTTGCTGTTGTACTCCGTCAATGCGGCGGTATAGTGCGTTGCTTGAAGGGGGTATAAGAGTGGGCGGAGATCCTTCAAGATAATTTGTGTTACAAATGCCGCGGCTGTGGGGTCGAGACGTCGATATATGGAAGATAATATTTCCAGCCTTGTACCGCGGTGCTTGCGATCATGTTTGCTTCGGATTGAACGGTCGGAGAAGGCGGATGTGGCAGCTAGTTTGTCAAGCAGGGTGGCAAATTCAAGCACACTGAGAGGCTGCGCGATATCCTCCGTCTAGCGGACCATATAAATTAGTTTGAGGAGGTATCAACAGGAAGTCCAAGGTGGATACTAGCGTATGAAATAGACTCTAGGACATCTTTCACGACATTACCTAGACACCCATTACTAGACTGCACATTCCAATTGGTCAGACGTCGTTTGATGTCGGTGGATGTTGATGGGAATATCTTGAGGAGGTACTGCGCGAGCTTGGTCTCTTGCAGATCATACTTCCTGCACACGTCCTCCTCTGGGAAGAGAAGCAGGAAAATCACGCTCGTCGTTTCAGCCGGTAGCGACCGAGGATCGTTCGTCAATTGGGCGGCCCATCGACGAAAGATGTCTGAAACGGGATGAGGACGCGCCCCCCTCTTGGCTGAGGTCGCCTTTCGAGGCGCCACATGCGATATATCCTCGAGCAAAGAGATGAATCTTGTCCGGTCAGCGCAACACGTAAGAAGACAGGGGAAATACTCACGAGCTTAGGGATAGCGCAGACGAAGCATCCATCGGTTGAAGCGCGTCGCGTGGATGTTAGATGATAGTACAGAGTAAAGAACAATATGTACATTCGCCACAGCGTATCCACGCATGTGGGTGGGGGGCGTGGACGCGACCTGTCAGTCTCACCCGCCGAGGTGTTTTGCCGCGTTGGTCCTTGTTGGTCCCTCCCGCCAACTACGACGCCTTCCTTATCCGGATACGACACGTGGTTGCTTAGTCATTGTATCAGCGATCCAATCTGTGGACGCTCGGCGCTTGTGCTGCAGAGTGCTCGTCGCTGTCCGTAACGCGTAATGGCTGGCCTCATCTCCCCGAAGCCAGTCTCGTACATGCAAAACACGCCGCCCTACAACTTTTACCAGCGCGGGCCCTCCGCCTATCCCGAGGCGTCCAACATACCGCCGACGCCCTTGACGCAGCCAACGCCGCATCAGTCAATGAACCATTTCACAGGCAACTCCATGGGCGCCGGCCTCAGCGCCCACGACGACAAGGTTTATGCTCTGGTGATAGAGCTCATGGATCCAGCCACTCGGGAGAGTGCGCTGTTGGAGCTGAGCAAGAAGAGAGAGCAGTACGACGACCTCGCGCTGATCCTTTGGCATTCCTTTGGTATGTCTATGTATCTTCTGGGCTCGGGCGGAACATCGACTCATTGGTGTATAGGGATTATGCCTGCGCTATTGCAGGAGATTGTCTCTGTATACCCGCTGCTCTCACCTCCCAACCTCACCGCCCATGTTTCGAATCGTGTTTGCAATGCTCTGGCTCTCCTACAGTGTGTGGCTTCTCACTCGGAGACAAGGCAATTGTTCCTTAATGGTGTGTCCATTGTTGTTATACCGGTTGCGTCATGCTCATGTCCTCTAGCCCATATACCGTTATTCTTATACCCCTTCCTGAACACTACATCCAAAACCCGACCGTTCGAGTATCTTCGGCTGACGTCGCTTGGCGTCATTGGCGCTCTCGTTAAAGTAAGCGCCCATCATTGATAGTCTCCTACCTCTGTTCTGACGTTGGCGTCCCATATTGCAGCAAAATGACAATACCTCCGTCATCCACTTCCTCCTCTCCACCGAGATCATTCCCCTCTGCCTGCGCATCATGGAGACAGGCTCGGAACTCTCCAAGACCGTTGCCATCTTCATCGTCCAGAAGATCCTCCTTGACGAGACGGGTCTCACGTACATCTGTCACACGTACGAGCGGTTTTACGCGGTGGGGACCGTCCTCAGCAATATGGTCAACCAGCTGGTGGAGACGCAGGCTGTGCGGCTGCTCAAGCATGTGGTCCGCTGTTACCTGCGGTTGAGCGATAACTTGAGGTAGGTTATTTGGACTATGGTGGTTGTGCACATCACCTGACCTACCGACTGAAGGGCGAGAGAAGCTTTGCGCGCGTGCTTACCTGAGCCGCTCCGCGACAATACCTTTGCGGCTCTTCTAAAGGTACGCGATAGTGCTCATGTCTAGAACTTTTGTCTGATTTAATGTATAATATGTAGGGTGACATGGTGACCAAGAGATGTCTCACAACCCTACTCAACAATCTCAACGAGCAGTAACCTCCTAGTTCATTCAAGATTGTTGATATATTCCTTCCTTGTAGACTAATGGGGTCTTCCATGGACTTTGCTTGTATCATCAGCATGAATCCAAACCATAGGAGCTGTATAAGTACTTTAGTAGCTATGTAGAACAGAGTGCCTGTACAAAGTTAATCTTTTGCAGTAATCTACAGTGATGATTCTGAGTCCTGAGGTATAAAGGACAAGTTCTTACACAACAGGGTTCCGAAATTTCAGGGTGGCTCAGAATGTGAACGCACAATAACCATACACAGCAGGAGTTACACTATTTTTGCAGCGAGAAGATATAATTATATTGTATTTACTCACTTAGAATAGCCATTTCCTGGTTTTCTGATTGAATGTGGTAACCTTCTGATGAACATGTCTGCATGGTGTAAATGGTGCAACTCCCACGGTGATATATATTTCAGGCTAGAAAATTCATTTTATGGAGACATCACTGTATTGCAGAATAGATATTGAATCCAAGAATTCCTCTATGGGCCCTCAAACATATCTGAAGATCCTAACATTTGAGTGCCCTATATTGAAACCAAAATTCAAAAACTCATATTATATTTGGTGGCCAACCGGCATTCAACATCCAAATTGTATTGTAGACATAAATTGCGGTCAGATGAGCAAATGTATTGCTCAATGTGCCATTGTATTTTTATATCACTGGTACTTTGGAATGCTGAATCGAATAATATATGACAGGAGCCAAATCTAATCAGGCGACCGGTGGGGCACTCACAGCTAAATCACAAGATGAGCTAGCCACCAGTGTGCCACTCACGAAGTTAGGGCGGCTAAGCCACTGTCAACACCACTTAGAAATATAGACAGCAGCTAACCCGGTAGATATGAAGCTGATCTGATGCTGGGGAGGCGCAATCCTCAGGTGTGAGTTGTGATGCTGACTAAGTGATCAGGCCCATATTGTGGCACAGAAAGTGTCAGGAGGACAGTTGAACACATAGTGGGTTCATTTATGTGTCTATGCCCTGGTAGACTTGCATATGGCTAATAGATAAGGTAATAGTGTTTATGCCTCTTCAAAATAATTTTTACCTCACTGCCATGGCTGGCAGGCAGCAAATACTGAAACATTAGAGGCAGAGTGACACATTAGTCATGGCTGTCACTGAGTCGCTTGTAGGGCACTTCTGTCACACATCAGCCATGCCTGCCAACTAACTAGTCTGCAGAAACACCAGATAATGTATGGGTGCAATAACAAAAGTTGTTCAGATATCTAATATCTTTTATATGGCCACACAGAATTTCGATTATTGATGAACCCATGGAGATATGCTGTTGAAAGTGTTAGGTTTTGGTTGTATTGGATGCAGAGCCACTGGGACAAATAGGTACAAACAGCTTGACTATGTACTGAGCCACTGTATTTCCTTTGTTCCTTAGTCCGTGCAATTGACCTTGCCTTCGGTTTGTGTATGTGTCTGGGCCTGGTGTGCTTATGGCCACCCATCTTATGCTTCCCTGTTCTGCCTGCTGCTAACAGAAAGTACATGTGTAAGTGGTCTGATGTTGCATATCTCAGCAACTAGGTCGAATGCAGAAAATCTGTGAGTCCTAAATGTTCTAATCCACATTTAAAAGCACCTAAAGGTTTTACAATGACTACATGGTGTATTCTATGCATCTAGTTAGCCAACCTTCAGGTCACCCACTTCTTCAGCCACTGCCAGTCAAAGCAAACATGCACAAGCACCCTAATGCATCTGCAGGGATTGCACCTCCCCACTGATACTGATACAAATACCCAAGAAGGATAGACTATATATCATATGGACATTGAGAGCTCTGTTACATTATGGAAGGAGACTGTGACTGCATTATTACAAATGATAGCGGTGATATGCACTGACACACAACAACCACCAAAGACCAAGGGAAAATAACCTAACACACCCAGCGGTATGGGTGAGGTGGTCTGAGATGACTGAGGGGTATAAAGTAGTTCGAGGGGGAAAGGAGGAGTAAGACCACATAGGGTAGTCCATAGGAAGACCTAGGAAAATAAAACAAAGCCTTGACGCCTGAAACAAACACAAATCAAAGCTCCGGAGTATTTATCTCTGAAGAATCAAAAATAAACAAAGGTCACAAGCACTGACACCTAGCATAGGATTGTGCTTGCGGGGATAGAAATTACAAGAGAGACTTGGTTAATTTTATTTAGCTATGTAATACTCACGAGAGCTGATATTGTGATGGCGGAGATAAATCAACTGATGAGTCAGGCCTATTGGCAAAGCTAGGATTGATTGTAAATTGCTAAGTTTGACACTTTCAAACTTCGAGGGTTGCTGAGACGGTAACTCTGATACACTGAGATGGTGAAGATCAAACTTGTTTTTACTTTACTTTACATCATACATTTTATACTACAGGAATGACTTTGCGACCATCCGGAGATAAATAACAAATACCTACCGCTACCAACACAATTGCTCAGCACTCACCCACCGCTATACCATGTACCATATGACTCCCTTGTTCCTCCTTATGCTTGTCCTAGCCCCTAGAGGTTGTCCTGATACATTGATACCTGTCCTGAGCCTTCCCATCATGCTGCGCGACATGCCAGTCATGTGCAAATTAACTCTGGCTGCTTGCTGACTGATGCTGGCCTCATGGTCGCAGATTTACGCCCGCAAGCTCGGTAACTTGACAGAGATGAAGGGGAGGAAGTACTGGAAGCTGGGCATGAGGACGACTCACAATTAGACAGGTGTCCGCAACTGCCGGAGGTAATTCGTGCCGAAGTTACTTCTTGAGCCACTCCAGAGCGCCTGACCTCGGAGCTAAATCCTCGTAGGAATTTGCACTTGCCTCGAAGGCCCGGATTTAAATCGAGCTATTGTAGTAAGCCAGTTGCATCCTAGCAGCATGTGAGAGACATGTCCAATAGGCTCTGTAGGGTGTGGAGGAAGCATCAATTCTGCAATTTCTGAGGTCAGACGATTGTGGAGGCTTATCACCTCCCCCTGACTGAAATCCAGACTGTCCTCAGTCTCCGCGTTGTGACCTGTAGATAGAAAGGACCCCCCATCATCCTCGGAGTTCATTATCCACTACCATGTCTGTCCACTCGACTCAGCCCTTTACTGCTGCCCACTTGACGAATGCCTTCAAGGGGTTGGCCACTTGTCACGCCAATGGCGAGTCCGTGGAGGGCCTTGTTATCAAGGTGGAGACATATATGGTACGTCCAGTCCTAAATTGCTTGGAGTGAATAGATCTGACCGTCTTATTTCAGCTGCATTTCATTGAGCAGAGCAGCGACATGGTCTCCGCCCATATGAGTGCGGTGCTGCTCGCAAAGGTCCATCTTCCTTGACGAAGGACATTGTATGCATGTTTTTTGGTTCGATCTGACCTTCCCTACGGCCCCAGCTACCGTCACGACGACTCCCGTGGCCACCTCAGGTCCAGCAATAACTCTGGCTCTGGGTCGGACTTGCAGGGCCTCCAAGCGAGCGCACAAGGAGGCTGTATCGGCTGAGAAGGCTGTGGAGGATGACACCCAGCCCAAGCCTTGTGGGTGCAGCTGCCCCAAGGGTATGACCAAGGTGCAGTATGTGGAGGCGCAAACAGCAGTAAGTATGTTCCTCATACGATCACTGGTATGACACCAGAGCTAAATAAGCCATAGTGCCGGGGTTGTATGGAGCGAAAGATCCAGTGCCATGTGCCGATTTCAGGACAGGTAGAGGTGTGCCAGGAGTGCGCGCAGAAGAAAACTTGGTGCAGCTTTGCCGATGGGAGGGGGTTGCAGGCTGAGAGTAGTGAGGAGGTGGAAGAGGTGAATGAGGTGGTGGTTGGGCGACAGCAGTTGAGCCCTAAAAAGCCCTGACTGATAATGGAGGACATAACTAGTAAGTGTTGATGGCTTAATTCCTCCAGAGCATCGTGTTGAACTAGGCGCTGACTTAGCTGCCAGGTTCTACAATGTACCAGAACATACCGGAACTCTCTGGAACATTCTGGTATATTCCACCATTGTACAAGGGCACGGAGCTCATGTGGGCCAGTTGCATCATAGGTGGAGCTCAGTAGGATTAGGGATATTCCATGTAGCTTAGTCAGCCTATGGGCCACAGTGTATATAAACCCTGCAGCTCTGCTGCCTAATGACCAGAGTCATTCATATGAGCTTTACCAGTAGTGTTAGCATCCAACCAATACAGGTGACTTGTGTAGGGTGCACTGTGCGTGCTGCTGCCTCCATAACTCTTCATCAGGTTATGAGCCCAAATAGGCAGCTTGCGTCTGCGCGGTAACTTGCTGCAGCGCATTGTGCCTTGCTCACCTGTGCATCACCCTATGCGCCCTCACAGGCTGCAGTGTGGCTTGATGCGTGATTATCGCCATAGGCACTGTTAACAGCAGCCATCAGGCTTGATGATCAATCCTGGGGTAACTCCCTAATGGAGCCAAGAGCATGGAGCAGTGCACCCTTATTGGGCTGCATAGCTTTGCTGATACTGGTGAGATCTCAATACAGATTTCAGATCTCTCAATCACTCCTCAACAATGTCGAACAATCTGATCACCTCTGTCCCCGTCCTCGATGGCTTGAACTGGCCACTCTGGTCTCAACAGATGAAGGCGTACCTAATGTCCCAAGGTCTTTGGGGACACTGTGATGGTACGATTACTATGCCTGACACCATTGTACCCACCTACAAGGATGGAAGCACCAGTCAAGATACCTCTGCACAAGAGGCCTGGAGACTGAATGATACCAAGGCTATCGGTACTATTCGTCTTCGAAGCTCCCCTGCAGTTGCCACCCTTATTCAAAGCAAGACAATGGCTAAAGAAACTTGGGATGAGCTCAACTTCACATATGGTATCTCATCTCTTGCCTCCATCTATAATGAACTGCGTGGGGTGTTAACTACTAAGATCCCGGCCGATCAACATCCTGCTCCCGCCTTCGCCAAGATCACCAGACACTTTAATGCTTTGGCTTCTGAGAACCAGACTGTCCCTAACTGTCACCAGGGACTGATCTGTCTCAATGCGCTCCCCCCTCAGTATGACTCCCTCATTCAAGTCTTAGTGCAGGGATCAACATCGACGATGGACATTGACAAAGTCGGAGGCTGTTGTCACTGCCTGGGAGCAATCCCAGAACAAGAAGACAACACATCTAGGTGCACACAAGATCTCAGCAGTGAAGCGTAAGCCAGGTGATCCCTCCTTCTCCTCGCAGCAGCAGCAGCGCCCTCAGGGCAGCAGGAGCAATGCGCGAGATGGGAAGAAGTGCCCTTATCGCGGCAAGGGTGCAGGCAAGAAGTGTCAAGGGCAAAACCATGATCACCACCATGCCCATGACATCTTGATCGCCACAGTAAAAGAGCAAGGTCTGTTCCACCCGCCTCCTTTGGTGGAAACCAGTCACTACAACAACAAGCATATCAAGAAAGCCTTCAAGCTTGCGTGGGACCTCAACATAAGTCCCACCGGAGAAGATATCAAGGTCTTGGACGCTCTTGTCAGGCAAGTCGACCCAGACCCGGATGTCGACATGGAGGACGCCGACTCTGTCACCTCCAGCCGCGTGTCCAAGCGTGCTCGCTTCGAAGGAGTCGCTCGTGCGGATGATGCTGCGGACAGCAACAACCAGTCTATGTCTACCTGCCCAAGGAAACCAGACCCAATAAGTTATCACCTAAAGCTGAGCTGATGACTTACATTGGTGTCACTGATGGCGGCCATGGCTTCAAGTTCATGCGCGCCAATAATAGTATAGTCACTCAGCCTACCACACTGTTTGATGAAACTATGTTTCCTAAATGCCCTAATACAAAGCGACAGGCAAGCACTAGGCTGCAAAGTGCACCTAAACCAGCTGACAGTCAACCAGAAAATTCTGATGATGACTGGATCAACCATGATGATGAGCCAGACTCACGTCCTCCTCCTAAATCCCAAAAGGGGCCAGGCCAGGATCGTGACGATGAACCTGTGCAGCCTGAGGTGCGAGAGCCTGAGAATCCGCCTTCTCCACCTCCACAAGATGAGCTGCAGCGACCGGTGAGAGAAAGGAGACCAGTAACTTGCCCAGGTAATATCTACGGTGAATTGCAGAATCCTGTAGAAACCTATCGCGAGATTGAGTCAGATAAGAAGTGGAAGGATTTAGTTGGCAAAAAACCTAAGACATCTCGCATACCTCGCCAGTCTAAGCAGAAGCAACAGGTTCCCGGACCTAGCTCCGCCCCTCTACCTTGCAACCCTCCTGCTCAATCTCTGGGTGCTTTGCATGAGCCAGTCGCTCCTGAAGCCTCTGACCAGCAGTCTGAACAAGACACGGATGAGTTACTTCTGGCACAGCTATGTCGGGAAGGGGGAGTACCATTGATTAATTACCTGCTTCTGAAGGCTATTTCGCCTGAGGCAGATGATCCAGACATGTCCAATGTCAGAGAATGGATGTACCACGATATCCTCTGCTTACCACCAGAGAAGCAGAAGGAATGGAGAGCTGCTTGCCACGAAGAATTGGATGCACTTTGTCAGCACAGAGTCTTCGACTTGGTTGACCGCCCTGAAGGGCGTAAAGTCATAAAATGTCGCTGGGTATTTGACATCAAATCAGATGGATGTCGCAAAGCGAGATTAGTCACTAAAGGCTTCTTGCAGGTTGAAGGTATCAACTTCGACCAAAAATTCTCACCAGTTGTGCACTTTGAGACAGTGCACCTTATGCTCGCGCTAGCAGCGCTTGAGGATTGGCACATCTCTGGACTCGATGTGTGCAATGCCTATCTTTATGGCAAACTGGATGAAGAACTATATATGGAACAACCTGAAGGCTTCACCGTAAAAGGCCAGGAGCACAAGGTTTGTAGACTGCGCCATGCACTCTACGGACTTAAGCAAGCAGGGCTTGCCTGGTGGCACACACTTGCTGAGTCTTTAGAGAAATTAGGCTGCAAATGTCTAACTACCGATGCTGGCATCTTCTTATTCAAGGAGAAGGATGGCCACATGGTAATCATTGTCGTCTATGTTGACGATGCCTTGTTCTTTGGCAAGGACAAGTCTCTTGTGACAGATGTTAAGTCACGTTTCATGAAGAAGTGGGAATGCAGGGACCTTGGCGATGTCAAGGAATTCCTACGCATGTGCATTACAAGGCAAGGCTGAGAAATTCAGTTTGATCAGATTGCCTACCTTGATAAATTGCTGTAGCGTTGTGGCATGCAGAATGCAAAATCTGCGCCAACTCCTCTCCCTGCAGGCTATTGACCTGAGCTTCATAATGGCCTGGTCAATCCTACTCTTTGTAGCTGGTTCCAAACCGTGATTGGTTTCTTGCTTTACATTATGCTTGGAACTCGACCAGATATCAGCTATGCAGTGACCAAGTTAGCGCAATTTGCTGCTAATCCATTGCAAGCCCATTTAGATAAAGTGCTGTATATCTGCTGCTATCTAATCGGGACTTGTAATTACACACTAGCTTTTGATGGTGCTAGTGGACTTGGTATTACTGCGTGCACTGATTCGGACTGGGCATCAGATCCCAGTACCAGGAAGTCCCAAACTGGTTACTTCCTTAAATTAGCCAATGGCATATTCAGTTGGCAGTCTAGAGCACAGAAAACTGTCGCACTATCCTCCACTGAAGCCGAGTACATGGCGCTCAGTGATTGTAGCCGCCAATGTGTATGGGTTAGACAACTCTTTGATGAGTTAGGCTACCAACCCAGCCCCATTCCTATTTGCAGTGACAACCAAGGATCTATATTCCTTGCATCTAATCCAGTCACTGAGCGAAATTCTAAACATATTGACATTTGCTATCATTGCATCAGGGAAGTTGTCATGCAGAAGAAAGTTGAAGTATTCTACATAACCCTGCAGACATGTTCACTAAAAACTTAGGGCATGTCAAGTTCCTGCGCTTCAGAGTGCAACTTGGACTTAGGTTCTACAAGTAATCTAAGTCAGCCCAATGCTTGCGTGCGCAATTATTCATGGCACTGAGCGAGGGGGAGTGTTGAACTAGGCACTGACTTAGCTGCCAGGTTCTACAATGTACCAGAACGTACCAGAACTCTCTGGAACATTGTGGTATATTCCACCATTGTACATGGGCACGGAGCTCATGTGGGTCAGTGACATCATAGGTGGAGCTCAGTAGGATTAGGGATATTCTGCGTAGCTTAGTCAGCCTATGGGCCACAGTGTATATAAGCCCTGCAGCTCTGCTGCCTAATGACAAGGGTCGTTCATACGAGCTTTACCAGTAGCGTTAGCATCCAACCAATATAGGTGAGTTGTGTAGGGTGCACTGTGCGTGCTGCTGCCTCCATATCTCTTCATCACGTCGATACTGAATTATTCCAGAAATTGAGGTGCCTCCGCCTGGTTGCAAGGGGAAGGGCAAGGCCACAGTGCAGGAGGCCAGACCTGCCCCGGAGCCTTCTTCTGTACACCCTCCTAATCCTCTGTCTGCAGTTCCCAGTCCGGTCACTCCCCTTCTGAACTTCGGGTCAGAGGTGCACTCGGTCCCCCCTTCTCAAATGCCTAGCTCTGATCTTTCCCTCGTTTCTCCTTTCCTTCATAGCAATTTGTCTGTGGTGCAGATTGCCCGGCTCTTTCAAGCCATTGTGGAGCTGCGCGAGCAGTCCCTCGTGGCTGGGGAGAATACTCTGAGACTGCGGGGAGAAAATGTGGAGCTGCGGCATAATTTGGAGGATATGTGGAGACAGTATGACAGGACTCAACAGGACTTGCGAGATGTGGTTGAGGAGATACAAGTGGATCTCCACTTGTTCCGCGGGGACACGGGAAGGTAGGGATGGACTTGGAGTGCCTCCGCGCCCATTCTCTGCCTTCTCTCAAGGACCTAAAGCAGCAGTTGCTGAACCTAGACCTCCGCCTTGAGCCCCTGGAGTACACTATGCGGCGCGCTACTGTCGAGGGGAGGCGACAGGACGAGGGTACTACCAATGCTGAGCAAGGGTGGAGTGTCTAGATCCGCTGCTGGCCCTTCCGCCTAAGCTAAGCCTGTCTTTGTTATCTTGCTCTGCCTTGTTCATGCTCTCCTTGCCCATCGTTCTTGTACTTGTATTTTGCTCTGAATATGTTGTCTTGGTCTGGTCTGCTTTATTCTGTAACAAATGTTTGCCTGTCCATAAATGAATTAACTGAATGAGAGGATGAATAGTGATATTGGAATAAAATGTTATAGGAATATTGGAACTCTAGAGGAGTTTCGGAGTAAGGGATAAAGCAAAAAATATAAATGATAACATAGCTTGGCAATCATATGAGGGAGTGTGGGGTGATTTGCATGTATCCTGAAAGCAAAACAGAAAAAAAAGAATAACATAGTTAGGGAGCAGGGTAAAATGGAGAGAATAAACAAAACCCACGAAAATCTTCTGGGTATATGGGGACCGTTGCTTCCCTCCCCCTGACTGAAACATGAACTGTCCTCAGTTCCTCTTGTACTCCATCACGGCACTTCCTCACCTCCAGGATCTTCTTCATCTTCATCATCACCATGGTCATCTTCCATCCTGCGTACTTGATCCTCACCAATGTCTGTAAAATCTGCTGGGAGCGTAATAGATTTTCTTGCAAGGTAGGGGATAACGCGGAACGCGGCAAAGGGTCAATCAAATAGCGTACCATCGAGTTCAGCAAGGATATAAGCTCCACCATGGTTCCAGGACACCGTAATGAGTGGACCGAGGTACCTGGGTCGCATTTTACGGTTGAGGGATTTTTCGATTTTGGTATTGCAGACCAGGACCAAATTGCCTTGCTTAATATTAAAATCACGGATAGTGGCTGCATGATTACTTTCGAAGTGTTTCGCTGCTTCCATATGATGTTGGAGGACTTGAGAATGGAGGTACTCGACTTGTGCACCGCGTTTCTGCAGGGCTATCGCTTGGTGGACAATAAGGTCTTTGCTGGAGAGAATTGCTGTCGGAGGAGGCTGTAAGTAGGTCACTTCAATGATATCAAGGGGAATGAGCGGGTGGGAACCAGTGACTGCGAAGTAGGGTAAACAGCCCATGCGACGTCTGATGGTTATTCGCTCGGACCAAATTACGGAGTGAAATACCTGTGACCAGCGAGCAGCGTCACCATCTGCGGCTTTGTAAAGCGCCTGCCTAAAATCAAAGTGGGGTCGCTCTACCACACCATTCGCCTGTGAATTATAATCGCTGATATGAATATGGTGGATATGGTAGCGCTTCTCCAGGCATTCAAGTGCATTGAGGAAGGGCTGTGTTAGCAGTAGGCAGAGAACAGGGAAGCATAAGATGGGTGGCCATAAGCACACCAGACCCAGACACATACACAAACCGAAGGCAAGGTCAATTGCACAGACTAAGGAACAAAGGAAATACAGTGGCTCAGTATATAGTCAAGCTGTTTGTACCTATTTGTCCCAGTGGCTCTGCTCCAATACAACCAAAAACTAATAGGCTGGCCATTATCTGTGATGATTTCACAGAGTCTACCTCATCCACAGAGTAAGTCCTCATAAATCCAGTCCCGATTGACTGACTGTTTCCAGCATGGAGCTTCTTTGCCTCTGGATAAAATGTGAGGACACACTGTGCTTGAACGATATAGCCAAAGCCTCCAGATTTGGGAAGATGCATGGTATCGATATGAACTTGGGAGAATAAGGGAGCGGGGGCCGCTGATAAGCCTCAGGATCGTCTGACCCCCGAAAACGAGACTCAGCACATCGTACAAGCCCCCTGGAGCTTATTCGACATAGCGCTCACACGCCTCTAGGCTTCTATGGGCTCTAAAAGAATTTTTCTATTTAGCTCCGGACTTCCTAACATCCTTGAGGCGTACACGGACCCATTCCACGATTTATCTCCACGAACAGGAGCTCCGGAGCGACTTAACCAATGCGACTTCTAGATGAATTAGCTCCGGGGCCCGCGGACGCTTCTATTGAGGGGCATCGTCCTCATGCCCAACCTCCATCACTCACTCCCTCTCGTTTCCATCAAACTACCGAAGGTGCGGACGCATATGAGTCACCATGAGGCCAGCATCAGTCAGCAAGCAGCCGGTGTTAGGATTGGATTGTATCGGACGCTTTCAGCAGCCACAATTGCCAAATAGGTACAAACAGTCTCGCATTTTTGGTAATTGTTCTACTGGATGTACTTTTCCTTAGTCCGTTGCTCTATACTAGCCTCCGGTTTGTGTCTGTGTCCGTGTCTGAGTCTCTGGGCATGTTTAGTGTCCTTCTGGTCTATCCCTGCCACGTCTAATAGCCGGAGGTAATTAGCACGTGACCGGTACATCGCGCGGAGTGATGGGACCGCTTAGGGCAGGTGGCGGAGCGTCGAGGCGACCTCTAGGGCCTGGGACAAGCAAGTGGGAGTGCAAGAGAGTCACATGGTGTATGGTATAACGGTGGCAAGTGCTGAGCAATCCTGTGGGTAGCGTCGTTTATTTGTTATTTATCTCCAGACGGTTGCAAAGCCATTCCTGTAGTATAAATTGTACAAAGTAGCATACAGAAAAACAAGTTTTGCACTTCACCATCTCAGAGAATTAGCATTACGATCTCAGTGACCCTCGAAGTTCGAAAGCATCAAACTTAGCGAATTATAACCAATCCTAGCTTTGCCGATAGGCCTGACTCATCAAGTGATTTATCTCCACCGTCAGTTTAATTATCTCCGGTGCGTTCTACATAGCAAAATAAAATTAACCAAGTCTCTCTAGCAATTTCTACCCTGTGAGCACAATCCTATGACAGGTGTCGTTGCTTGCAACTTTGATTGCGACTCTTCGGAAATAAATACTCTGGAGTGTCAACTAGCATTTGTTTTTAGGCGTCAAAGTATTTGTTTTATTTTTCTAGGTCTTCCTACGGACTACCCTACGACATCTTACTCCTCCTTTCCCCCTCGAACTATTAAATACCCCTCAGTTGTCCCGGACCGCCTTCACCCATATCACAGGGTTTAGGTTTATTTCTTTTGGTCCTTGGTGATTGTTGTGTGTCAGTGCATATCACCGCAGCGATCGGAGGGATGAGAACTTGCTGCATTTGACGTGTCTGGCAAATATGACATGTCTTAACATACCAGGCAATGTCCTTGACAGCAGAGGGCCACCAGAGAGTCGTGGGCACAAGATTTGTTAACAAATAGCCAGTATTACCATGCCAGGCCTTGCTTTAAAACCCCTGCTAAGGTTGACAGGCTTGTAATGCACAGGGCTTGTGAGGGGCCTTGTAAAAGGCTTGTAGCAGATTTATAACATGAAACAGGGTTTGTAATAGGCTTGTAGTTCCCTTGTAGTGGATTTGTAGCACTGAACCGGGGCTTGTAGTAGCCTTGTAGCACTTTTGTAGTGGATTTGCAGCCCTCACCTGGGGCTTGTAATAGCCTTGTGACTGCTTTGTAATGCTGATATGGGGCTTGTAATAGCTTTGTAGCTGATTTGTAGGCCTAGTTTGGGGCTTGTAATACTCTTGTAACCTGATTTGTAACCCTGATCAGGGCTTGTAGCACACTTGTAGTACCAATCCGGGGCTTGTAATTGGCTTGTAGCACCCTTGTAATGCTGGTGCCTGGCTTGTAATAGCTTTGTAGCACCAATTTGGGGCTTGTAATACCATTGTAGGTTCATTTGTAGCACTGCTCCTGGGCTTGTAATAGCCTTATAGTATCCTTGCAGGGGATTTGTAGTGCTTAGTCAGATGCCAAGTGGCAAGCTTATGGAATATCAGTCAGGAGCATTGGGTGGCTGAAACAAACCAGGAAAAATGCGAAAACTTCAGGATATATTCTTGGCTCTGGATGCCACATCACTAGACCTAAAAATAGCTGATGACATAAATATATAGCATGTGTTAGCCATGCAGTAGCCTGTATAAAATGAGAAAAATGCAGAAAAATCAGAATAAAATTGGGATAGGTGGTGGGATCATTGTGCATTAGAGGGGAGCTGGCCATAAATGGAAGAACATGATGGGGTGCCTGTTACAATTGTGTTCAGGTACTCTGTCCACTTTCACGCATGGTTTCCCACACTGCTTACATGGGAACAACAGAGAGTGAGTGGGTGGGACTTGTGGTGGCAATATCAGGTGCATCAAAGCTATTTATAGCTACCAAAAAAGGCTTTTTAACTGCCAGCTCCAAAGCAGTTTTTTGCATGCTACACCCTTTGGGGTCTGTGGTCACCCCATATATGGCTACAGCTTTACATAAGAGTGCGGGGGAATCCAACTGCTCCATCATTAGCTACTGCTTTTCACCCATTCCCCTCCCAGAGAATTAGCTCAGCTACTGCTGTTGAGATCTGATGACTTGGTCACTCTTTGTTGACTGAGTGGCTCATGGAATGTCCTAGGCCCTTCTAGGCTGAGTTACCTTGTTCTGAGCCACTCCCTTTGTTGTGAGCCACTCCCTTTGTATTCCTTGTATTCCTTGTTATCCTTGTTCTTCTTTGTATTTCAATGTCCCCTTGTTCTGTCCTTGTTCTTTGATGCCCTTGTATTCTACAGTATATAAGGGCTCCCTAGGTCGCTCTGTGTCCCCCAGTCTTGACACAGTTTGACCTAGCCCTTGGGTGTTGTCCGAAGCTAGTATCTTCCACAGCCAACATGCAGTTCCAAGCCAAAGTGAACAATGCAAACACTGGGTACCTACAAGGTAGGACTATCACTCCAGTGCAGAAAGCGTACTCTGCGCTTAGCACACTCCCTCTGGACTTGTCTCTATGGCACAAGCGCTGTTCTCATGCCAATGTGGATGATTTGCGAAGTGTTGTGTCAAAGAAGCTGGTGTCTGGTTTGACCATTCGCTCTAACAGTGCACCAGATCCCATATGCGAGCCCTGCATCAATGGCAAGATGCACAGGCACAATGTGCCGTGTTCTGCATCTAGAAAGCAGACCAGGCTTGCACTGGTGCAGTCTGACCTCAAGGGTCCCCCCATGCCCACTCCCACCCGTGAAGGCTATCACTACTGGATAGTCTTTGTAGATGATGCATCAAGTTTCTGGGCTGTAGCATTCTTGAAGCAAAAGAGTGATGCTCTAGAGGCCTTTAAAGTCTACAAGGCCTATGCTGATTATGCTACAGGCTGCAAAATTGGCACTCTGCGCGATGATAAGGGCGGAGAGCACAAGAGCAAGGCCTTTGAGGCATTCTGTGCAGAGCATGGCATCCAGCGCCAGCACACAGAGACTGATGAGCCTCATCAGAATGGAGTGGCAGGCGAGCTAATCGCACCATTGCAGAGGGAGCTACTGCTATCTTACTCCAGGCAAGCTCCCTCTGTCCAACTGGGAAGCTGGCAGGCGTCCAGATACACACAGAGATGCCTGAGTCAAGCTCTATTAATGCTAAGGAAGAGAGCTTGACTCAGGAGCGCATTTTCGCTCTTCTGGGAGCGTGGGAACCAACTGTACAGTATGGGAAATGGAAGGGAAAAGCGCAGAGTTAAAGGGGCTAAGTCACCAGGGTGAAGGATGCCAAAATAGCAAAGTGGTTACCACCACTAGCAGGGATGCATACCTGGAGGTTTTGGTTCAATCCCCAGTCAGCGCACTTTTTACCTCCAATACTCCCCCCTGACGTGCCACGTCTGCGCTACATCAGCCCCAGCAACCTAACCATGCTCTCGACCTTTGCCTTCACCAAGGCCTTGGTCATCCCATCCGCTGGCATCACATCTGTCCTAAGATGCGCCAGCCCAATCTTGCCACTCGCAACCTCATCCCTCAACCAGTAGAACCGCAAGTCCAAGCGCTTCATCCTCCCATGGTGCTCCGGGTTCTTCGCCACAGACAGAGCAGACTGATTGTCGATGTAGAGGATAGAGGGCGAAGAGATGTCAAGTATAATAAATGACCAGACCAGGGATTGAACCTGAGACCACCTGGCATATACCCAGGAGCTCTACCAACTGAGCTACCTGGTCTTGGTTCAGAGGACATATCAAGGTATATGACCTTGTATAGCTGAGTGTAACTGTTGCCTACTACCCATAATGGCCTTCATGCAAGGCACTAGGTATTGGTAGGTCTTATGACAGTTCAGGGACTCACTCCTGTTAGATGAGTAAGCATGATTACCCATTCCAACAAGAGAAGGAGTAGCCGAGTTCAGTAAGGAAGTTGCGCAGCCAGAGGATCTCCTGAGCAGCAGAGACAGCAGCCACATACTCAGCCTCAGTAGTAGACAAAGTGACAATAGACTGAAGTCGACTAGACCAAGAGACTGCTCCAGTACCCATCTTGACCACATAGCCACTGGTAGAGTGACCGTTGTCTGGGTTGCCGCCGTGATCAGCATCAGTGAAGGTGGAGAACAGCTCACGCGACGACGAGGGAGAGTAAGTGAGCTTCAAGTCCAGAGTGCCCTTCAAGTAGCGGAAGAGATGCTTAACAGCTCTCCAGTGGCGCTTCCCAGGGTTCTTGCTGAAGCGCGCCAGGACTCCAACAGCATACGCAATGTCTGGACGCGTTGCAACAGCAACATATGCCAAGGCACCTACGGCGATTGATATAGGGCACAGAGCGCATCT